TTTTCAGGAGATTGGCCGGGGATCCCTTTTTTTTCGAGCTGGAATGCCCGATTCCAGCCCGAAAAGCGGATCCCCAAAGACAACCTTTCATCACGAGCCCCCCTTTTCAGGAATTGGCCGGGATCCGCTTTTCGAGCTGGAATGCCGGATTCCATGCTCGAAAAGCGGATCCCCAAGACAACCTTCATCACGGCCCCCTTTCAGGAGGGATTGGCCGGGGATCCGCTTTTCGAGCTGGAATGCCGGATTCCAGCATCCCCAAGACAACCTTCATCACGGCCCCCTTTCAGGAGATTGGCCGGGGATCCGCTTTTCGAGCTGGAATGCCGGATTCCAGATCGAAAAGCGGATCCCCAAGAACCTTCATCACGGGCCCCCTTTTCAGGAGATTGGCCGGGGATCGCTTTTCGAGCTGGAATGCCGGATTCCAGCTCGAAAAGCGGATCCCCAAGACAACCTTCATCACGGCCCCCCTTTTCAGGAGATTGGCCGGGGATCCGCTTTTCGAGCTGGATTGCCGGATTCCAGCTCGAAAAGCGGATCCCCAAGACAACCTTCATCACGGCCCCCCTTTTCAGGAGATTGGCCGGGGATCCGCTTTTCGAGCTGGAATGCCGATTCCAGCTCGAAAAGCGGATCCCCAAGACAACACTTCATCACGCCCCCCTTTTTCAGGAGATGGGCCGGGGATCCGCTTTTCGACTGGAATGCCGGAATTCCAGCTCGAAAGCGGATCCCCCAGAACAACCTTCATCACGGCCCCCCTATTCAGGAGATTGGCCGGATCCCTTTCGAGCTGGAATGCCGGATTCCAGCTCGAAAAGCGGATCCCCAAGACAACCTTCATCACGGCCCCCTTTCAGGAGGGATTGGCCGGGGATCCGCTTTTCGAGTTGGAATGCCGGATTCCAGCTCGGACCCCCAAGACAACCTTCATCACGGCCCCCTTTCAGGAGGGATTGGCCGGGGATCCGCTTTTCGAGCTGGAATGCCGGATTCCAGCTCGAAAAAAGCGGAATCCCCAAAAGAACCTTCATCACTGGCCCCCTTTTGAGGAGATTGGCCGGTGATCCGCTTTTCGGAGCTGGAATGCCGGATTCCAGCTCGAAAAGCGGATCCCCAAGACAACCTTCATCACGGCCCCTTTCAGGAGATTGGCCGGGGATCCGCTTTTCGAGCTGGAATGCCGGATTCCAGCTCGAAAAGCGGATCCCCAAGACAACCTTCATCACGGCCCCCTTTCACGAGAGATTGGCCGGGGATCCGCTTTTCGAGCTGGAATGCCGGATTCCAGCTCGAAAAGCGGATCCCCAAGACAACCTTCATCACGGCCCCCTTTCAGGAGGGATTGGCTGGGGATCCGCTTTTCGAGCTGGAATGCCGGATCCCCAATACCTTCATCACGGCCCCTTTCAGGAGGATTGGCCGGGGATCCGCTTTTCGAGCAAGCGGATCCCCAAGACACGGCCCCCTTTCAGGAGGGATTGGCTGGGGATCTGGTTTTCGAGCTGTAATGCCGGATTCCAGCTCGAAAAGCGGATCCCCAAGACAACCTTCATCACGGCCCCCTTTCAGGAGGGATTGGCCGGGGATCCTTCATCACGGCCCTCTTTTCAGGAGGGATTGGCTGGGGATCCGCTTTTCGAGCTGGAATGCCGGATTCCAGCTCGAAAAGCGGATCCCCAAGACAACTTCATCACGGCCCCCTTTTCCGGAGGGATTGGCCGGGGACCCGCTTTTCGAGCTGGAATGCCGGATTCCAGCTCGAAAAGCGGATCCCCAAGACAACCTTCATCACGGCCCCCTTTTCAGGGAATGGCCGGGGATCCGCTTTTCTTTCGAGCTGAATCCGGCATTCCAGCTCGAAAAGCGGATCCCCAAGACAACCTTCATCACGGCCCCCTTTTCCGCTTTTCGAGCTGGAGTGCCGGATTCCAGCTCGAAAAGCGGATCCCCAAGACAACCTTCATCACGGCCCCCTTTTCAGGGGATTGGCCGGGGATCCCCAAGACAACCTTCATCACGGCCCGCTTTTCGAGTGGGTAACATCGGTGACACGCTCATTATTTACCCAAAAGCGCCTTCCACCACAAGATCCTTTGTCTCAGTGGTCAAGACCTTTCTCTGTGATTGGTAGAGGTCTTGGGTTCGAATCCCAACGAGCTGGAATCCGGCACTCCAGCTCGAAAAACGAGCTGGAATCCGCTTTTCGAGCTGGAGTGCCGGATTCCAGCTCGAAAAGCGGATCCGCAAGACAACCTTCATCACGGCCCCCTTTCAGGAGGGATTGGCCGGGGATCCGCTTTTCGAGCTGGAATGCCGGATTCCAGCTCGAAAAGCGGATCCCCAAGACAACCTTCATCACGGCCCCCTTTCAGGAGGGATTGGCTGGGGATCCGCTTTTCGAGCTGGAATGCCGGATTCCAGCTCGAAAAGCGGATCCCCAAGACAACCTTCATCACGGCCCCCTTTCAGGAGGGATTGGCCGGGGATCCGCTTTTCGAGCTGGAATGCCGGATTCCAGCTCGAAAAGCGGATCCCCAAGACAACCACGGCCCCCTTTCAGGAGGGATTGGCCGGGGATCCGCTTTTCGAGCTGGAATGCCGGATCCAGCTCGAAAAGCGGATCCAAGACAACCTTCATCACGGCCCCCTTTTCAGGAGGGATTGGCCGGGGATCCGCTTTTCGAGCTGGAATGCCGGATTCCAGCTCGAAAAGCGGATCCCAAGACAACCTTCATCACGGCCCCCTTTTCAGGAGGGATTGGCTGGGGATCCGCTTTTCGACCGGATCCCCAAGACAACCTTCATCACGGCCCCCTTTTCAGGAGGGATTGGCCGGGGATCCGCTTTTCGAGCTGGAATGCCGGATTCCAGCTCGAAAAGCGGATCCCCAAGACAACCTTCATCACGGCCCCCTTTCAGGAGGGGTCCGCTTTTTCCGCAGAGACTGGCTTTGTTTTTTCGCACATTTGGTTGTTTTTTTCCGCTCTGCGGGGTTCGCACGTTTTCCGCGCGCAGCGCCGAGCCTCAACGTCCGGATCTTGACCCAGCCATAGATGGGTGCGGCCGCCTTTTGGATTCTTTACATGGCTCTACTGGGTAGACCATTTTCATACCATGCATTGATTATGACTCACCTGGCACGTCCTGAAGCAGTTCCAGAAGCATTGCTGGGAGCATGGTGGCTACCCTTAGAGCCACTCCAAAAAGGGTGCCCTCAAAAAAACACCCCCTCCTCAATTTGCAGCCACGACAAACTTCCTGCTTGAAGCTTGTACCTGTTTGCAGTTGCGGCACGCTCGAAGAGCGCAATTTGCAGACGTCCTCAATTTCCTAGGCTCCCACCAGCGGCTTAAGTGTTCCATGATTTGCAACGTCTAGTTTGGGTAATTTCAGGCCGAAGGTGCTCCACTGTGTCTCTGCAAAATGTTTGGAGGCTCAGTATTTCGTCTACGGCACAGAGGAGGAGGGGGAGGAGGAGCGGGAAGTGGCACAGGCCAAAGCACGTTGAGTTTCGGATCAGCTCACAATTGGGTGAAAGAGGATGGCCTTTCGGGTTTCAACAGCCCCTTAACTTACCGACATACAGGGAACATACAGGGATTTGCACCATCTACTTTCACCCCAATGCAGAGCTGAGAAATACACCGAAAAGGTTGTTGTCGCTTTTTTTTGGCTGAGACTCTCCCAGGAGCAATGCCCTCACCACTTCGCCTTGAACTTTGCGCCTTGACTCAAAGCAGCTTTTGGAGACAAGCTTGCCTTCCTTGCTGGTAAGCGTACTGAGCACAAACACAATCATAATCACAGGTTTGGCGAGGCTGCAGCATTTGCCAAGCAGGACCTTGGAGCTGGAAGGTCACGCTGGAACCGGCTCAAGCATCGGATACACCTGTTGCTTAGAGTCCCTTAGTCGTGGAGCGATTGCTCTCCATGATGCTACCATTTATGCAGTTATGTGGTGTGGCGCCTGAGCTTCGCGGGCTGGGCAGCCCTCTCGCGAAGGCGAAAGGTGCGCCACACAACGACACGATCAAGCTTGCAGCCCCTGCCAGGCTCCACACCATTTGCCCAGCAGCACCAAAGACGCAGTACGTTCAAGTGGCGCTACGCCTGTCGTGGCGCCCGCAACCAAGTCTGCGAAGGTGAAAGCAAGGCGGCTGCAGGCAGGAATTGTTTTGGACAGCACAAGCAGCCCCGATTATCAGGAGACGGGGATTGCGGCCCAGGGTGAGCTCGGCAAGGAGTTGGGGGCGGCTACGGCTGGCTAATTCACGCCCTTTGGCACGAAGGATAATCAATGGCGAGACATTGCTAAAAGCGGGGGGGTCACTTTGTGATGGGCAGCCTCCTCGCAGCCGCCACGATACATGGGAATCCTGTTGGGCAACTGTTCCCCTCGTTTTTCCCGCCGGAACCTTCCGTGGACGAGAAGCTCGAGGAAATGAGCAGATCATGGAAGATGTCAACCTTTTGGTGGACTCAGCACTCTTTCAGCAAGAGTTTGAGCAAAGCCAAATGCACATCGCGCTCTTCTTCCGTGAAATGGGGTGGGCTGACCGTTTCATGACGAGCTTGGAGCCACAAGCCAGACTTGCTTACATCCTGTCCTTGGAGCGAGAAGCTGAAAGTCTCAGAAACTCCCTGTTTCGGCCATGCATCAAATCATGGGGCAGCACCGAGTGTCAGAACACAATACTGGGCGGGGGAATCGCCATGTTGCAGGGCCTCATGGTTTGCCATTTCTCGCTCATGCGAGCCATGGTCTTCAACTTGGCCAGCCCAGCACGCTCGAGAATCAGGAAGACGAATCGCTGAAGCTTGAGACCTTCAATTATGTCGGATGCCCAACTAGCAGACCGTCTTTGGACGACTGGACAGATTCAAGCTCTGCGACGGTCTTGCAGAAAATGTATGACACTTGCCGGCTCAACCTGATTGGAACCGCTAGCCAGGAGCAGCAGGAGCAGGGTTGTGGGAACAGGGTTTCGCCCAACTTTTGTGAAACAAAGTGTTTGCTGTGTGGGGGTGACCGGAGAAAAAACAGCCATGTGCAGCAAATCAGGGGCCGGGAGCCAAGGTACTCAGAACAATGCCCAGGTTGAAGTTTCTGTAGAAGATGGATGATCGCTGACTTTAGAGCCTCCGGCTCAGTCCGCCGACATTGTCCTCTCCCTTTTCTCCTTCTTCCTCTCTCTCTGGTCTCCTCCCCTGCGTGTTCTGTCGTCCTCTCTCCCTCCCTTTGCTCCCCATCCTCCCCATCCCCCCAAGCCTCTCTCCTCAATCTCAATCTCCCTCTCTCTCTCTCTCTCTCCCGCTCTCTCTCTCTCCCTCTCTCTCTCTCTGCATTGCAGCGTCACGTCCCCCCTGAGTTGCCTCGATGTCCGGGCACTGCCCCTTCATGACCCTGAATTGTCTGCTTATTATTGGTTTTTTGTTTGATTTCCCCTTCATGTCCTTTTCACGTTTCGCATGATGTCCTGGTCATGTCCCTTCCATTCCTTTCAACTCCCCCTTCATGTCCCTGTCATTTTCTCGGTATGTCCGCTTCATTTTTCCATGTTCGCGTTCTTTTGTTGCCAGTCATTTCCCCGTCCTTTGTTTCCCTTTCATTCCCCCTGCACTCCCCTTGTTGTTATTTCTGTCCCTTCGCGTCCCTTTCAGTTCCCCTTTGTTTCTCTTTCATTTCCCCTTGCTTTCCTGTCATGTCGACTTCCTTTGGAGGAGTATTTCTTTTAGGATGTTTTTTTGTTTTTCCCCCGTGTTGTTTTTTCCGCTTTTGGCTTCTTGGCTTCTTGGCTTTTTTGCTTCTTGGCTTCTTGGCTTTTCGGCTTCTTGGCTTCTTGGCTTTTGGGCTTTTCGGCTTTTTGTTGGTTTATGCGGCTTTTGGTGGCTTTTTGGCTTTGGCTTTTCGCATCCTCCGGCTTTGGCTTTTCGCATCCTGGCTTTTGCAACCTTTCATTGGTTTTGGCTTCCCGCATCATGAGCATCACCAGTTCCTCCCGGGGGAAGCCCCCCCCAACCCACGCGCTACTATTTAAATTGTTTACAAAGTAATTGCACCCCTATTTGAAGCAACACTTCTTCAAACATCATGGGGGGGCTCCCCCCCAACACCACCGCTACTTTTTAGATTTCTTGCAGAGATTGAATTGCACCCCTATTTGAATCATCACTTTTTCGAGCGTCCAACTTCGCGAGACAATGCTGCAAAATACGACATTTTAAGTAGTCTGTGTAATCCGTGTACGTCTGTATGTATGCACTTCTTCGAACATCATGGGGGAAGCCACCCCCGCCAACCCTTCCGCTGCCTTTTGAATTCTATCGCACCCTTTCTTCAATCATTGCACCCCTACTTGAATCATCACTTCTTCCGACATCATCGGGGGGGCTGCCGCCCCCACAACCCCCCCGCTACGTTCTAGATTTTCTGCAGAGATTTAATTGCACCCCTAGTTGAATCATCAAATTTTCGAACATCATGGGGGGGGCTGCCGCCCCCCCAATCCCCCCGCTACTTTCTTAGACTTTTTGCAGAGATTGAATTGCACCCCTATTCGAATCATCACTTCTGCGAACATCATGGGGGGGGCTGCCACCCCCCCCCCCCAACCCCCCGCTACTTTTAGTGTTTTTTTTTTTTTTTTACAAGGACTGAAATGCCCTCCTATTTGAATCATCATCTTTTGACCCCGTCAACCCGCCAGCTATTTTTTTTCGATTTTGTCACCCACGATTTGTTGGTGAAGCTAGGGATGTTGGTCAGACATGCGGGGGATGTTGAAAACAAAAGCGCCACTGAAGCGTGCTGGCACTTGACGGGGCTTATTTGAGGGAAAGCGTTTTGTATCACAGAACCGGGCTGCGCTCGCAAGCCTGAAGAGCAGTGTTGCGGGTCGATGCGGCCTTGCAAGCCGGCGGAATGTCTGCACCTATCGCAATACCACACGAGCAAGCATCATTTCCTCCAACAAATGATGGAGAAGTACCAGCACAATGTCAAACATGGTGATACGGGAAGATAATTCAACTTCAACATGGATGATTTGGGCCTTCCTGAGGACCAGGTATTCAGATACGCTACCAACTACAAGGTCACCTTTATGCATTGCCGCGGAGGAACTTCGATGGGAAGTGTGCATCTGAAGTTCTGGACGTTCAACGGCTTGGATGGCGGAGACAGCCATGGCCGCAAGGACTCTGGTGGGGCCGATGGAGATTGGCAGACAGGCGACAAGATCACAACGGCAAGGTCTTGCGAGCTGGCAGACTAGGATCGCCAGCCGTTCTCCAGCGTTCCAGAGGGATTGGTGTGTGGCATGTGTTCGTGACCCCATTCGCAATCGCTGGTACACCCAAGCGACTTGCGCCTTTTTTTGTCACCACGCGCCACGGGGATTGGCGTGCGTGCCACGGACTAGGCCGCTGCAAGCTTGATCATGCACAAAAGGCGTCTAGAGCGAAGTGAGTCTGGGGGTATTGTGAACACTTAGTCATTAGAATTCAGAGGTCATTCTACATGAAAAAGGCCAAAGATAACAACATTCTCATTCGGCCCAACTGCCGCACGTGGTCGCCATGAGCCGAGAGACGTGGTCGCAATCTCAGGATTACTACACCCACTTCACCTCGCCGATTCGGCGATATCCCGCAGCTTGACATATGGCCCGTCGTGCTCTTTTCTTGACATTCCATGAGTCCGCAGTCCAGTCAAATTCCCCAATTCCCCAATTCAACCTCGGGCTCGCTCTCCCCAAATCACTTTGCCAGAACACATCCCCAAATCACTCGACCGAAAAGAAGTTTGAGGAAGTCACCGCCCGGAGGATGTCATGGTGCATCGCGTGCTTTGTGCTCTCCTGGACCGTCAGCTTGAACCAGGAGAGGGAATACGTGCACTGCCTCCCACAACCCGGACAACTCAATACGAAAGGTCAGTCGAGAGAATAAGATACATTTTGCCAATTTGAAACATGGGTTTTCCCACCAAAATGAAGGGAAACCACCATTTACAAGGCGAGGTTCAGGTGTATAATGTAAGGATCCCTGTTTCTGTTGGTCTTTACTGCCATCCAGAGCTGGGGTTTGCTTTGCACAGCGTCACCTGGCACCCGCTGACAGGAGAGGGAGCAGACGGCGAAGAGGCCCGGACTTGGGGACCGGAGCGACACGACGCTCCCCGCCGATTGAACGCGTCTGTGACCTTCGTTCATACCTTGGGTGATGGCACGTGTTAAAGGCTTGTAACTTGTACCATTATATAACGTGATTTTTTTTGATTCAGGAGGACCAGGACGCTGCTCGAGTTTATGAGCGGGGTGGGACGGCAACAAAATCAAATGTTAGATGAGAGTTCTTCAAAGGGGGCGTCACAGGCCCCAAAACAAAACCGAATACATTCCATCCCCTTTTCACGCGAAGTGTCCGACAGGGCCCGGCCTTCTTCCAGACCCGGGAGGATGCCAAGTTGAGGGCCGGGAATGCTGAAGCTGCTGAATCTCTCAGCTCCCCTGTCAAGCGACCGGGTAGCCTTGGTTTTATTGCTAGCCTAGAGGTCTTGCAACTCACCTCTGCAGAAGGATCCTGCGAGTTGTGCACAGGTAACGGTTTGCAATGACAAGAAGCTCAACTCGAGAAGGCGCCGAGCTTCGGTTGCTGGTCAGTTTTGGGGCAGGGTTTAGAGCTTGCTGCAGGGTTTTCGGTCCACGGTTGGTATATTGCAGAACTGAGATGAATTCAGGATAGCTTTGTTGAAAGAGTGCATTGAAGCTGCAGCAAAATCATCATGGAGTGCGCAGAGAGAGGAGCACGGTCCATTTCGAGCGCGGCCAACAGTCTCCTATCCCGCCTATTGTCACTGACCGTTTCCAGCAATTCCAGAAGCCTTTCTCTGTCATTCTTTGACCGTTTCAACCATCCGCCATCCCCTCGGGCCAACCCTCACAAATCTCATCTATCTCATCTTGTTCTCGCCACTTCCTGCCTGTCCCAATTGTCGCCCGCCATCAACTACCATTTTTGCCATGACGAGGAGAACCCCAGCCACGCACAACCATGCACAGCTCTTTGCTGAAGCGCCACGCCCTGTCATCCACGACACCGGAGCGACATCCAACCTGTCTCACGGCGTTTACGTTGCGGTTCCTGTTTCCCTGTTGCCTGTGGTTCGAAACAACCGGAAATGGCGAGCCTTGGTGTATGGAAACACAACAAAGACCAAGCCCTGCGAGACTCCAGCGGTTGAACATTTTGAGCCACACCCTGTTCATGTGAGCCACAATCAAAACCTGGAAGGTTAGTAAGATTAGTAAGGTTAAACCCCTGTACATGGTTCTGGGTAGACCATTTTAGTACCAGGTTTGTTTCCAGCGTACTTTCCCGACTTCCCGACTCAACTCACGAACTTGCGCTGGCGTTTTTGCACCGAGGTGCCAGGAGCAGCTGGACAGAGCGGTGTTTTGCATTTTCCTGCGATCCAGAAAGGCGCTGGACCCACAGGGCATTGCCATTGTGTGGTACCTTCAAACCCTTGCACACACATTCATTGTAGGGGCGATGTGTAATTTGTCACCCTCCTGCCAGTCTTTTTTTCGGTGTTCACTCAGACAGACAAAAAACACTTCGTCGATCCCCGGTTTGCGCACCTTTGCCGCGCTCCAGTCGTGGTTCTACACGGTGGGGACAGTCCTGGCCTTGAACCGCTCCGCCAAGGACGGCGGCATCTCGGCCCCAGCACCCAGCAACAGCGATGTGCGTGACGGCTCGCTCAAAACCAATTCGGGTAGTTGAATAAGGGACCATCCCCTTGCCACAAATGATAAAAGGAAGGATATGCCGCACTTTCAATTCTTGAAGCATGGGAAGACCACTTGTACACCGGATCGGTTTTGATTGGGACTCATGTGTTTGATCGACTCAGAGCCATGTGAGCCGGGTTGCCGAGCCAACAGTGGCAACGCTGCAAAAGGCAAGCAAGCTGGGCAATGGCAGTGCAACCTAGTGCAGATTGACTGCAACACTTCTTGAAGTTCCATCATATTGCAGGGAATCATAGTGACTCCCTTGTCGGACAATTTCTGAGGTCTACTGCTCCCAATTGGGTAGGGAAAGCAAAGTTGCCCTTCGCTCCGCCGAAGAGGCCAGGGCCTTAGTGACTCAGGCCGCATCTACAACTGCATGTCTCAAATTGCCAGGTGGTGGTTCGTAAAGTAAGGGGTCCGGATCGTTGGACGCACACACAGGCACACATACGCATTCAGACCGACAATCATTCAAGCCCAAAAACACAAAACACAAACAACAAACGCAGAGACACAAGAAACCCAAATGCAGCAACAATCAAGCACACCAACGCACCCACCCTATTCACCCTACCCATCCCACTTGAACCCTTATCCACCTCCCACATGCACATCCTACCCACCCGGCCCACCCTACCCACCACCCACACAGCCACTCTAGCCACCGCCAGCCCCGCACGTACGCGGAACTTGTATTCTGACTGCAGTGCGTGAGGGAGGAAGGGAGGGAGGGGGGGAGCGAGACAGAGCAAGTGTGCGCGTTTGTGTTTTGCGCTCATTTTCTGTTGTGATCTGATTGGAAACTGTGAAGACTCCCCGCGTGATGTGTGCGCATATTCGCTGGGATCAATGTCTTGCATGTCCAGATGACAAGTGCCTTGTTTTGATCCCGTCATGTCACTGAGGAAAACCCAGTCGAGTTGTTCATGAACGGCCTGCGCCTGAAAGTTTTAGTATGGGAAGGCATGAGTGAGGCCTTGAATGAATTATTGCAGAACAGGGAGACACTTTTGCCCGCCTTGCGCTTGTCTTTTCTTCTTTTTTTAAACCAGTGCCAAGACAGAGTCCGCATGTTTGAGGCGTTGACGATCAGCTGCCATCCTGGCTGAATTCTGACGTGTCAGGCTTGTCCGTGGCAAAATACTCAGCTCTGGCCCTCGAAGCCTGGCAGAAGAGCTGAAATGATTGAGCGATTCCGAGAGCCTGGCAGTGCCAGGATGATGCCGGACAGCTGGGAATGGCAAGGTAGAGGCGGCCGGGTGTTTGCGATGCTACGTCAACGGGCCGAGTGCTCGACCAAAAAATCGGGTGGAGCCCAGGTGCGGTGCAGCTCACTTGGCAATCTCCAGAAGGCGAATCTCAGGCCCACAGATTTTTAGCAGATCTTAAGCACCCCAAATCCGGTGGATCAAGTCATTGGCCAGATCCAGACGCTTCAAATGCTGTCCTGCGTGCCGAGACTTGACTGCAATCAAAGTTCTTCTGCCTTGGATAAATAGGAGTACTCAACTCCGGATTTTACTTGGTTCGAGGCAACCAGCATGAGAGCTTCCGTGGTTGAAGGGAACCGCGACAAAGTGACAAAGTTGGAGCCGCAGTGGCGCAAATTTTGGCGCAACTGGCAACTGGAGTCTGTCTGCCGCAACTTGAGAAGTCAAGGATTCTTTGGTGTTTTTTTCTCTTGGATGTTAGGACTTCAGCTTTTTGCCAACGCATGGGTTTTCCGTTTTAAGCCACTAAGAGCTATTTTTGCTTTTAGCCGGGCTTCGCAGATTTCGCTGAGGATCGTCATAATTCCTACCAACAGCGCCGGCGCCTCAGAGCCTCGGAGCCTCGGAGCCTCGGAGCCTCGGAGGGCGGGCCGGGGAGGGCGGGGGCGGGGAGGCGAGCTGGAAATGTGGGGAGAGCCGGGCTGGTCATGTGGGGCCGCAGGTTTGGATCGAATGCTCCCTTTTGCCAGTTCCCATTTTGGAGTGCGCGGACTGGCGTTGTGTCAGGCTAGGTTTGCAGTGGGCTATGGCCTATGGGGCTGGGGAAGAAGTGGTTCAAAAGGCAGCCGGCTCATGGATGGATGCTTTCTTGCCTAGGTGCCTATCGACTACGCCTTGTTCTTCGTTTCACCGTTCCACAAAAAGCCGACCAGTCATGTGTGATTCTGCGACTGTTTGGTACTAAGCCTCAGATGGACGCTCCCACAAAGTCTAACATTGACATGACCACTTCCTTGAAAGGGCGCCGTGCAGTCGAGACTACTCGACTTGTGGGCATAGATGAGCGCACGCTCCCTTCGACCCTCCAACTGCACCACTGCAGATGGACGCGTCGCCAGGTTCCAAGAGGTGAAGGATGGCATCAACGTGACGGAGAACGACGGTTTCTCCTGGATAGAGGACAGGCTCATTCGCGGAGTTAGAGTAGCTAGATTGCTCGCTTAGCCGCAGACACGCGCTTTCTGGACAGGAGGATGAAGAGGGTGTGGATACTTGCTACGATGGCCAAGAGCAAGGCCGGCACAAAGGTTGGGACTTTCTGCAATTGCAAGCCCACATGCCATGCAGCCTTGTAAGGCAATTTGCCCTGTCATCCTGCGACAGGTTGATGTGCGTGGCCATCCAGATGGACCTCAGAGGTCTGAACAGTGCCAAGGACAAATCCAAATTCGGCGCTTTTTTCCTAGACATCACGGAGTTGCGACCCAAATAACGACGTGGATGCTGCGCATCTATACTGCACCAGAAGTGCGTGCGTGCGTGCGTGCGTGCGTGTGTGTGTGTGTGTGGTGTGTGCGTGTGTTTGCGTGTTTGTGTTTTGTGCATTTGCTGGTTAATTGATTGTTTGTTTGTTTGTTTGTTTGTTGGTTGGTTCGGGTTTGTTTTGTTTGCTTGGTTTGGCTTGGTTTGTTGGTTGGTTTGGCTTGGCTTGGCTTGGCTTGGCTGGCCTGGCCTGGCCTGGCTGGTTGGTTAGTTGGTTGGTTGGTTGGTTGCAGCCGTTTTTCTGGTTGGTTCGTTGTGTGTGTGCGCGTGTATTTGTTTGTTTGCTTGCTTGTTTGTTTTTTTTGTCTGGCAGTTTGTTTGTTTATTTGTCTTGTTTGTCTGTCCGTTGTTTTCTTCTTCTTTTTCTTCTCGGTTTAGTGATTGTTTGTTTGGTTGCTTGTTTGCTTGCTTGCTTTGTGTGTGTGGGTGTGTTTGCTTACGTGTGTTTGTGTGCTTGTGCTTGGGTGGTTGCGTGTTTCTTTGCTGTGTTGTTTCATTGTTTCTTTCTTTCTTTCTTTCTTTCCTTCCTTCTTTCGTTGTTGGTTTGTTCGTTTGTTTGTTTGTTTGTTTGTTCGCTTGCTTGCTTGCTTGCTTGCTTGCTTGCTTGCTTGCTTGCTTGCTTGCTTGCTTGCTTGCTTGCTTGGTTTGCGTTTTGTGTCTTTGCCTGTTTGTTGGTTGGTTGGCTTGGCTTGGCTTGGCTTGGCTTGGCTTGGCTTGGCTTGGCTTGGCTTGATGTTGTCAGTTAATTTGCTTGCTTGCTTGCTTGCTTGCTTGCTTGCTTGCTTGCTTGCTTGCTTGCTTGCTTGCTTGCTTGCTTGCTTGCTTGCTTGCTTGCTTGCTTGCTTGCTTGCTTGCTTGCTTGCTTGCTTGCTTGCTTGCTTGCTTGTGTATTTCAGTCTATGTATGCGTGTGTGCGTGTGTGTTTCTGTTTGTGTATGTATGTATGCCTTTAGTGTGTGCTGTGCGCGTGTTTGCGTGCGTGCGTGCGTGCATGCTTGCGCGTTCGCATCAGACAGGATCAGGCCCCAGGTTTCTAAGGGTTTACTTTCAGCAAATATTTTGCCAGTCTCTTGGTCCACTCAACCCATGGTTGGGTGCTGGGCCTTGTGCAGGATCTCCAGTGTTGCAGTCACCTCCATACTTCGCGGGCTGTGATCGGCGCAGACAGGCTGCGCGCCTGGCTGAGAGTCTGCAAAATGAGCCAAGGGTGATAGAAGCAAACGCAGAGCATACGTTCGAGAGCCAGGCATGGCCACGAGTGGAACCCGCAACATGTTTGGCTTGCTTTGGCTTTTGGCCAACCAAAGCTCCATCCCCAGAAACAGTTCTCAGTTTAGGAAACACCCAAGTTGACGTACCATGGATGCGGCTCAAGGACTTAGCGCATCTAGGTCCCCCAGTAGTGCCCTTTTACCCTTTTTTGGGGGAGGGTTCCCCTACTAGAATAGACAACAGAAAAAAGGGTACCCTTATTCTAACCTCTCTACTGGAGGACCTAGGCATTTGTACCATGTTGCCTGGAGCCATTCTCGCGGCGATTTCTTTAGTCCTGATGGACGCTGCGAGGGCTCAGTACGTCCGCGGCCGCAACGGGGCGGGGGCTGAGAGCTGCCCGTTCGGCACGCTCCAAGCGCCGGCGGAGGAGTGCGAGGCTGCGGCAGGGGCTCTGAGTCTTGCGTGGTTTGGGCAGATCGCGGCCAGTGGGGCTCTGCAAGGGTGCATCGCTGACTCCTCCAACGCGTACTTCAACTTGAACGGGGCGAGCTCCACCTCGCGAGAGGACATCGCGCCCCTCTGCGCCCTGATTCCGACGACCACGTCAAGCAGGTCGTCAACCAGTAGCTCAACCACTTCAACGTGGATCACTAACTCCTCTACTTCAACAACTTTATCACGCACCAGCACAAGCACAAGTACAAGCACGAGCACGAGCACGAGTTCAAGCACGAGCACAACCACAAGCCCTACCACCAGCAGCGACATGCGCGGCTTACAAACAAGCACCGATATGGTCACCACTTTCATACCGACGGCCAGAACCACAGCATCAGCGGCGCCTGCGTCGTCATTGACTACAACCTTGGCTCAAGAGGAAAGCAACAGCTCTTTGGACTTTTGGTCTTTATCAGCAGATGGCTTGATGCTTGACCGGGTTCATGTCACTGTGCGAACAAAGCTATTTGCTCCGAGCGATGTGAATGACAGTCCAGTGCCGCTGGTGCTTTTACAATCTCAACGGTCGACATTCGTGAGCTATGTAGATGGTGGCAGTATGACCATCTCAGATCTGTGGCACGATTCATTTTCACAGAAGCATTTGGCCTCCCAATGGACTGGCAAGACCACTTTTTACCTTACGCGGAACGGTACAGACTGGCAGGCAGATTATGGTTTTCCAAGTTCTGGCTTTCGCTGTGCAGTCAGCTACAGTCAGCTACTTCCGATTTTGCTTTCGCTTTGTAAGCTGCAGATGGGATAGAGGTTCTCGAAGAGACATCTCAATCTTGATCAATCAGCGTGGAATGGGCGCTCGAGATTGCCGAGCGCGTCAGTGCCGAGCTCAAATTGAGCTGAGTGCCGCCATCATTACTCTTTTCCCCTGGCCAGAAACCAGGTCAGAGCATGCGAATGCAAAAGTGAGGCACACCTTGATACACTAGTGTCACACCAGGATCCATAGCGATGGATCATTTGACCTGCTCTTGCCATTCGTTGGTTTGGCTCTACTTCATGCTTCTTCCGCCTTGCCTGTTACTGAGGTGTTGCAGAAGTTGGATTTGGAAGTCTCCTGGAATCTGAGATTTCGAGATGGGCCAACCATTTCCTGCAGATCCCTGTTTGAGCTTGGCACAGATCTTCCGCCTCCTTGTCCCAGTCTCTGAGTTTCAAGACTGGGCGCGTGTCCGGACGGGGTGGGGTTAAAGGGTTAAATGCTGTGATGCAGATTGGACGTTGACGCTCGCGCTTGGCTCAAAGGCTGCCATGCGGTCAATTCGACATGTGGCTTTGGCGCTGGCGCTGGTTCCATCGGAGGCTCAGTATGTTCGTGGCTCAGATGGGACTGGGCATGACAGCTGCCCAGAAGGGACTTGGCAAGTCAAAGAGGAGGCATGCCAGGCAGCGGCAACTGCCCTCAACTACACTTGGCTTGGGGCAATTGCAACAACCCACAGCATTCAGGGATGCATAGCTGATATATCCAACGTGTATTACAACGTCGTCAATGAATCGATTTCGAATCGAGATGACATTGCTGCCATTTGCAGTACTATTCCGACCACTAGCACCAGCACCTTATCGACTGTCTCACGCACATCCACCCTCACAACCACTTCTGTCACGGAAACTTTCACAACTGCCACGCAGACAAGCACAAGTACTTCCATCACTCTTACAAATACATCCACCTCGATGACACGCACAACAACCGTGAGTGTCACTTCGACGAAGACTCGGACCGGCTATGCACAAGACATCTGGTCCTTGTCGACAGACGGGTTGACGCTTGAACGGATACACACTACTCCCCGGACCTTTACGTTCCTGCCGAGTGAAGAGAATGATTGCCCTGTGCCGCCGGAGCTTTTGTTTTCCAACCGCTCGACCTATGTGGAGTCTTCACTGTTCTTGGATCATGTTTTTTTTTTTTTACATATTCTTTTTTGTTTGGTTCTGTGCATTTTCAGGTTTGGGGGCTGCCAAAAAAAACAAACGCTTCGTTGGACTTCTGAGTCTCACAACACCCCTTCTGGACTTGAAGTTAGAACCCCTAGGGCTTTCAGCTGCCTGGGCCGCTGGGGAGTTTGTTGGTTCGGTTGTAGGTTTGGTAGCTGCGAAAACGGTCAGTTTTTCTTGGCTACCATACCCCAGTTGCCCAGTGGGGCCCTTTTTTCTCCTTCTTTTGGGGAAGGGTTCCGATTCCTTTAAAGCTTCCTCCCCACAACCTCCTGGGGCTTTCAATGGAAGACCCGACCCCTCCATTAGACACCCCGAAATGTTTGGGGTTCTCAAAACCTGGGTGTTTGAGGGCCCAAACAGCATTGGGAGCCTCTGGGTGATTGAAACCCACCGTTAAAGCAAACGGGGGTGCATAAAGACCACCATTGTGTACCTAAGGATGGTCATCCAAATCGGGTCCTTGCCATTCTTTTTTTTGGGGTTGAACCCTAGGGGGGAAAAAGACGAGCGGCCCTGAGATACCGTTTGGGTTGTCAGGATTGGCTCCTCTCGGAGAACGCCATGACCATCCGGGACTCCTGGCGAGAACCCGCTGCCCTCTTCCAACTCCCCCAGGAGTGGACGGGCAAGACCACCTTCTACGTGCGGGGGACCACCACTCCGGAGCCGGACTGGTTTCCTATCCAGTACAGTTCTCAGGCAAAAGGAGGGGTGACCTATCCGTTCATAGCACTTTGGCTCGTTTTGGGGCTTCTTCAAGAGAAGGCTCATGATTGAGAGGCGCACACAGCAACAATCCTGAGCCACCGCCACACTTGATTTGTGGCTATGTTTGTTCAATTCATTTTTGCGGCGTGGTTTGCCATATCTGGGTGTTGATGGAGTATGGCGTTGCTTTGGCTCACGACGTGTTGCCCTTGTTCCTAATTCAAGGGCTCAGAGCTTACAGGAGCTTGGGTCAGACGAAGCAAGGCTCGAAAAGGAGCTGAAAAGTAGCTGAGCGACCCATTGGGTTTGATTGATTCTCCGTCACCTGATTCGTCATCGCGTGTTTAGGGTCGCGTGTTAAATCAGCAAGAGCGCGGTGCATGTTGCAACTTGGGCATTTGTGCTCTTCAGCACGGTTTCACTGCCAAAGACCTTTGGGCTTGCCCAACTGCCCCAGACATATGATATTTGCATGGGCAAAGCGCACACGGAAACTCCGTTCATGGACTCATGAAGCAACGTCTCAACAGTCAGCAACATGCATTGAGAATCCTTTGCAAGGGCTTCGGTTGCACCAACAGTCGCGGTTGCCGAATGTTTCACCAGCCAGATGCGAGCACTTGCATGGATATGCTGCCTATATGCCGCCAGTGCCAGCGGAGATTGCAATTTCGAGACTGACCTGTGTGGTTGGTCCTCGGCCCAATGGGTCCGGCACAGAGGCAGTAGCCACGGGGCCAGTGAAGCATTCGAAGGGTCATGGTATGCCTTGCTGGATAGCTCCTACCACAAGTCGATGACCTCCTACTTGGCCAGTCCTTTCTTCACTGAAGTCGCCCACCGCGTCACCTTCTACTACTACATGCACGGCGTTGACGTTGATACCTTGACCTTTGAGAGCTATTTGCCGGAGTCGGGTTGGCAGACGCTTTGGTCTCTGGAAGGCTCACAGGAGGACAGCTGGACCTATGCGGCGGTGCCCCTACCTGACGGCTCCCAGAGGGTCCGCTTTGGAGCGACCACCAAGGATGGCTGGGACGGTGACTTCGCCATTGACGGCGTGACGATTGTAGTGAAGGCCGGTTGTGACGCCTGGCGCTTGGGGGGGGGAGTAGAAACCAGTCCGGGATTCCCATAAGCATGTCTTGGCGCCTTGGTTCGTATTTTGTTTCTCGCAGAATTTGCTTGCCTGGAGCCTAGCAGCATGAATATGCCGTTACATGAGTCACAATATGTCACAATCAAACCTAGGTAGATGAAGGTTATATAAGGGACACCCCAGCCATAAATAGCTGCGGCCGCCCTCTTAGTTCTTTACATGGTTCTGGGTGCGCCATTTTTTGTACCGGGTTTTGATTATGACTCACATGGCATTCGGGCCTGCTTCGCGCAGACTTCCACCACGACTCAAACTCGATCCGCCACCATGACGACCTCGAGGACAACATCTTCGACCACGCAGTCATCTACCCAGGCGCGCGTGCTCCGGAAACAGGTTTTGGTGAGCTGATAAGATGGCCCTGTCGGGCACCAGGTGCAGAGTGTTGCTTATCTACCACTGCTTCGTGCCATATCCAGAAAAAAAAAACATGTATACATGTGCATGTGAGTTGCATGGCTGACGTAGCTCACTCCAAGAGCGATTTCGATCCATGCCAGACCACCTTGACCGTGACGGAGACACAGACCTCGACCACGACCATGCTTCAGGCACACGGGCAAGTTGAGAGATCAAATGGCTGTGGATCAAGAATAGGTACCCAAAATGGAAGCACTGACTAAAACCAGTGGTCATACCCAAATCACAAATTTGCCACTGAAGAGCTTCCTGCGAATGATTCGGCACTCAGGATTGATAGACCCTTGGTTTGATTCGGGCCGGCTTTAGCTCTGGGATTCCCGATTTTTTTGAAAGGTGGGTGTCTTCTCTTTAGGAGACCGATCTAGGCGTCTTCTCCTTATTCTTTCGGGACAAAATTGCGGTTTTCCCTAAAATGGGTTTTCCCTTGGTCCCAGATATGGTTCCCCTAAATGGTTTTCCCTTGGCCCCAGTTTTGAAACGGGGGTGCCCCAAAACAGAGGAATTCGTGTGAGGGCCCATTGGGCATCCGGCAGGAGCAGGCCTGGAGCCCCGCCACGGTGTCCGCCGGCGCGTCGCCACCTGCGCGCGCCCACCACGTGGCGGCCTGGGACCCCAAGACCAGGGCGCTGCTGGTGCTGTCGGGCAATCTCTGGCCCTCCCCCGCGGTCTTCGACGACTTCTGGAGCTTCGATTGGGAGGCGCAAAAAGTGAGGTTCCAAAAAACGCCCGTGCTGTTTATTGAATCACACCTTGAGGTTTTACGGGGGAAAATAACACATGGTTCTTGTTGTTTGTGGTCACTTGCTTGCTGCCGCAGAATTGCTTTGAAAGCCATGCACTTGTTGCTTGTTGCTTGATGTGACGTTCATCCCATAAGTTCCGTGCACATCCATCGCCTTCAGCCCACGCGCAGGCGAAGGATTGGACGAATCTGGGAAAAGCTCCTCTCCTTGCGGGTGCATCTGGAGTGTGGGACACGAGGACCGACTCCTTGCTGCTCTTCGGCGTGGGCAACGAAAGCGAGGTGTGGCGCTATTCAACGGAGGCGTCTCCTGCAGGGCAGGGAGGGGCAAGTTGAGAATTCGCGAGCGGCTCTGCTTTGTCTCCTCTTCGCACCCCTATGGTCACCTATATATGTCCGTTGCTTGACTTGTCACTGCTTGTTTGGGAATATGTCGACATTTAATCAAGGAGTCTCAAAACTGGATGGCCTGAAACGAGTAGTAGTGGTCCGTGGTTTCTCCCAAGCTGAGTGTTTGACAGTTTACCGACAACTTCGGGGTTGCCGTTCAGGCCATGGCGCTAACGCCCTACATGAAATGAAAGTCTCCGCGAGGGAATCTGGAGCTCGCTAGTATATACACTATAGCAAAGTTGGAGCATCGACGCATGGGCGCAAGCCAATGCTTCCTTGCACCTGGAGTTGATTCACCCTTTGTCCCAATTCTTTTCATTCACCCATTTGTCCATTTCCCTCCTTATTTCAATTCTATCCCGGCGTAATTTTGTTAATTTCAAGCGCGCGGTCTGCGTATTTCGGGGGATGTTTGGCGCCTTTCTGGGAGATTTTTTGGGCATTTGTGCATTGTGTTGGGCAATGTTGAGCAATGTTGGGCAATTTCGTCGTGCATGTTGGGCATGTTTTGGGCATCTTGAGCATTTTGGCGTCTTCCTTTGCCCGGCCTTGGGAATCCTGGGGCCCGATTTGCCGCCCAGCAGCCAGGCTGCGCGTCGAGTCTCCGAGCCGAGTCTCCCAGCCAAAAGTCCAAAGATCCGATACCAGACATCCAAGTTTTATCACTGACACCTCAGATAATCAGTCGCCGTAAGGCGAGCTGAAATCCAAGTGTCACTGACATGACCTCAGATAATCAGTGGATTTCCACAGGAAGGGCATCCGTTGGAGGCAAAGGGCTGGTCCCTGGCGAACTCCAGCGGACCGCAGCTGGAGAGCCACTCCGCGGTCTGGGACGAGACCCGGGCCTCGACGCCCGGAGAGCTGGCGGGGGGTGAGGGTGAGGGTGGAGGTGGTGGGTGTGGAGGCGGGGGGGGGGGTGGGGGGGAAGTGAGGGGGGTGGGGGGTGGGGGGAGGCGTTTCTTGGAGTTGGGCCAGTGTGTTTATGGGAGGACCATCAGGATTCATTGAGCAGATGCCTGCGTTTGTGTACTGTTTCGTCTTTGTGCCCTAAGGATGCTGGTGTTTGCGGGGCAAGATGGGGAGCTGAACGGCACCGTCACCAACAAGCTCTGGCAGTTCGAGAAGGCCCGCCCCCGTCTTGTTGCCTTCATGTTGCATGGTTCCTGAGAGTTTCTCTATTCATGTACTTTATTAAGTACCCTCCCTCCAACAATCATGGAAGTTGACAGGAGAGCTTTGGAAGACTATTTTCCTTTTGGGGAACCCTTTGTGCACTTCCATGATTGTTGGAAAGAGGGTAAAGCAAATGAATAGAGACGAGAATCTCTCACTCAGTTTATCTGCCATGGTCTAAGCACCTTGTTACGTTTTGTTTCGAGGGGGGTGTTTTTCAACAAGAACTTTGGGAAGGACGTGGCCCACTTGGAGATTGAGATTGGCCCAAGTGCCTTTGGCGTGAAATGCGTGGACACGGAGTACGAAGAGCTCCTTTGCGGCTTAGACGCCGGCAATCCGTCAAAGCGCGTGACTTGGACTCTCTCTCATTAGGCGATGTTTCTTTGATTGACGTCTCAGTCGGTTTATTGCCACGCTTGTTCTGAATTCATGAACATGCTGATGTGCAGTTTGCGATTGATTTCACAGTCTACTTGTGAAACATGTGTAGTCTTTTTGCATAGGGAATGACCGATAGGTAGGGGGGTGTTGGGAATGAACCGGTTTTGGGGATTCAAGTGGCGCCTTTTTTTCTCTTTTTTGGAAGGGCTCCCCTTTAACCTCAACCAACCCCAAAAAGTGGGACGCCCTTTTTCCCCATGGCCACCCGGCTTCTGAACCCTCAGACCTGAAGCGCAGCGGCTTCACCTGATTTGTTTTTGGGTACTTGCGATCGGTGCCCATCGGCAGGGAAGGACCGAGACCGGGTGTTGGGGAATGAAGTCGAAGGGGGATTCCCTCGAAGGAAATCATCCGGGAAGGTTTGCAGGGGCACATTTTTTCCTCATTCCCTGAGCACCAGCAAGATTTTTGCTCGGAAGGAAGGATAGTGCCTACCCAGCTTTGATAGAAGCCTTGGCTGGAGGACACCTTGAGCCCCACTGAATTGACATTCCGGCTTGCAAGCGGTGCACAAAACCCACAGCCTCTCCTCGACTGCTGAACTGAGCACATTTTGAGGATCGCTTGTCCCTTGGAAACGGCGGCAAGCCAAGTTTTCTTATAGATGCGACAAGCCCATGTAGGCCCCCAGCAAGACGAAAGTGCCAGCTTCAGGTGACTCACCGGCTCTACGCGAACGCTGACGATGAGTTCAAGGTGTCCACCGTGAACACGCAGGTCTGCGCGGAACGCTTGGATCGCTTCGCCGGCTGGGCGCTGGATCTTGCAGTCTCATGCACCGCCACCAAGTTGGAGGTCGGGGTGGGGTGGGTTTGGGGTTCGGGGGGGGTTTGGGGGGTTTGGGGTTTGGGGTTTGGGGGGGTTTGTGGTTTGGGGTTTGGGGTTTGGGGGGGTTTGGGGTTTGGGGTTTGGGGGGGGGGGGGTTGGGGGCGTTTGGGGGGGTTGGGGGCGTTTGGGGGGTTGGGGGGGGTTGGGGGGGGGATTGGGGGGGGTTGGGGGGGGGGGGGGTAACTTCAGCGGCTGGCAAGGTTCGTGTCATTTGGGGGGTTGATCAAAAGGTCCTTGCAAGGAGTCGCGTATTTCCAGCAACAGGACAGTTGATCAAGTGCCATTCCCCTCCCACCAATTGACCTGGAACCTGACAGGGAAATCGTCCCTTTACAAGGAAAACAAGTCCAAACCAGGACCCCAAACGCCAAGTTCCATGTTGCTTGTGGATTTGGGTGGGTCGTGTACTTGACATGGGCTTCTCCAAATTTGTTCCATGGCCCACCGCTTCCATGGCCCGCTGTCTCGGTCTCGTTTCGCTCGTGGCTTCGGTTGAGGTGCTGAGACAGCTGACCATCGAGATCGGCGCCAGCAGCTACCGCACCCAATGCGTGGATGGCCGAAATCTCTCGCTGGCCTGTAGCCCTGATGCGGGCGACAAAGGCAAGCGCGCGCCTGGGGCCCTTCTTTTTTTGTCCAGTGGTGGTTTGGGGGGGAGGGGAGTTTTTGTTTAAAGTTTGTTGTTCAGCTCCACGGCTTTGCTCAATTTTCCAGTGGTGCCAGGGGGCTTGAGGGATGTGTTTTGTCTGGAGTTTTCGGGCATGGCCAGCGCGCAAACCCCAGGCGCAGGGGCTCAAACGCCAACTAAAGCTGACCCAGATTTGAGCAAGACGCCTCCTGAAATACGAATCTCCCTCAAGGGACAACTCCGCGTGCTCTCATTTTCGATCATATTTTTTCAGCGCTCAGGACCCAGACAGGTACCTGGCGGATGCAAACGACACCTTCGAGATCAAAGTCATCGGTTCCTGGGTTTGCGCGAATCGGCTGGATGAGTCGGCTGGATGGGAGCAGGACTTGGCCATCACCTGCAGCGAAACCAGGGAGGCGACATTTGAGCGCCCAAATGGTCAGGTTAGAAACAAGTGTTAGGTTCGTCTGCCGGGTTTCGTGGGGACTATTGTGAGTCCCTCATGAACCTGTAAAGCCATGTTGGTGGAACCAAGTCAACGGCACAAATTGAATGAGGCAAATGCCCGGTCACTGGTAAGTACGGAAGGCATAGCAAAAAGACCTTCCGATGAAGGGTACAAGCAAGAAGTGCTGTGCAGGTGCCAGAAGCAGTGGAGGTCAGGATTGGCTCCAGTGAAGCGTTCTCCAAGTGTGTGGTAACGGATTACTATGCCATCACCTGCGAGGAAGATGGAGGCAACAAGGGTCGGCGGGCCCTTCGGCAGAGATTTAAATTATTTCCCGTGTGTCAGGGCGGAGCCCTGCTAGTCGAAGGCAGCGAATGTGGTGAGCCAGAGCCGTGGTTGAAGGATGTAGTAGGATATTTGGTGCTGACACAGCATTTGAAAGAAGCCAGTTGAGCTGATTTAGGGATCGTACAAGTAGATTACTGGGTTTGCGTATAGCAAGGATATTTGTTCCTGGCTTTGGAACAATTGCACCCATCATTTTCATCTTCCAATTGTGGGCTCCTTTTCCCACCAGTGCGTGCGCCCAGGGAACCCAAAGAGCAGATGTGGACGCGGCTGATCTCTTCGAAATCGTGGTGAATGGCTCTACAGTGTGCGCCAGCCATCTGGACAATTCAAGTTGGACTGTCGATCTTGCCATCAAATGCGCAACACACCTCGAGGCAGCTTGTATGCATAATTTGTCTCAAGTACATCTTGAGACATGGCGAGACGGAGTTTTCGGATACATTTTGCAGTTGCTGTTCTCATGGGGGGAGGGGAGGGGGAGGGAGCCCGAAGCCCTCTATGAGGCCTTCTTAAGGCCTTATTCAGGACTTCTTTGGGCTCCCTCCCCTCCCTCCCCCCAGCCATCTTTCGATTCAGCCGAGGTTTGGCACCAGGTGTCCCTTGGAGCCAACGCCACTTCACCCCCCGCGCGGAGTGGGCACGCGGCGGTGTGGGATCCTTTGCACAAGGCGATGCTGGTCTTTGGTGGCACCGACGGCCGCTGGCTGCTCTCAGACTTTTGGCGCTTCAACACGGAGGCCGCTGAAAACAGTCGGCAACTTGTGATCCTCCAAAGAGTCGGGCGCGACAAAGATCAATCTCATGATCTCCTATTTTTTTTTCTTTTGACTATATTTCTGTATATATGTATATTTCCTTCGGACCTCCCAACGCATCCTTTTGCTTCGGACCCTTAACGACTCTCATCGAGCGTTTGTCTCTTTTTTTTTGCAGGGCGAATCCTGGGAGCAGCTGCCCTACGGGCCATCAGCCCGGCAGGGCCACACCGCCATCTGGGACCCAGCCACCGAGAGCCTTTGGCGGAAGTTTTCGGTTGTTCGGAAGTTGTTCGGCTGTGGGTCAAAGCCGTTTTGGGATCCCATTTTGGTTGGTAGGTGAATTCACCACCCATGTTCGTCGATATTTTAGTGGTTGGATTGGGATGTTCACTGGGGGTAATCTTAACCCCCGATGAAGCAGAACCCCTGGTTGATTTTGATTGGGGGGTGTCCCCTTTTAGTGGCTGGACTCAGACCACTTTTGGAGGGAACCCCCCTAATAGTGGGACGGGTTTAAAAATGCATGGGTTCCACTGGTTTAGATGCAGGTGTCATTTCCATTACCAGGGGAACCCCTCTGTTTGTCCAAACGGCCTCATATGGTTGCACCACGAAAGGAAACCACGGTGGAAACCGTTGGTTGGTATTTTGCCAGGGGAATCAAACCATTCCGTTTCGGGTTTCTTGAATTTCAGACATCGCACCATTTCACTCCAAAGGTTAAGGGAACCATGAAGTTGAAACCACAATGGCATTTGGCCAGGATCGAATCATTCCGTTGGGCTTCTGAACGGTGCGAACGGATGATTTTCACTCTTTGTGTCCTTTCAATGTGTTTTGGGGGACCCCTTTTGATTGGGTTTTAAAAGACCAAAATGAACGCCGAACTCCATTTTGGGGTCCGAATCCAACAAAAACCACCATGTTTTTCTCTCCCGTGCCTATCTCATTGATTCTGCTTGCGCTCGATTAATTTCCTTGGCTTTGCTTGCAAACCAACCAAGCAATTCGCCATGGTTTTTCTCCGCTTATCTCCTTGATTCTACTTAAACAAAAAAACAACAATTCGATGAGATCCCAGCCCAAAACAAAAAACGGCTGTGGCTCAAAAAACCGGTACCAAAATGGAACCCTGGTAAGTGGAAACATGGACCAACACCCTGCGGTTTGCCCCTCCCCCTGTTTAATTTTGAGCCACACCCGAACGGAGGATCATGTACATCTTCGGGGGCGTGGACGCCACTGGGCACCGGGGTGACCTCTGGCTCTACCGACAGCAGGCGCGGGCTTCGGCGCGGGGCGGCCTCGGGCCTCGGGCCAGGGGGGGGGGGAGGCCTGGCATGGCATCTTTTTCCAAGCTCCAACTTGTTGAACTCGTGATTCTGAATGCTTTTTTTTTCTGGGTGGGCCCAAATCGGCACCTTGTGCTTGTCCATGCTTGTCCTTCCTTTTTTCGGGGTGTTCCAATTCAGAAATTCGGGTTTGTCAATTCACGCGATCGCTTGCAGGGTGGCTTTCTGAATGGGCTGAGCTCTGAATAGCACTTTTCAGTCTGGCAGATTGCCTGAAGCCGTCAGCTGACATTGGAGTACACAGATAGATCTACTTTTGCCGCTGCCAATTGAGACAGGACATGTGTGGGTGTGCGCGCTCTAAACAATAACATGCCAATGCTGCCGTCTATTCGTGGAACGTGTCCATGTACTACTGCGGGTATGGTTTCAACTTCATGGAATGACCTGAGCGATTTCCGGTTGTCGCAACCATCAGTAGGTCTAGATCGCTGCAACTTCACGGTTTCCTGCACCGTGGTGCTTTAGACTGGCGGACCATCAGTAGCTTTTTTAGGTCTGTACGTCGTGGCTGCCACTTGCGCAGGAGATGATGTGGATGCAAATGCCCGTTGCTGGCCCTGCACCGCGATCGGAGCATTCGGCGGTTTGGGATCCCGAGGCCCGTTCCTCGTTCTGTCAGCATGGGTCACGTGCTCGCGAGAAAAAAAACCGGAGCCCGGGAAAGTGGAGGATAAGGGACAAGCGCCTGGCCACAAATGGGAAGAAGGAAGGCCGCCTGATCAATTCTTGAAATGGTGCTGCGTAGAGCATTTTAGTACCGGGTTTTGCTTGTGACTCAGATGAAGGGTGTTAAAGGAGACAAAAAAGAGAGGGGAACTGCAACGGCGGCCGAGTAGCCTTGTCCCACACAACCAAAAACAATGCAGCTCCTTTAGCGCCACTCGACAAAACTCGCCGGGATTTTTTTGGAGATAAAGTGATGTGGGTATGGGTCAAAATGAAACCACAAGGGGACCGCAGGTTTTGGTCCATATGTTCCATGTACCAGGTTTTGATTAGGGTACCCATTTTTGACCCACAGCTATGAGAGGGCCGCGGCATGCTGGTCTTTGGTGGCTGGAACTCCTACGCCTACTTCCGAGATGTCTGGCACTACCAGGCGAAGGCAGGGGATTAGCCGACGAGGCGAGTGAGGTCACTCGACTTGCTTCGAGTGCTTTTCAGGAGCTGTCGACGACCACCACCATAACGCCGGAGCCCTTGCCGTCTTGCTGGTATTTAGCGATAGGTAGGGAATGACCTTCCAGGTGTTGGGAATGAACCGGATTCTCTTAAAGGAAGCCACAAGGAATGGTATTGTGGGGGTCATTCCCTCATTCCCTGATGATAACCAGCAAGCTTGCCGTCACATTGGCATCGGGTTGACAGTTGGATCCGAAAATCGCTAGTGGTTTCACCATTGTGTGGCTGTGGCAGGGTATCAACCAGCTCCACAACTCACACGCCAGAAGCCCAGACCATACCGTGGATGGACAAACTCCTGCACCACCTAAGAAACCCTGGTTTCTGATGATTCCCGAACGAACGTTATGCATGGTTTTGCCATGGTTTCCTTAGCCGTGGTGCGATGTGTCGCGGATTTTGCCACCATCCACGGAGTTGTCTTGCACAGCGCAGGGAAGTGGACTTGAAGTTTTTTGTCTCACTAATCTCCCAGGCACACGAGCACCTCCTCCACCCAGTCGACCAAGACCACCTCGCCGCTTTCTCAGAACTAGGGCCATGTCACCTCTCGCTCCCCTTCCGAAACTCGGGTGGATACGGTCCGGCCCAATGGCCCCAGGTCCACGAGCACGACAACCACTTCAGCGCGCTGGCATGAAGCGTCATGCTTTGTCGTACCTGGATCGCCAGTTGCGGTCGTTTTTTTTTCTTCTTTTTTTCTCCATCTACAGAAACCCCAAAAACCGATCGCAACAGTGACTGAAAACAACAGCAACTTGGCTATCTAGGTAGAATAGAATACCAGTAAACTATGTGACGTGCCCCTGCCAACCGCTTCCTTCGGTCGTTAGCATTCAAACTTATTTCCTGTCAACATTCCTTCCTCCTATCTCTCTATCCCATGCCCCACCACGAGAGATTCATGATGAATCATGACTGTTGTTGTTCTTATTCACAAGGCGTCAATGTGACGTTGGAGGGTATTTCAGGTTTGCAGCCAGAGTTCCCTCCACTCTGCTTGGGTTGGGTTGGACAGAATATTGAACCCCGAGCACGGTTTGACAGAGCCTTCCATGCTGTGGGGATCACTCAAGGTGAATGAAGAAAAAGAGCCACCATCAACATGCAACCTGTGTCAATGCGAAAGGAGTCAGCATCATCATCAGTACCTTGGGTGATATTCGCTGTTGATAGTCTTCCTTCCTGTTGCCCGGCACATGTGCGACGCTCTGCGACCCTTGATGCCGGGTCAAAACGTGCTGCACACTTCGACCGCCGGCCTGCGCTGAGGAACGCGTTCCCGTGGTCGCGGTCCCTCCGTGCCGATTCGTCGGGAATCTGTTTTCCAGCTGCTCGCTGGCTTTCATCTAAGGGTTTTTGTATTACACCCTGAGAATACACCCACTGGGTATTGACCCCATTTAGGCACATTGCCGGATACAACCATGTTATTTTTGAACCATTCTGGGTCATTTCCGGGTGTACTCCCAGGGTGTAATACAAAAACCCTCAGATTTCAGCTCTTTGTTTCTGCTATGGTTCAGCTGGTCTCACAAGACTCGGGGTGGCTCAGGTGAAGCGTTGATTGGAATTCGCCACAACGCCTGGCGAGACGCCACCTCCGTGCTTTTCTTCATTGCGATTGGGCTGATTGCCATAGGCCGAGCTGCAATCTATTTGGCTTGACGCGGAGCATGTTTGGCCGTTGTTTGACCATGTGTGTGAGTGTGTCTTTGTTGGAAAATCCGCTGGGAGGCATCATTTGCGCTACTGCTCGCGACTTCCTGTCTTGGAAGCGGTATGCTGGGACATCGAAACTTCAGGCAAGTGTGCCATTGGCATTCTCGCAAAAGGAAGAAACACGTCGGTTTTTTTTGAGGCACATCATTTGGTTGTTTTCGCACGTTTGCATCACTGGTCCGTGTCAGTCGAGTTGCCTGTGGTTCTTCTGTGTTCCGCACTTGCAGGGGGGAGACGAAGACAGCTTTGAGCCTGGGCTTAAATAGATGATAGGCCAATGCCACGTTCATGAGTTTGATGTCAGCAAGAGACCTCAACAGGCGCCTTACTCTGCCAACTGAGTGGCGTGTGTTTGCTTTTGAACAGATTGAGTATCAGCTGATTCGAATCGTGGCACCAAGGACTCTGGAATGCTTTGCAAACCCAACAGCACAATGCTGGTGGTGGCCAGCCTCACGAAGAAGGCTCGGCACTCGTGTCATGGGCGGCAGCGTCCACCCTCCCTTCCGTTGACATGGAACCTGCGTGAGCGGAGAACCTGGGAAGACCAGTTTTCTCAAGGGACCTTCTGTCAGGTTTCATGTTGGGCGGCTGGAGGCTGGAGGGGGTGTAATTGTGTTTTCCGCAGGCACAGTCAGTTGAGACCGGCATCGTGCCAGAAGACATGCGAGCTGTCATCCAGCTGTCCGCAGAAGGACGCATATGGCACGCGGGACGGTTTTCTCCATTCGTGTCATCGCAAGCGGCACTTATTCTACTTGTAGACGGATCATACGGATCCATTCACCATGCAACTCTGAGTCTTTTTCCTCAAGAGAATGCCAGTAGCCTTTGCCTCTTCAAAGGGCGTGCAGGGACTGCTCAAAGACATGCTTTGCTGCTCCGCTGATGCTGCTACTTTTACTTTTCATGTGCTACTCGATGGTTTGAGCTGAGCAACTAGGCATTGTCTTGTCGTTTTGCTCTTTGCCCCCTCCTGTCGCAATAGCTCCACATTTTTGTCATGAGACTATCGTTTGGGCTGGCAGCACTCTCAACTTTGGCAGGAATCAGGCTGCTGGCTAAAACAAGCTTGACAATAGTAAGGCGTGCTTGCACACGCTGAAACTCATTGGCTGAAGCAAAATGCTAAAGCTACAAGTGCTTGTTCGTTGCAAGGACTTGCGAAGGTGACGATGGTGGATGACACGGCTTCTCGCATGGCTAGCGAGGCCTGGATTCTGGTTGATTTCACGTTGTGCCTGAAGTTACTTGCTGGTGCGATAGGTAGGGAAGGACCTTCCGGGTGTTTGGAATGAACCGGTTTTGGGGATTCCCTTAGAGGAAGCCAAATCGGGGATGGTTGAGTTTGGGGTCATTCCGAGTCATTCCCTCATTCCCTATCGAACCAGCAAGCTTTGCCGTCACGTTGGCACCGGGCTGAGAATTGGATTCTGGCAGCTAGTTCCTGGCCACAATCCTCGCGCAGTGTCCCATTTTTGTGCTATAGCGATTGTGTCAAGTTCATTCCATGACCCTTAAAAATGGGGTCATTAATTCCCCCAAATTCAGGGGTCATGGACCCATGTTTTAAGGGTCTTGGAGACTCCAGGAGGTTCACTCCTCTGATTTCATGTTCAGAGGTTCGTCCGAGAAGTTTCCAGGTGGCCAAAGGCCGAGACCTCATGGAGCAGGCCAACGACGTGGCGGAGCGTTTCGTGCAGAGTGGAGGCGCCGCGTTCTGGCGGCGCTGGGCCTGGCCACTCGAGCGTCTCAAGAGAGACGGTTTTGGTGGACAGGAAACCAGCAGACCTATCTTTTCTTGGCTCGCAGCCATCCGGTTCCTGAGCTTTTTAGCTTTTTGGTTAAGTGGTTGGGTTTCCTGGAAACCCACCAAGAGTTAGGCTTTTAGCAAGGGATCTGAGGGCAGCCCACTTTTGTGGAGGTCACCTGTTGCCTCTTTTTGGGTTGCTGGCGATTTGTTAGGGGTCGCCATGAAACCTCCTTGGTTCCATTTCCAGAGGTCTGGTCTGAGTGGTGCTAGTTGCGAAGGTGCTTTCATCGCATCTCCTACCCTGGAGGTTTGATTTCTGGGATAGACAGCCGCAACTGGAGAAAAGAAAGGCACTATGCAAAGGTTGTATTATCTGCAGTTAACCCTGGGGTAGCGGTTTGGAGGTAGTGCACGCAATTCTAGATAGTTTGGGAACTAGTTGCTCGTGTTGACTTTGACACATTTTCACAATATAAATAACCTTGTTTCTAGCAGCCAAGGCTTTTCTCGGCACTGAACCCGCTGATGAATGTGCGCCGCTCCTTGGCTAAGAACTTGACCTTTGGCTGCGACCTTTGTTTTGTTGGCATGGATTTTGCAGTTCTGCAGCGTGCACGAAGGCTTCTCCTTCCGAATCTCCCACGAAGCGAGAGCCGTGCTGCTGGCGTGCCGGCTGCTTGCAGCCGCAGCCATCATCGTGGCTTTCTATCAGCCGCTCAGATTCTTTAGCTTCACATGCGGCAATCAATTCAGCGCATTGCATGGCTTCCCTTGATCGTCTCATCGTTAGACGCCTGAGGGCCTCCTCGTTACTGAGAGACCTTCCGGAGCACTGCGCCGAAGACATTGAATCCCGGACAGTGCCCCCTTGCAGCACGGTCTTAGTATTCTCACGCCTCAGGTGCACACAAGAGAAAGCCTTGTGCCAACCTTTGGGTATGGGTCAAAGTTAACCACCAGGATACGGACCGCAGGTTTGAGTTTCCATCTTTTGCACATGTTTGCTCGGTTTCCATTTTGGGGTTACCCTACTGTGGATGGACGAAATCGATCACCACCGAAGAAACTGTGGAATGATGATTCCCCTGTAAACACCAACGAACAATGGCTGCCCATGATTTCAAAATGGTGCAGGATTTTGCCCATATGTTTGACAACTACAGCGATTTCGAGCAGAGGTTTCAAATGATCCTCTTTTCCCTGCTGGCGGCCTTGTTGTGCACGTTGATCGCCGTGCTCCTGCTGATGATTCGCAGGCCTCGGAAGTCAGATGGTGGCTTTGATATTGATTTCCACCAAGAAGGGTACCAACTCCAAAACAGAGACACTCCATGGGGGGGGAAATGAAGGTACACTCGCTTCAAGCCACATAGAAAATAGGGTAGATGGAGGTTAGTGAGGGAGAGTCGCAACCATATAATCGGCGCGGGTGGTTTCGGGTACACGATGTTAATACCAGGTGGCTCGCAAGAAGCAGCTGTGTCATACCTCGGAAGGTACCCCGAACGGGGAACCTCTGCAAAAGCTGCCCTGCCGCACCAAGTCTGACGCAAAAATCAACCGGCCGGCGGACAGTCAGCCTGTTAACCGGCGCTTCCAAGGTCCGCAGGAGGAGAGCTGTGATGTCTTTGAGTTTGCGATTTTTCTGGATGATGTTTGCAACTTGGAAGCACCTATTCAATCTTAGTGGATATGTTTTGCGGATGCAATCTTGCGTTATTCCTTTCCCTGTGGACAGAACCAGACTTGACAGCGTACATGCACTCCAGGGGATTCTGATTGGAATTTGCTTCTATGTTTGCCTGGCCTTTTTTGCCAACGCCAGCAAGAAGGACTGGGACTGCCCTTGAGTTGCTTTCATGCTGCGGAGTAGGTGTAAGTCAAGGCTTGCAACGTGATGTTTAGCTTACGGGAGTACAGTACATCAGGCAGCCCCTCATTGGTGGCTTGGATTCGTGGTTTGGTTTTGGATTTTTCTAAGGGTACATGGGAAACCACCCCTTGAACCAATCCAAACGAGGCTCCACACCACCAGTTAGGGGTCCCGAAGCAGAGTAAAGGAGAGCCCAAGGGCTGACAGTGTGACCCGACCGCTGAACGCACCGATGCAAACAATGACCTGCTTGAGTGCGGTTTTTGCTTGGGCTTGTGCTTCACATGAGGTCGCGCACATCAGCATGTACAATACAAGTATATCAGCATATATCAGTTGACCTGCAAAAACTCGTGCTTCACCGCAAGGCAGCACACATCTGCATGTAAATATCAAGTACAAAGATCTGAGTCGTGAGGTTGATTCACAAATAGACCCCTACAAGTCAACGCCGGTCTTTGCAGGATTCCGCCGATTGGGCCGGAGGCCAAGCTTGCGGTGTCGAGGCTTTGATTTTTGTTCGCCGCACCCGGCTCATGCGTGGCTTTTGTGGATTGAGGTCATCACATGCCGCTTGGGCCCGCATGAGTTTCGGGCGGCTTTGCGGACGAGCCTCTAGAAGAATGTCGACAGGGAGAACCCAAATGGGGCAAATGGGTCAAAACCAAACCACCAGGATATGGACCGCAGGTTCTGGTCCAGGGTTCCATTTGTGGGTACCTATGTTTGACCCACACCCAAATGGAGCCCCATTGCATGTTCATCGCATTCAGAGAATGATCCTTCGCTGCCCAGGGTTCCTAGCAGCAGCAATGGTCCTGCTGATCGGACCGGCCGTCGGCGCACTCCTTCTGGACTTCTTGGTGATGTTGCTGGGCTTTGAGAATTTGAAGTCCCCGAAGTGCTTTCTTTTTCAACATCCATGCGTGCCACATGTTTTTTCAGCGAGAAGGAACTCTATACCAGCCAGCCTTTGCAAAGAAGCTGGTTTTCAGGAGATGAAGTTGATCAATCTTGTTCGGTCAAAGGTGGTGCACGACGCATGGAGTCTTATGGAAACCTGGATTCCGTTTTTTGGACTACCCCAAAGTCGACTTAAACCTAGGGTTGGTTGATTTCCCCAAAAGGAAAACCCCTGGGCTTAAGTCGACCTTGGGGTAGTCAAAAAACGGAACCCTGATGGAAGCGATTTGGGCTTGTGCAACATTGATTCAATGCCATCCGCAAGGCCTGCCAATCTCAGAACCACCGGTGATTCACTCGTATGCTCACGAGTTGAGCCATTGAGTCGTACTTGTATGTGGAAAGGAAACCAAGGTCCGAGTCATTCCACACAGCCACATACCCTGAGCTATTTCGCTTAGGACACGGAAGGCTTAGTTCTTGTCGTTTGGAGGCCAGCAGAAGGAGCCCCATTCCACATCCAGTGGCTGGAGTCGATTTTTTGTGGTCGCTGCTCTAATCTTTTTCAAGGTGCTTGGCTTTCCTTTGAGCTTTTTTTTTCCGCTTCAAACCAACCCGAGAAGGACAGCACTTTATGGCTGTTTGGAAACGACTCTTTGGACTTTAGCTTTTTGTTTGAAACAGCTCTGTTTTTTTCTGCATTGGACCCATAAAGAGTCCTGCACTTTTTGCAGAGGGTTCAACAGCAACCAAGCAAAAGAACCGCAAAAGGGAGATCCAATAATTGTCTCTCCGCGTGTTTCTTTTTCGTATCGTTCAAAAATGGCACTGTGCAGCGGTGATTCGATTGTAGAGGTGGGCAAGGCCTTCTCTAGCTGCCACAATCTGAGCCGGATCAATGTGGGTCACCAGCATTCTTAGTTTCCTCTTGGCTTGGCAGGGAAATGAGGGGCACACCAGGGCCGTAGGACAAGACCTGGGGCCATTGACATTCGACTTTAAATGGCTTTTCGGCCCTGCATTCTGTGGCGCCCCTGGTTTCAGGGCTGCAGCTGGATGTGACTCTATGGCTGAGAATTGTGTTTGCCTGAAGCATGGCTTGCACATGTTTACCACTTTAAGTGCTGGAGACACAACTCAGTATCCAAGCTTCTCATGCCTTTGCGGGGGTTCACCACGATCTTGCCGAAGGCAGGCCGGAGGGATAAAAGGCCCTGAATATCATGTTGGTGGCTTTGACTAAATAATATCTTGGGCGCCCTGCACGCCCACATGTTTTAGTAAAACACATTTCCCACCCAACGTCCTCTTGGAGAAACCATAGAAAACAGGGCGTTTAGTGTTAGGGAAGAGAAGCAGGTAGGTAGGGATGGTCCATAGAAGTATGGGCCTTGATTTGTACCCTCTTTGCCTTTGGCTTTCCAATCTCCTGTTTAGAGTTTGTTGCCTGCCTGTGTTTGCTGGTATTCGAATGTTGCCTTTGCACCGTGGACAGTGTGAACGACCCCAAAGAAGTGGATGCGCAATGTCATGTCTTCCGACTAGCTGAGGGATGCCCCTTTAAGGGTCACAGGAGCGGCGGCAATGTGTCCTCTCAGGTTTGCCCTGCGCCGCGATCCGGACTTGCACCTCGGAGTGCACTCGGAAGAAGCCAGCTTCCCGAAAAGCCTCGATGGTTTTTGGGCCTTCAAAACTGGTTGTTCTGAAGGGCCGAGGAATTGGTCGGGGTGCTCCATTGGAGGCTCCGGGGTGTGTGCATTGGAGGGGTCATGACCCTTGGGGTTTCCCGTTTTGCATCTTGCGACATCAGAATCTTGGCATCTGAGGGCCAAAGCCGTCAAGGACCACGGCAACAGCTGCTGGTGCTTTGCCGGGAATGAGGGAATGACCCCCCAAAAACCCATCCCCTATGGTTTCTTCAAGGGAATCCCGTTAAACGGTTCATTCCCTCATTCCCTTCATCTCTCGCAAGAAAAGCTGCGCTCCATTCGAGCGCCGGATGTCTGGCCAGGACCGGCGATGGTTTCATTCGGAGGATGTGGAGGATGTGGACGACCTGGACGATGTCCCCGTGGAGCCGCTAGAGTCGGAGCTTCCAACGAGCCAAGCTCCTGCGGACACCTCGCTGAGGGCTTAACGTGGAGTGCGACGAGTGCAGTCCGCTGAGTTGCCTTTTTGAACTTAGTCGGTAGCCGTTCAACTAAAAGGTTTTGGGTGAAGTGTTGGGCCAACAGTGGTTGAAACTCCCATGGGGAGTTGCAATTTATAGTTGATTCAGGTTTCAAGCCTTGTTGCGGTCAGCTTTAGAATGATCGGATTGGTTTCTTCGTCAGTCTCCATGCCCGAAATTTGACTCTGCCGAAGCAAGGCCCCAGCTGCTGCCAGATGCGATGCCTTGGATCAACATGACCTCCGAGGACGTATCCCCCGTGTCTCCAGCATCGCAACTTGGCGCAGGAAACAACTGGGCGTGGGTCAAAATTTCACCCACCAGGATATAAACCGCAGGTTTGGGTTTCCGTGCTTCCATGTAGCAATCGGGTTCCATTTCGGGGTTCCCCGGGGTCTAGTCTAAGTTCTCACGCCGGTAGAACGCAAGCATGATATTGCGGCAGAGAGTCGGAAGTTCCCCGCATAGCTGTCAGGCCGGGATCCATCGCCTACCTCCGAGAGAGTGACATCAAGGACAGGGCTTTGCCGGGTTAGACATACTTTCAATCTACGGCGCTGTTCGGTGGATGGAAAGGCACTTCTGGTCCTGCGTCAAGCGAAGAGCTTCATGCTTTTAATGCTTGCCTCCATTCCTCGCTTGCAGGTTCTTGCGCAGGGGCTGCACGGAAAAAGAAAATATGGTTGAAATGGTACACAGCATTTGGATGAGCTCAAAGCATTGGGTTGCATTGACAAAGTGTTCGACCCTTTTTTCGGTTAGAATTATCGAGGCTGCAGCCATGTTTTCGCTGTGATTAAATAGATGGCGACCATGCCTGTCATTATTTACCCGCTGCACACATCGTGCGTTTACACATTACACTGTCCAACTGGAGTTTTGCCAGACCTGGATCCATTGAAAAGCGATCGGGTTGAGAGAATATCTTGCCCGGAGGGTCCAAGTACCTTGTATTTGAGGATTTGAGGAATCTGTAATTGACAACTCCCCTTGAACCAAACCGAATTTGACGACCTACCTTGAACCAAACCCAAAGCCGTATTTTTTTTGGGTGCCGTACTTGGGACTGTGTGGCTTGGGATAACCGCAGCACCTGGCCGCAGGGAGTGACGTCTGAAGGGAGGCGCAGTCGAGGTGATCGCGACGCGGACGAGATCTATTTGGAATTGGACCAGGCCGGGCATTTCTGACTTCTGACTCTTTGAACGGCGCGAGCTCGCCTTTTTTCGGGGGGAATCACGAGCGAAGGCCGTGTTAAAGGTCCTTTACCAGTGGATCCAATTCTTATTTCAGCTTTTGGACGGGTGAAAATGGCGGACTCATTGCTCCCGCAACCACTCCGGCGTTCGCAACCTGGCCCTGGCCAACAAAAACCTCCGCGAGCCGCGCCAGGCTGAGGCCGCTGTCTGCACCACCTGCCAATTCGGTAGCCAACCTGAGGTTATGAAGGCGGGTGCAGCAGATTCTCATGGGGGCCTTCGGGGGGGAGGGAGGGGGGGGGAGGGAGCCCTTGTTAAGCCCTAAATAAGGCCTTAAGGGCTTAATAAGCCCTCCCCCTCCCCTTCCCTCCCCCCCGCCCCCATGAGATTCCTCGCAGAGGGGGTTTTGCATTTCCGCGGGGTTTCGCGTGTGATAGGCGAAGCCCACTTCCAGACAAGACTGGACCAGGGCAAGCATTCACAGGCGCCTTTTTGTTGCCGGGTCGTGGCGCAGACACTTGCCCATCCGAGGCGCGACAATAGTAAGCTCCCGCGCGCCCAAGTGATCGGCAGCGGTAGATAATCGCCGTGTGGCTGCTGCTGCGGCTTAACAATTTTGCCGCAGCGCACACATGTCGTCTAGAGATTCTTTTTTCGGGCTGCCCAGAGCACCAAAGAGGTCTGAAGGCTCAAATGAGACTTTGGCAAGTGTGATGCAGCGAGACACCGCGCACTGTCGACGAAACAAAAGTCCACCCAGCTGACTTCCAAATTTGAGAAGCTTAAGGCTTAAGGTACATGCAGCTGGCCTGGTGTGTTGTCCGCATTTTGAGCCCAGAGTGCCATGTTCTCCCTCGCGCGCGGCGTCGGGCGACTCGGGCGCTTCGGGCGCTTCCGGCACGTGGCGCCCTTGCGCTTGCAATGCCCGAGCGCCAGCTGTCAAGGTGCCAGGGTGGTTGGAGTGACATGTGGCCATGGTTCAAAACCAATGGCACCATTTTAGGACAGGTGCACCGATAGGTGCACACCCATTTTAGAACCTATTTTAGTGGTTGGATTGAATCGGATGTTCACTGGGGGCTAACCGATTTGGGTTTTGACCCATGCCCACATGGAAGCACTTGTGCTGTGGTCAAACCCCTTTACTTTGGACATCCCCCTAATTTGATCGTCGGCAATAAAGCTTCTCGAGGTAGCCAAGACCATGGCCCATATTTTGAGAGTGTCGACCATCGCCAACGCACAAGGTTGACCCGGATTGATCGGCCCCCTGTTTGTCAATATGGGGGAGTTGTTCTGCAAAAGTGGTCTGAATCCCCACTAAACCCAGGGAGAAGCACCCTCATATTTAAATTTATAAACTCGGGGGTATCAATCCGGGGTCAACAGTACTTGCTGGTGCCCAATGACCTTCCGGGTGTTGGGAATGAACCGGTTTGGGGATATCCGAACAAAGGAATGGTTGTTTATGGTTTTTCAAGCGGGGTCATTTCATGTCTCAGGGCCCCTGCCTAATCCGGATCGCAACAAATCAGATTTCGAGTTCCGAGAGGCCAAAAAAGAGCTTCCATTTTTCAGGGCTCAGGGCCCGAAAAGCATCTCTCGAAGCCAAAGAGCCCAAAATCCAAAAAAAAAGAAGAGGGATGTCTCGTGCTTCGCCCCAGGCCTCATCTCTCGCGAAAAAGCCCAAAGAATCCAAAAATCAGAGCCTCAGATTTCCCCAGGGCCCTCGAATCTCTCGAAGCGATCCATCCCAAAGTCGAAACATCGGGATTCGAGCCAGGCCTCCAGAGCTTTGCGACGATCTCCCGACCTCAAGAGCTTCACCGACATAGGAAGCGCCTCGAAGGCTTTGGCAAGGATGCCCCGCCTGGCGATGAAAAGGCCGGCTGCGGCTTCGGCCGGAGATGGGTGGCTCGTCTCTTCTTCTTTTTCGTCGGCGCCGGTGTTTGTTGGCGGCTTCAAAGTTTGAAAACCCAAAAGGAAGTCATGTTGGAGGGTGCAACCTTGAGGAATTGCACATTCATATATGAAGATTGTGGAAATATGTCGAAGGGATTGCTGTGCTCGAGCCATTTTTGGTGCCAAGGTGTTTGAATTCGTCCGTCCATGTGTGCAGAAGCTGTCCGGTCCTTCCATTCGCTCCTTGTGCATCTTGCGCAGACCCTGGGGGATTGTCGGAACCTCCTGAAAGACGACGACTGGTTCGCACGGAAAGTTGCAGTGGACGCCATTGCCAAGGCGCGGTGAGCGGCGGAAAGAAGCGCGCCATGCGCGCGTTCGCAAACCGTCGAAGCTGTGGAGTAGCCAGCCGGTTAGCTGGTTGACTGAGCTGCTGTATCCAGAGGTGTCTCAAAAGGGCGACGAGGTCCAGTTGGCTCTGCTTTACAAGCACTTGGAGGCCGGCGCACGCAGATGCAAAGCCACAGGGCCAGTGCTGCAGACATGACATTTGACTGCCGAAGTGCAGCTTTGCCCCAAGGATGACGACATCTTTGTTCGGGAGGCGCGGAGCCTTGGCGATTCGAGACAAGTCAGACAGAGATGTTGCGCCAAGGCTGCGGTTGATGCAGTGGTTCAGGTTGCCCAGCCTCAGGCACACGGAGTTCGGTGTCCTGGAGATAGTGTTGACCCATATTAATCAACCCCAGTTTAGGGCGCCCCTCCAAAAGTGGTCTGATTCCCCCCAAAACATGCTGCGACAACCCCGAAAAAGTAGACTGGGGTTGATGAATCCGGGGTCAACATTACTTGTGGCTCAAAATTCAAAAGCTAAAAAAAAACACGCGATTTTAATCTTTGGTTCCACTTAAAAGGGGCGAGGCATGTTGGACGTCCGGTCTATTGGAGCCACGGATCCCGCGAGCCGCCGCCGAGTGGCCGCCGATGCGCCCGCGCCGCTCGGCATCGCTCGTTGCTCAGGACGAGGTGGCCGTCACCAAGGTCTCCATGCGCCTCAGCGATGAGGAGAGGCGAAATCGACGTGGCTGCGGTGGGGGCGTTCAAAGCGAAAAGCCCCCGGGGGAAGTGGCCGCGGTGGCGAAAAAATAGGGGTTAACTAAACCCCCAAACTGGAACCCTAAGTGGAAAACATGGACCAGCACCTGCGGGCCAATTCCTGGTGGTTTGATTTTCGCCCATGGGCAGGTGAAAGTTAGGATAAGGGGCACTCCAAGCCATAAATGGTTGCGGCCGCCTTTTCAATTCCCTACATGGTTCTGGGTTCATCATCTTTGTACCAGGTTTTGATTATGACTCAGGTCCAGAGCCCCCCCCGCACCTGGCTCCAAACGGATCTCCGCACAAACTCAGGGCGGTCCAGCTACCAAGAGAATCAACATGCTTCATTAGGACGAGTCATGAGTCATGAGGGTCCTCATTCCTCGATCCGTTGCCATGACCCAAGCAAAGCAAGACTTAGAGCTCCACCAAGGCAGCAACACTGCGGAGACTTCCGTGAGCCTTTGTTGATTACCTGGTGCATGACAGCTGTCTGAAGGAGTGCGAGCAGAGGAGTCCCCTGAGTAATTTCAATGACTTGGCCATTTCTCTTGGCGGTAGGGAGTCCACAGAGCCACTGTCTACGAAGTCATGCAGGCCCTCGAAGCCAGATGGGGAGCTCCGAGGTCAGACCCAGGTCACAAGACAGTCGTGGAGTTTCGGGCAGGATTGCTTCGTGCGCACGAGGGCCGTGGTGGCTCTTGGTCGTCTAGGCTCCAAAGGAGATGCGCACGTCATGGGGTCATGGCCTTGTTCCGCGGCATGGCACGGTGAATGCTTCGAACGCCAAGGCTCTTGACCGACATGTTTGAGGATGGCTTTGTACCGGTCAGAAAGCGGGTCGGGCACTTGGTGGGGTCCAAGTGAAGGGGTGGTCACTCGCCTATCCGCTTAGAGATGTTGGGTTATGTATTCCATGCACTGCTCTGAAACGCTGTGTGAAACTCACATTTGGTCCATTTGGAGGCTGAAAAGCTGTGTGAAACTCACATTTGGTCCATTTGGAGGCTGAAAAAGCTTTGTGAAACTCGCATTTGGTCAATCTGGAGATGGCAAGTAGAGAATCAAGGACAGCTGGCAAACTGACCGATCGGACGCGCCTAAGGCGATCGAAGCCCTGGCGATCCTCGGCGCGGGCGACGCGAGCGTCGTCGAGCGGCTGAGCAGTGTGTCGCAGCAGGATAGCGACCGCGGGGTGAGGGAAGAGGCCAAGCAGGCCTTGACCAACCTCAGGTGAGCAGCGGAAGAGAAACGCGCCGTAGAATCCGTAGACTTGCACTTGCGTAGAGGTAGATTGGAGCCATGTCGCTGCCGTGTGGCTTTCATCCGAGTAGAGATTCTGGCTCGAAGGCTTATGACACACCTGCAACAATGGGAGGGCCATTCAAAGCTAACCATCAAGCTGCTCAGACACAGGCACCTCTCTGAATGCAACACGAGTGAGCCATGCAAAGCCTTGAGAATCGAGGAGTGCAGGGCTTAGTCCTACGCGCAAAGTTCTCGGCGCGAAGGCACGGCTCGCTCGAGATGCGCATCGCTGAGGTCACCTTTGGCGTGCACGACTTCAATCCGTCGAGAGGGAGGGAGGCCTCCAAGCCTCGAGCGGCCGGTTTTCCTTGTGATCTTTGAAGCTGTCCCAGGTGTTTTTTTGTTTTTTCCTTCCCCAGTTTTGGACGTGTTGATCTCCTTTGAAGCCATCCCAGGTTTTTGGTTCACATTTTTGAAGCATTCAGGGTGTGCTGTTGAAGGTGCTGGTGTGCAATCATCCGCCTTGATTTCGGTATTTGGAACTTATTCGCTATTGTTTCCCCAGGTTTGACGCATTCCCGAAGATGTGGCTGTGGGTCAAAAATCGGGTAACCCCAAAATGGCTTGATTCCCCGATCGGTAAATGGAACCAAGGACTCAAACCTGCGGTCCATATCCTGGTGGATTCATTTTGACCCACACCCACCTGACACGCCAGGGATCCATGGCTCTTCGGCCACCACAGCCCACGGAAAAGGGGAAAAACAAGATATGAAATATCGCACATATCCTGGTGAAATTTTGAGCCACAGCCAAGTTGCAGGACTACCATCGCCTGAAGATCTCGAGCGCTGGAGACACGCGCACCCGGCTCTTTGGGGTCGATGCTCGGGAAGGCCTGGAGATGCCGAGATGGGAGGCTTCGCTTGGCTGGGCGAGGCAATCCTTCCTTATTTTTGGGTCACGAAAGGAAATTTGGTCTTCAATGCCTACCTTGGGTTACGCAAGGATTTGGTCTCTTTGTAGCAGGTTTCCCACAGGGATTATGGATTAGGATTGGCCAACACTCCATTTTGAACAGCCTAGTTTGTTTTTTTACTATTATACTCTCACCGAGATTGGAATCCTGTTGCAGAGAAACCAACAATAGCTAATTGGTGGGGTGAGTGGCATGGAAACATGTAAACCTTCAACAAGGGGAGTCTGACCATCATGGCAAAGGTTTCTCAAAGAACGTTCTTCAAACAAGCAGTTTGACCCAGTTTGACCATCCGTAAGTGGACACCAGACCACTGCCACCAACACGCCTTTACAAAACATGCTTAGCGTGCAGCATCATTGGCGTTCTTTCTATGGCCACACAAACTGATCCGTGGCTTCTTGGTCAGCTGCGGCGAGTTCTCACCACTTTGTTGCCAATTGCAAATCATTCTATGCGGAGTGTTGTTTGTGCGAGATTGCAGGCATGACTGTCTATGTTTGAGAAGAATCTGTTTGCAACAGCGGTGAGTGGCGGCTCACAAGGATACACCAGCAAGACAAAGGCTGGGCAAAATCAGCTTCGCAGGAACCTTCAACGCGACCACGCGCGCTGCCACGGGCTCGTTCAAACAACATGGGGTTTGGGCAACTGCTCAGAGTGAGGCGAGCTACGGCAGTCGTGGTCATGATCCAAAAGGAGAGTGCGCTCATCGCATGGCAAGTTTGTGGTTGCGTCGAAAGCCAGCTATTGCTTTGCCTCCCTAGCTTTGGAGTTTCGAGATCCTGATTACTTCCAGGGTGCTCCCTTTTCGGGGCATCCATCCTTCACTTTGCAGGGAGAAAAGGCGTCTTTTGATCAACAACAGTACCTCAAGGTCTTTTTACTGCAAGACCCACCCCTTTAAAAGCTGGGGGGGTCAAGGCCTCTTTGATTTGTTTACTGGTAAGACCCCACCTCTGTAAGCCTCAAGCCTCACTGAGCCACCGAGTCGGTGGGGGTTTCTATGTCAGGTAAGCCAGAATCGAAACCCGGGTAGATGAAGGTTAGCAAGCGGCAGTCCCAGCCTGCGCCCGTCTTCTTAATTCTTTACGTGGTTCTGGGCAGACCATGTTAATACCGGGGTTTGATTGTGACTCAGGGGTCTCCATGTCAGGTACTTAGGTGTCCTTTTTTTGGTTAGTTTGTTTAGAAATGGATGGGTTCCACTGGTTTAGATGGGTTTCATTTCATTTACCAGGGGAGCCCATCTATTTGTCCAAAAGGCCACCTATGCCTCCTTTCCTTGGTATGATGATTCTGAAATCCATTTCGCACCACCTCAGAAACCCTGATGATTCCTCTGTAAATAAATATTAATCAACAATGGATTCAACCATGGTTTGGCAGTGGTTTGCGATTTGGCTGTGGCTCAAAAAACCGGTACCAAAATGGAAGGAAACATGGACCAACACCTGCGGTTTGCCCCTCCTGTTTAATTGTAAACGCTTCGCGTTGCCCGCCTCGGCCCAGCCTAGTTTGAGGGAAGGGTCAGGAACACCGAAATCCAGTGTTGGGAAGGTCCGAATACCTGAAGCTGGCTTCAGACAAGTCAGACAAGCCGGCCTCGCCTGGTTGGGCTGGGCCACAGGCCAGTCTCAGACACATCAGATAAGCCTGCGCTGGGCCTGAAGCTAGTCTCGGGCAGCTTGGCTGGACCTTGCTTGCGTGGGTTGTTGGTTGAGCTGAAGCTAGTTTACGGCGGGCTGGGCAGCCGCACTGAGGGGGCTGGGCTATGGCTGGGCTGGGCCTGAGTTTCAGACACGTCAGACAGGCCTGGCCAGCAGGCGGACTGGGGCTGGGCTAGACGCTAGTTGAGCCCAGGCTGGTGAGGCCCAGTCTCGGCGCTAGATAGCCTGCGAGTCTCAAACCGGGTGGGCTTGGGTGGGGTTGGCTTAGGTAGTCTCAGCCACGAGGCTGCGAAGCCATGGGTGGTGCTGGGCAGCTGGATTATGGTGTTGGTTGCGCCTGGAACTTCGGCTGGCTGGGCTGAGCTGTGCTTGGGCGGGTCGCTGGATGGGCTGAGGCTGGGTAGCGAGTTGCTGGCCAGGCCGGGCCTCAGCCCAGTCGCAGACACGTAAGACACGCCAGCAGGCGGGCTGAGGGACTGGGCCTGAGGCTAGTCTCAGGCTGGCATACCTTGAGACCAGTCTCAGACTGCGCTGAAGGGGCCTGGTCAGCCTGGGCTGCTGAGTAGCTGGCATAGCTTGAGACCAGTCTCAGACTGGTCGTTGGCCTGAGGCCAGTCTCAGACACGTTAGACAAACCACACTGGGCTGAGCCTGCTGGTCTGGGAGTTGGGGGCTGGTAGTGGCTGGCATGCTCTGAGATGCGCTGGGGCCTGGGCTGGGCAGGCTTTTGGGCTGGGCCTGAAGCTAGTCTCACACAAGGCTGCGAAGCCATGGGTGGGTTGCTGGCTGCCGGGCAGCCGGACCAGGCTGCTGGTTGTGCCTGGAACTTGGGCTGGGCGGGCTGGGCTGAGCTGTGCTTGGGCGGGTTGCTGGATGGGCAAGGCCTGTTTCATACACACTTGGGCCTGAGGCTGGGTGGCGAGTTGGCTGGGCTGGGCCTGAGGCCAGTCGCAGACACGCCACACTTTGAGACGGGGCCTGCTGGCTGATTTGGGGCCAGACGCGAGCAGGAGGTCAAGGTCTGGCCAGCCTGGGCTGAGTTGCTTGGGCAGCCGGACTGAGGGCTGGGCCACGTCAGACGGGCTTGGTGGCTGGCATAGCTTGAGACCAGTTTCAGACACCGTTGGCCTGAGGCCAGTCTCAGACACGTTAGACAAACCTGACCTTGGGGCCGGCCTGGCTGGGCTGGGCTTGCTGGATGACTTGGGGTAGGCCTGAAGCTTGGGCCTGAGGCTGGTGGGCTTTGGGCTGGGCCTGAGCCTAGTCTCAGACACGTCAGGCAAGCCTGGCCACCAGGAGGTCATGCTTTTCAGGACAAAAAAGCATTTTTAGCAATTGTCAGCACATTTTCGACAAAAATGGACCCATGGAGCTGGACGCCGACGAACCCCGAAAATTTCAAGGCCCGCCGGACAGGATTTTGGGTCCAGCCGACATGGGTTGGGGGGGGCGGCCCGGCAAAATTTTGGTCGGGGAGGGGGTTGGGGGAGGGGAAAAGCGAAGATTCTCTTTGGAGAAGAGATCTGAGCGCCCTTGGCCCCTTTGGGGCCGAGGCGAATTTTGAGCCACACCCATTTCTGGATTTCGCAACCATCCACAGTATGAAGAGTTTGCTTTGCTTGGTGCTCAGCAAAAAAGGAGTGAATGAACCCAGAGGTCCCCTTAAAGGAAACCACCAGTTGGATGGTTTCTAGGTGCCACAGTATGTCAGGTACGTGCTGCCGAAGCGGGGGACTCTGGAGCTCCTGACGGCGGAGGCCACGTGGCCGCAGAGCGTCACCGGGGGCTGCGTCATCCCCTTCCAGGGCCACGCCAGGCGCGGCGCGGCTTCTTTATTTTTTATTCTCCTTTTTTTTTTTGGGGGGGGGGGGGTGTTTCTGGTTTCCCCTTGTTTTTTCGCGCTTTTTTTTTGGGGGGGGGGCGGGGGTTCTGTTTCTTTTTTTTTTTTCCGGTCCGCGTTGTCGGCGAGGGAAGTCGGACCTGGCTACAGGTGGCTTTCTGGAGGCTACCATGGCTACTGAGAATGTTGGATCTGGAGCCAGGAGCAAAGGCCCCGGTTTTTCGGGGCCACTTTCTTTGGGACACGGCCAAAGGAGTTGAAGATGGGATGTGGAGATTTACCGAGGTCAACTTGTCGGATGTAGAGAAAGGGCTGGCTTGTGGTCTGATCCGCGAGGTCTCAGAGTTTGCATCCAACTGACCGCACCCGCCGAGCGGGGTCGCTGGGCCGCGAGCCCAGGGTGTTCTGAGCAGATGCAAAACCCCCCACATGCGAGCCCCGGATACAGCCGGATGCAGCTTCAAGTTCTTACGCCAATGGATGTTGGGGCTCCAAAATCGATGGTTTGGAGACCCCGAACGCAACTCCGGTGTGGTACGGGGGCTCCTGGTTCTGCTGTTCCGAAGCACAGGTCGAAACATTGTTGGTAACTGCACGGTGAAGGATGAGCGATTCTTCTATTTTGGCCGCCATCCCAGTGTGCCTGCACATAGGGTGCTCTGGATGTGCGAATAGTGCGGTGCGTTCCAGCTGTTCGCTTCTGTGTGAATCGCCGGCAGCTTGTGAGCTTGTGACCGAGGCGCCCACGGTTCTCACTACGGCAACAACAGTGGATGCCGCTCCACGATGCAGTGCTGCTGCCATGAGTTGCTTGGGGCGGGTCGGCCCATTTGGGGCCCAAGCCCCGGAGAACGTGCCACGGGTTTTGGAAGCCTCGAGGTACAAACAAGAGAGGCCGTGAGACCCCCGCTGTGTCACCGAACCGCTGAAAGCCCAGAACCGCCGCACGAACAGTGTGCGCAAGCGAAGCTGAGACCTCCCAAAAGCCCAAGCGCCGCATCGCCCTTCGGATTTTTCTTAGCATCACCTGCACTTGAGATGATCACTTGTCCCGGGCCAAGCTGCTCAAGATGCGAGCCTGGCATGTGCTGATTTGGCCCCTGCCGACGTATCTATGCAGCGAATGCATTGGCGCCCTGGCCGCGCTAGCCGATTCATCTTCCAGAGGGCCAGCTTGCAGTTGCCCAGGTGACTGTGCGAGCGAGTGCAAAGCCAGATATGAGGCGTGGTCCAGGGAGAACCGATGGAGTGCGCTTTCCTGAGCTTGTCAGGCGGACTTCGACCACTTCCGGCGGATGTCCTTCGCCCAGTTGCACACGCATGAATCACGGTTGTCGTTGGGAAACATTTTACATTTCTGCTTCTTGTGGTTTAGTGGGAAATCACCACTTAACTGCTAAAATTGAATTTTTGTCGCTCCCCTAACCCAACGTCAACCAAGGAAAGGGGCGTGCCCATGCACGAGAAGTTCCCGGGCTTTCTGTCCGCGGAAGAAGTGAACCGACTGAAGCACAGCGCGGAGAAGCTGGAGCAGGACCGGCAGAAGGGGGCGGAGCTGGATGCGATCTTTGCAGATGCCACGCTACGGCCTCAGCTTCGAACGCTGTGAGTTGGAGCTACGGAAAGTATTTTTCTTGTGCCCATGCAGTCCATGTTGGGGTGTGTTGAGTTCGATGTCTCAAGTCAAGCCAGACAGGGCTGTTTCCTTGGCTCTGTCCAGTGGAAACTGTGAAAGGCACAACAAATACTCGCAGCGCGAATTGTCCTTAAAAGCAGGGAGCGCTGCTTCGTGCTGCTGTGCCATAGTCTTGACTGCACAATCTTCATCCGGCCATTCTGCGCAGCTTTGTTGCTGGCAGGATTGAATTTACTAGCAAATTATCCTCTAAGAACTTACTCGCCCCGGATGGAGTTCAAGGGATGTGCATCCACCATTTGTCACGAAGTTCTTGTGAGCCACTTGCTCAAAACCCGGGTAGATGAAATTTGGTAAGGGACAACTCCAACCATACATGGCTGCAGCCGCCTTGTAAGTTCCTTACATGGTTCTGGGATTACGACCATTTTCGTACCGATCGGTTTTGATGTCTCATGTCTCGAACCACTTGGGTTCCGTGGGAATTCATTTGGAACTTGCAGGGGAATCATGCCCAAGAACAAATTTCATTCCTTGTTGGTGTTTGATGGTGACTCTTGTTGGTCGAAGGCAAAAGATCCTGACCTGCTGGTCCTCCGGCGGCCGCTTCTGGTACCTGGAGACCGACCGGGGCAGCGGCACGCTCTGCGTGCCGGAGCTCTGCAGCGCCGGAGACGTGGAGACGGCGGTGGCGCAGAGCTTCCTGGCGCGGGTGGCCACAACGGACCACGAGGCGGGGGGTGCCCGCCTCCCATGGCCGGAAGGAGGGCGTTCTGTGTGGTTGAGAGAGCCTTCAGACGCGTCTGCGCGGCCATGGGATTCTAAAGAACTTGAGAAGAGGGTCCTCCGCGCCCAAACAGTGCTGGGAATGCATTTTGGGTTTATATATACCGGTACATACATTTTTGCCTTATCCAAGACTGCCGTGCCACCGTTCGTTTCGGGGGCCTCGCGCCTGGCCTCGCCATAGGCGTTGGCCACGGCGAGGGAGTTGTCGCACTGGGCGGATTTGGCCCTGGACTTTGTGGTGGTCGGGATGGACGGCTGCGCCAGCACCGCGCTGCACCGGTTCCTGCACAGCCACACCCAGGCAGGGAGCGAGAGAGCGCGCTACGGTGGATGCCCTATCTATGGCAAGTAAACCAACCACCCACAAAACCGCCACAAAACCAGGGACATTGCAGTAAATTGAGGGGTCCCTTGGTCTCCGACTTGCAAAATTTAGGGCATCTGCCGTATGACCAACTTTCGGGGAAACCCCAAAAGGGCGGCTCCGTGGCTACGTGTGGCAGGACCCTTGAAACCAAGCTGAAAGGGTACCAACACAGGGATCCTTACATTATACCCCTGAACATTGCCTTGTGAATGGTGGTTTCCTTTTATTTTGGTGTTGAAAAAGCAACATGTTTCAAATGGTTGCAAAATGAAGTTCCTTTCAGGACCCTGCAACACAAGACAGGAAACACCCAGTGGCTGTTTCAGGGGTCACTCCGTTCAGCGGATATGACTTGGCAGTTCCCAGCAATCCGATTAAAAAAAAATCGGTTAATAAGTTGGTTCATTTGGTTCAGTGGTTGGGTTTCCATTTAACCCACTCAAAGTCAAACTGTTAGCAGGGGATCTGAGGACAGCCCAGGAGTATAAGTTTTAGTGCTATATTTGCCTGAAACTGACATGCTATATGTGTCGCGCATGCACATGATCCGCCTGGCACCTTGCATACGCAGCAGGTTGCCTTCACCAACTTGTCCTTGTTCAACGTGGATGAGGACTTCTTCCTGCAGGCGCTGGGATAGTCGTCAGTTCGGAGCGGCGGGAGAACGCGCTAGGTTCTGACTGCGTGATTCATGTGGGACTCCGGTTGTTCATGGGCCAAATGGATGGGAATCGAAGAGCTACAAAAACAACCAGATGGTAGTTCCGGTTTCAAAAAACATACATTTAAGATATAAAAAAACAACCAGATGGTAGTCACGGTTTCTAAAAAAACATATTAATGAGATATTTGCTTGAGTGTTGGCTTGGCCTTCGAGCCATCCAACAGAGGGTCACTTTGATCGAGGCCCCTTCCCATCAGGAGCTTGGGCGCCAGACCCTGCCCTTCGCCAGCCAAGTGCAGCGTTTGCAAGACTTCCACGAGCGGCTGAGCCAACAGCGAGGAGGACGGCTGCTCGGCCGGGGTCTGACCCACATGGCTGTGGGTCAAAGCCAATGGGATCCCATTTTGGTTGGTAGGCGCACCACCCATTTTAGTCGGGATTTTAGTGGTTGGATTGGGATGTTCACTGAGGGTACGGGCTTTGGACCCATGGCCACATCCCAAGGCCTGCGCCATTGAGGCACTGCAGTCTCACGCCCACTCAGTTCTAAGCTTCAAGCTTTTTTGAAGGTTGCGCCCAATGCTCTGTGGCCCAAAACTGGCGGCCATCCACGCAATCGCTGAAGTGATCGAACTTCGGGCACTGCTTTTCTGCCGGTTTTTGCGGAGCGGTGCAGTTTCTATACGCGTGTCCCACGAATTTCCGGACACAAACACCACTAGCTTTTGAAGTCAACCTCCCACTTGCCACCTACTGTGGACGGACGAAATCCATTTCGCACCACTTGGAAACCATGGTTGAAACCATTGTTTGTTGGTATTTACAGGTGAGTCATCATTCCAGTGATTCTCAGGTGGTGCCTAAGAGCGGATTTCCTCCACCCTCTGGCCCCGTGACCCCCGTGACCTTGCTTTGAGGATCGTGGGCCTGTACCAGCCCTACATTTGGACAGCGGAGACGCTGCTCAGGGCCTTGGCGTACAATCCGGGCCTCAAGGCGCGGAACGGCGCGCGAAGCGCGCTCGATTTGCTGCCGGTGAGGCGGACGGACGAGTTCCGTCCGCACCATCTAAGAGGATTTCCCTGTATATGGCTGTGGGTGGAAAATATGTACCCAACATAAAAGCCTGGTAAATGGAAACATGGACTAAAACCTGCGGTCCCCTGGTGGCTTGATTTTTACCCATACACAAATCGCAACCAACGTTAAAATTATGCAACCATGGCTTCATTGTGCGGTGCGAAATGGACTTGGCAACCATCCAGCGTAAGTTAAGTGTACCTCTTTTGCGTGGGTTTGAAGGAATTTCCAACAGAACCACCACCAGGTAGGGGGGGGTGGAAGGAAGCCTACCCGGTGACAAGATATTATGTATTAGAGGAAACCCAACTTTTTTTGACAAGATATTATATATGTTTTTCCCGTTTTCCGCGGGCTTTGGCGGCTTCAGAGCCATGGATCCATGGCGTGTCAGGTGGGTGTGGGTCAACATGAATCCACCTGGATATGGACCGCAGGTTTTCGTCCTTGTTTCCATTTACCGATCGGGCAAGCCATTTTGGGGTTGCCCTACAATAGAACCGCAGCCAGGTCTTGTTGACGCTCTGCGACCCGGTGGATCGCTTTGAGCGGCGGATGCACGGCCAGTGGAAGCCCACGGCGGAGACGGTGCGCGAGGCCTTCTACGCGCAGCTGCCGGACGAGGCGTCCGTGGAGCTGGTGGAGAAGTGGCGCGCTTGGGCGGGCCAGGTGGGCTGAGAATTCGGCAAGCCTTTGGCTTACCTTACAGGAGTTGGTGCCCCACTGTGGTTGTACCATACTGTGGACGAAATCCTCTTAGCCACCACCTAAGAAGCCCTGATTTCTGATGATTCCCCTTGTATTTCCAAGTGGTGCAGGATTTCGTGAATCCGCAATAGGGATTCTGGATTGTGGATTGGCCGACACGAAGCGTTTTGAACCCAGGCTATGGCGATCGAGTCCTTCTTCTGGAAAAGCATTCGCTGGATTCTCCAAACACTATCCAACGGCTGGCGCGCTTCCTGGGTCTCCGCGCATATCCCAAGAAGAAGCGCTTCCATCGCTACAACGCGCGCGGAAGTCGATCTAGCCTCTGCAAGCACAGAGACCTTGTGCAAGACTTGAAAGACCCCTGGCTGTGATGAGTCATGAAATCATGTGGCCATGGGGCACAAGCTATGCCTCCATGTTGGGGTGGATGAACATCTATTTGCCACCTATTTTGATGTTCACTGGGGGTACAGGGTTTCGACCCACAGCCATATATATGATGTATATATCATGCTCCGCCTAAGGAGCGCTTCTCAGCTGAGTACACCTTCCTGCATGAGCTCTTCGGCGGAGACAGATTTCAGCACAGGCAGACCGCCTGCGACAGGCGCACTGCACATCACAACAATTAAGTGGATTGGCCAAAATTCGACGATGTGTCAAAAACTCGGGACCTTTCCAAGTTGCCGGCTCCCTGTTCTTCCTCTCAAAGGCGCACGATCCCTTGCAGTGTCAGGCTGGAAGATGTTGGAGCGCAGTGCGTCAAGGAGAGATGCTCCTAGCCTCGCATGAAGCTGGCCTCCGATGTTGCCAACGTCCAGATCTTCCACCACGAAGCCCCTGAATCACTGAAGTGATCTCGCCTTCTCCCTCCCCCACTTTGCCGGATGTGACACACAGCAGCCGGCCCCTCGCGCGGAGCGCCGAGATCACGAAAGGCTTTGACCAGCTCTGCGTGAACATCCTGGACTTTCCTCGATGCTATCCTCGCGTCAATGGCGACCGCAAAAGCCTGTAGCATCCTGTGGCCTCTGAATTCGGCTGAGACGCAACAGGGATCATTGCAGCATATTGCAGCAGGACAAGATGCGTGTGGAACGTTGCGCCAATGCCATGGGCCTGGCACAATGCTGTTTTTTGTCATGGCTGTGGGTCAAAGTCAAACCACCAGAGGACCGCAGGTTTTAGTCCATGTTTCCATTTACCCATTTACCAGGGTTCCATTTTTGGGGGGTGGCTATTTTCGACCCACATCCTTGTCATTAGCAGGGCAGTGCACGTGAATCAGTGATGCCTGAATGCTGATTTCGGCTTACATAGCCAACCTGTTTTTTACCTGGAAGCTGCCATGGCTTTGGCCAGGGCCCCAGGTACCAAAAAGCGCCTCGCTCGCTTTTTCTCCCGCCGCCTGCCTCAGGAGACCTTTGTAAGTGCTGGTCCAGGCTCGCAACTCAGACCTAGAGCCGACGCCGGCCGACTGCCGACTGCACGCGCTTCAGGCGTGCCTGGCTGTGTCCGGTGCCGCTCTCAAGCTGGCCTGGAGGCCGGGCGCTCGCAGCGCGAAGCGCATGATCGGTTTGTGGGCATGGCGCATCCGTGGAGTTGCTCGTTGGGAAATATGGTGTGACCTTAGGGAAACCAAACAGAAAGATTTGACTTTATCCACTACCCATGGTCATGTTCGGGCCAGGAATAGTGATCAACCCCCGTATAAAACAAATCCTAGGGTCTAGAGTTCCAGAAGATGGGTATTGCCTGTTGCGAGGTCAAAGCCCGTCAGGGACATGCAGGACACTTGCTCCCTTCGGGGACAGGACTGCATATGCGGTCAGTGGGAAAAGGACGTTGATCAGCGGGAAATGGAAATTGAGGGGATTCTTATGCCAGGACTCCTAATGTTTGGCTGTGCCGTGGCCGCGCAGATATCTAGGCTTGGTGGTGTTATAAGGCTGTGGGTCAAAACCAATGGTACCATTTTGGGGTAGGCGCACCACCCATTTTAGTCGGGATTTTAGTGGAAATTGGGATGTTCACTGGGGCTAGCCGATTTGGATTTTGACCCATGGCCATAAAAGTACTCGCGCAGCGGACAAAACTGAGCCAGGCCGCGTCAGCTTCGTCAGCCCGGGAGAGTGAGCGTGCACCGTTTGGCGGAGCGGGCAACTGCTCTTGGGCTGTTGCTTGATGTTGCATCGTCACACGCGCACGCGCGCACGCGAGAACCTGCCTGAAGATTTCAGGAGGCGAGTGACGCTACCCTGGAATCTGCCCTTGGCCGCGAGAGCAGCAGACATCTCCAGATGCTTTGTGTTGTCCTGATTGGCCCAGGCCTGGATTACAGCAAACTTGAGAGTCTTCTGAAAGAGGAGGACTTCAAGGCTCGAATATTATGCAGCATTCAGCCCAATGTTCTACATGTATACATACATATGTATACATGTGCACATACATATATGCAATATATATATATATATATATATTTAAGGGCTGCCGCCCAGTGCCGCCGACCCCTGGATTTACTTGTGGTTTTCGAGCACAAAAAATAGTGCAATTTTTGATGCTGTTTTTTTGTTTCACTGTAAACTTGAACCCCAGTAGCCGAGCCACAACTCTGCGTACTTGAGTGATGATCAGACCCCACCCCCTCCCCCTTCGGGATCTCACAGGGCTTCCTCGGTTTCTCTTTTTGGAGTCTTCAACACCAGTCAGTTGCAACCTTTCAGGGGAGTTGTGGAATGAGTGTCAGCCAGCCGGCTACTTCTTGTGCAGGGAATCTGGGTTTGTGACGCATGGGCCATTCTTAGACCATTTGAGTTTTGTTAGATCCATTTTCGCTGAGCCATGGTTCTAACCCTCGAAAGACTGCTCGAAAGCAGGTCAAGCAAGCAGAACATGGTCTCCAGTCGCTTTCGGCGCCTGAACGCTAGATTGGGGGTGATAAGAATAGGAAATCTGGAATTAAGATTCAATCGAAAGTGCACCAAAGCCCGGCCGCGCGTTCTGGCCGCGCGTGCTGAGGTCTAGCTTCTTTTTACGAGCGCAAAACGACCACGGGTTCCCATCCTATTGCAAACCATGCGTTTGCGAAGATTTGCATCATTGTCATCATGATTGTCATGATCATCTCTTTCTTCTATACATTTCAAATGTGGCCTGGGCGATGCTGGTGATGCCAGACACGTTTTCTTGCCACACGATGCCCTTCTATCTCGTCAAGAAAAAGCAGCTCTCAGCCCCGCTCTCTACCCCCCCATCAGCCGCAGCATCCTGTGCATTACCAATAGACACACCCGGGCGATGCTGGTGATGCCAGACACGTTTTCTTGCCACACGATGCCCTTCTATCTCGTCAAGAAAAAGCAGCTCTCAGCCCCGCTCTCCACCCCCCCAGGAGCCGCAGCATCCTCTGCATTACCAATAGACACGCCCGGGCGATGCTGGTGATGCCAGACACGTTTTCTTGCCACACGATGCCCTTCTATCTTGTCAAGAAAAAGCAGCTCTCAGCCCCGCTCTCCACTCCCCCATGAGCCGCAGTCGCGCCTGGCGTCAGCACGCAAGCAAGCATAGGCTAGGGAGCATCAGCCGCAGCATCCTGTGCATTACCAATAGACACGTCATCATCATGATGATCATTATCATCTCTTTCTTGTTCTTATATGCATTTCAAAAGTAACGTTAGACACCATTGGCAACGCAGAGGATGCTACGATGATAGTTATCATCACAGTCCTCCAAACACTAACGAAAGATGATGACTATCATCGTAGCATCCTTAGCATCCTTAGCATCACCAACGGCTGTGATGATAACGATCATCGCAGCATCCTCTGCATCACCAATGCTGCCTGATAAGAGATGACGACGACCATGATGAGAATGGGGGCGTGATGATCGTTATCATCCGCGTCATGACAACTATCATCACAACATCCTCTGCATCACTACTTGTTCCTTGATAACTATCATCATCGCATCCTTTGCATTGCCAAGGATGTCTAACGTCCCTTTTGATTTCTCTATATAGTAAGATATGAGATGATGCTAGGTGATGATCAGATGATGATAAAGATGATGACACGGATGATAACTATCATCGTAGCATCCTTAGCATCACTAACGGCTGTGACGATAACGATCATCGCAGCATCCTCTGCATCACCAATGCTGTTTGATAAGAGATGACGACGACCATGATGATAATGGCACGGGCCTGATGATCGTTATCATCCGCATCATGACAAGTATCATCACAACATCCTCTGCATCACTACTTGTTCCTTGATAACTATCATCATCGCATCTTTTGCATTGCCAAGGATGTCTAACGTCCCTTTTGATTTCTATACACAGTAAGATATGTAAGACATGATAAGATATTAGATGATGATCAGAGGATGATAAAGATGATGACAAGGATTATAACTATCATCTTAGAATCACTAACGGCTGTGATGATAACGAACATCGCAGCGTCCTCTGCATCACCAATGCTGCCTGACAAGAGATGACGACGACCATGATGAGAATGGGGGCGTAATGATCGTTGTCATCCGCGTCATGAGAACTATCATCACAGCATCCTCTGCATCGCTATTTGTTCCTTGATACCTACCATCATCGCATCCTTTGCATTGCCAAGGATGTCTAACGTCCCTTTTGATTTCTATTTCTAATAAGATATGATAAGATATAAGATGATGCCAGGTGATGATCAGAGGATGATAAAGATGATGACGAGGATAATAACTATCATCGTAGCATCCTTAGCATCACTAACGGCTGTGATGACTATCATCGCAGCATCCTCTGCATCACCAATGCTGCGTGAAAAGAGATGACGACGACCATGATGATAATGGTGCCGTGCTGATCGTTATCATCCGCGTCATGACAACTATCATCACAACATCCTCTGCATCACTACTTGTTCCTTGATAACAATCATCATCTCATCTTTTGCATTGCCAAGGATGTCTAACGTCCCTTTTGATTTCTATATATAGTAAGATATGATGAGACATGAGATGATGCTAGGTGGTGATCAGATGATGAGAAAGATGACGACGAGGATGACAACTATCATCGTAGCATCCTTAGCATCACCAACGGCTGTGATGATAACGATCATCGCAGCATCCTCTGCGTCACCAATGCTGTTTGATAAGAGATGACGACGACCATGATGATAATGGCACGGGCCTGATGATCGTTATCACCCGCATCATGACAACTATCATCACAACATCCTCTGCATCACTACTTGTTCCTTGATAACTATCATCATCGCATCCTTTGCATTGCCAAGGATGTCTAACGCCCCTTTTGATTTCTATATCAACAAGATAAAATAAGACGATCAGATGATGACAAAGATGATGACGAGGATGATAACTACCATTGTAGCATCCTTAGCATCACGGCTGTGATGATGACTATCGTCGCAGCACCCTCTGCATCACCTATGCTGCGCGAAAAGAGATGACGACGACCAGGATGATAATGGCGCCGCGCTGATCGTTATCATCCGCGTCATGACAAGTATCATCACAACATCCTCTGCATCACTACTTGTTCCTTGATAACTATCATCATCGCATCTTTTGCATTGCCAAGGATGTCTAACGTCCCTTGTGATTTCTATATATAGTAAGATATGATAAGACATGAGATGATGCTAGGTGATGATCAGATGATGAGAAAGATGACGACGAGGATGACAACTATCATCGTAGCACCCTTAGCATCACCAACGGCTGTGATGATAACGATCATCGCAGCATCCTCTGCATCACCAATGCTGCCTGATAAGAGATGACGACGACCATAATGACAATGGCACGGGCCTAATGATCGTTATCATCCGCATCATGACAACTATCATCACAACATCCTCTGCATCACTACTTGTTCCTTGATAACCATCGTCATCGCATCCGTTGCATTGCCAAGGATGTCTAACGTCCCTTTTGATTTCTATATATAGTAAGATATTAGATGATGCCAGGTGATGATCAGATGATGATAAAGATGATGACAAGGATGATAACTATCATCGTAGCATCCTTAGCATCACTAACGGCTGCGATGATAACTATCATCGCAGCATCCTCTGCATCACCAATGCTGCGCGAAAAGAGATGACGACGACCGTGATGATAATGGGGGCGTGCTGATCGTTATCATCCGCGTCATGACAAGTATCATCACAATAACTATCATCATCGCATCTTTGGCATTGCCAAGGATGTCTAACGTCCCTTTTGATTTCTATATATAGTAAGATATGATAAGACATGATGATGCTAGGTGATGATCAGATGATGAGAAAGATGACGACGAGGATGATAACTATCATCGTAGCATCCTGAGCATCACCAACGGCTGTGATGATAACGAGCATCGCAGCATCCTCTGCATCACCAATGCTGCCTGATAAGAGATGACGACGACCATGATGATAATGGCACGGGCCTGATGATCATTATCATCCGCATCATGACAACTATCATCACATTATCCTCTGCATCACTACTTGTTCCTTGATAACTATCATCATCGCATCCTTTGCATTGCGAAGGATGTCTAACGTCCCTTTTGATTTCTATATAAACAAGATATTAGATGATGCCCGGTGATGATCAGATGATGATAAAGATGATGACGAGGATGATAACTATCATCGTAGCATCCTTAGCATCACTAACGGCTGTGATGATAACTATCATCGCAGCATCCTCTGCATCACCAATGCTGCGCGAAAAGAAATGGCGACGACCAGGATGATAATGGGGGCGTGCTGATGGCTATCATCCGCACTATCATCAACATCCTCCGCATCACTACTTGTTCCTTGATAACTATCATCATCGCATCTTTTGCATTGCCAAGCATGTCTGACGTCCCTTTTGATTTCGACATATAATATGTAATATGATATCAGATGCTGCTAGGTGATGATCAGATGATGAGAAAGATGATGACGAGGATGATAACTATCATCGTAGCATCCTTAGCATCACTAACGGCTGTGATGATAACTATCGTCGCAGCATCCTCTGCATCACCAATGCTGCGTGAAAAGAGATGACGACAACCATGATGATAATGATGATAAGGGTAAGAGAATAAGAAAGAGATGATGATAAGGATGATGATGATCACGATGACCGTGACGATAACATTTATCGTAGCTGCAGCTGCTGATGCTGATGAGGATGAAACTTTGGTTATACTTATGCGCCAACCACCCTTCCCGTGCGCCTCCCCTTTTTAGAGAAAGGGTCGGCGGATATAGATACATATGTGTATAATGCATACATATACAATACATATACATATATATATATACATATTATTTATGTGCTAAGTATATTTTTTGCTAAGTATATTTGTTTTGGGTCACTGTGCCAGAGCCGGAATACTCAGAGCATCCTGATGTAGGCAGCTGATGCAGAGACCCGGAGACTGCTCATCCAGATGTGTGGAAAGGCACGGGAGATGCGCAGACGAGCCGAAAGTGGAACCCTGGGAAGAAAAAGAACATAGGCGGGTAACCATGGCCGCCGGAAATAGTGACTTGCGAACATCTATGGCACCGGTCAAACATAGGGCAAACGCGGTAGGCATAACTTCCGGGGCTGGTTTTGGATTCACGAAGAGCATGTCTTTGTATAGCCTTTAATTCAGTGGGGTATCGTTTTCTAGTGAAAGCAAGTAGCAGACAAGCAGATCAGAGGTAGCTTGCGCCTTGCGCGCAGGAGGCAGAGAAGCGGGGATGGATTTACTTCACAGAGGCCGTTGCAAGCACGCGACTTGCAACCAGGAAATGCAGCCGCAGGTGAAGACCATTCCCGAAGAAGACATGAGAACGCTGGAAACGCTCTGGCAACAGCACAGCCAGGCTCGTCCCGTCCACACTTAGTTGCAGCAGCGGCCTTCTGACCATTGACCTGTCAGGGGAAGTTCGGATTCTGTCAGCAGCGAAAAGCCTGGAAGCAAGTTCGTGGTCAGTTCGACAAGTTTGCTGAACAGGTGGGCACATGTGACACGTAGTCCTGCATCGGTGAAATCACACTTGTGCAGGTCTCCTGGTTCACTGACACGTGGAAGAATCGAAACTGGCCGGGGGGGCGGGGGGGTGTTGTGACCGAGATGGCTCTACCTCGGTGGGCTGTGAGAAGGGGGGGTGTATTGAGCCGGAAGATCTTGGAAGAGGTCAAGTGAATGTTTCTTCTGACAGGCCAGACGAGTTCATTTACACCCTGGAGGCTCCTGACTTGCCCTCAGTGTCCACACAAATCAACAGAAGCCACTATGCCGTGCCACGTCAGATATTGTTAGTCTTCGCATTCCTGGTGCCATTTGCCACGCACGATCCTTTGTTCAACATCCTACAAGCAATTCCACCAGAGTAGCACCCAAACCCCCTTATCGGCCAGTTTGTGTCTCTCTCTCGAAATGGTGAGCCCAACAGCTTTTGGGTGGTTTCAAGGGAAACCAAAAGCAAACAACAACCGATTTGGGGGGTTATTATTTTGAGACACAACCGTCGAGGTGGGCCACCTACCGCTGACCAACTGCATCCGGGGCGCGCAAGTTCTGGAGGCGACGGGTGTGGGCCTTGTGCTGGCAGAGGTCTCCAAGCCGACCAATCCTTTGGGGTAAGGCTGGATTAAGGCTTTCCTGAGGTGGCTGTGGGTCAAAAATAGGTACCCCAAATGGAACCCTGGCAAGTGGAAGCATGGACCAAAACCTGTGGTCCCCTGGTGGTTTTTTGGTTTTGACCCATACACAGGCGAGGAATGGGTTTCATGGGCAGGCGAAGTTCCTTGGCCTTGGGGTAAGGCTCGGGTGAGGCTTTCATGGAACAGAGAGAGCTCCTTGAAAGACATGAATAAGAATCCCTTTTGGCCAATTTGCAGCACTCCTTCCTGGCCCAGAGACAAGCTCTGGTCGATCAATATCATCAATCACAGGTGGAGTGCTCCTTGAGAAAGCCAGACATGGGATGGTCAGGAGCTGCTTAGCCACCCGGCCATCGAGAACATGAAGGCCTGTCGCAGTGTTTTCATTCATCGCTGCGGCCAAATCTGAGCCACTTGCTCAAACCAAGGGAGGATGAAGATTGGCAAGGGATAGCCCCCTTTTCCATAAAATGGGTGCAGAATGCCGCCTTGCTTCATTTTGTGCATGGTCCTGGTCACCATTTCCAGACCGACTGGTCTCGAGTATGACTCACATCCATTTGCTCAAGACGATTTGTTTAATTTTCCCCTGTTGGTGTTTAGAGGGAATCGATTTCACTACTAGGGACATATGTTTCATTTTTTCCAGGAGCGAAAAAGCAGATGGAAGCTCATGTTGCGAGCCTCGGCTCCGCGGTCAGGTGACAAAGGTGAAGAAGGCAGCAGCAGCTTCCGCTTCCACCGCCTCCGAGCAGGGAGCTCAGCGATTTCTTCCAAGATGCCTCAGTCCCTGGCCCCTTTTTGCATGGACCAACACAGCCATGGGTCAAAATCCAGATCGGTTAGCTCCCAGTGAACATCCCAATCCAACCACTAAAATCCGGGCTAAAATGGGTGGTGCACCTGACAACCAAAATGGGATACCATTGGTTTTGACCCACAACCACACCTGAGCCACTTGCTCAAAACCCGGGTAGATGAAGGTTGGTCAGGGACATTCCAACCACAAGTAGCTGCGGATATCCGCCTTCTAATTTCCTTACATGGATCTGCGTAATACATTTTAATACCGCTCGGTTTTGATTATGACCAACACCTTGCTCGTCCCTGGCTTGCAGTGTTCTGAGCCGTGCTTGGCAAGTGCCGGCAAATCCCATGTCCTGCCGCCCAATTTTGGACCCCTGGCCATCTGGCCATGCCACTCAGGTCGGAGAAGCCTGGCCGGCGATCCGCACTTTCAATGCTGTAGGATCTAGGCCTCTCAGGCGGAAGCTGATTTGGCCGGTTCCTTTGGGGGTGATACTGTGGAGGGTTGCGGAAGTCCGCGAGAAATCGCACCACTTGGAAGCCATGGTTGAAACCAGAACGTTGGTTGGTATGTACAGGGGAATCATCAGAAACCAGGTTTTCTTGGGTGGTGCGAACGGATTTTCTCCATCCACAGTAGGGGTATGGGTCCAAATTCAACCACCAGGATATGGACTGCAGGTTTGCGTTTCCATGTTTCCATTCACTGACCGGGGAATCGACCCATTTCGGGGTGAATTCCCCGATTGACTCACAGCCATAGGGATGGTCGGTCTTGGCCAGGCAGATGCGTGACATGGCGATTTGAAGCGCTGCGGCTTCCGTAAGGCCAGCCACGAGTCTGCATTCCTCCGCGCTTTAAAAAAAGGCGCGCCAGGGGTTGATCAGTCCGTTCTGGCCATGAGTCACTTTTTCACATTTAGTGTGAAACATCATTTTGTTCGTGATTTCCCCCTGTGAAGGAGCTTTTGATCACCCTCACATGAAGCCATGATGATGTCTCATGATAGACAATGCAAGACATGCATTTCGCTGCTGTGGCGCCTACAACATGGCCTTGTACTGGAGCTCAAGCAGGGTTGAAGCACAAACCGCCTCGATTCAAAAACACTTGTAGTGAAAAAGTCAACCTCATACAAAGGACTGGCAAACCATGCTCAGCAAATACTCAGAACATATGTGTAGTCGCATACTTTGTGGAACCAAAAGGCCGGATTCGAGATCTGTGGTCGCAGCTTGCTTTCTTCGCCCGGACACGTGTCAGCAGCAATGCGGCCAATGCGTCCTGCAGAGCCCTCAAGCAGGGAAGCTTCAGCATTGAGATGGCTGTGGGTCAAAACCAATGGTACCATTTTGGTTGGTAGGTGCACCACCCATTTTAGAGCCTATTTTACTGGGGATTGGGATGTTCGCTGGGGGCTAACCGATCTGGATTTGACCCATGGCCAGATCATCCTGCGTCCGGGTGCGTTTTGGATTTCTCAGGTCGGGCCGTGGCAAGCTCCTAGAGCCATGCTGGGGCCTTTGGCAAGTGAGGGAGAGAGAATTCTAGGGGTACCTTCCATGTCCAAACTCTGAACCCAGGGAAATCCGACACCTGATCGCGAAAACGGATCCGGTGTTTGAACGATGGTTGAAAAGAATGGGGAATCAACCCCTAGAAGAGTGGCACATGAGCCATGATGAGCCAATTGCTCAGAACCGCTTCGGGTAGATGAAGGTTACTCGAGATAGTCCCGACCAGCCAGAAATGGGACAACTTTAATACTGTGGATGGACGAACTCCTGCACCACCTAAAAAAAAAACGGTTTCTCATGATTCCCCTGCAAATACCCACCAAACCATAATTTCAACTTCATGGTTTCCTTAGCCGTGACGTGCGATTTCTCACGCATGTCCGCAACCATCCACATCGATGGGTTTTGACTGGCATGTCAGGCATCCAGGGGCCAACGTCGGCGCTGTGGGCCACATGCCTGGAGCCGTCCCTGGCAGAGCGAGATCGCCCCCCGGGCCTGTGCCCGGCATGTCAGGCGAGACTTGCGAGACGAGTCTGGTGGTGTCGGGAGGTGTCGGGAGGTGAGCCGAGAGGGGTGGGTGTGTCTTTTTTGTTTGCTGTTTTTTTTTAAGGGAGGCCCTCAAGATTCAGCTTCCCTCAAATTGGTGGTTTGGGAGGATTTCCGATTTCTACAAGAACCAGGGGTTCCAATCCAACCGACAAATAGAGGGAGGCTGCAAGATGGTGGTGCTCCGTTGGTTTGCCTTCTGTTGCCGCAAGAAAAGGGGGTTCCCTCGAGAATCGACACAACTAGCCTTACCGGAAGAGCAGAGTGACGCCATTCGCGAGGCGTCATGCGAAGCCATGGTCCCATGAGCCCATCGAGTCAGAACGGAGCTCGGCCCGCCTACGGGTCCAACACTCCGCCGTCGCCCCGATGGCGCATCAACTCTCAACGGTCGGGGGAGAAAGCTGCTGTATCTCAGGACGCTGGTTGGATCGTGCGCTGCTTAGGCAGAGGAGTCAGCAACAAGAAGCACCCACTGGCCCAGTGGATTCCGTCATTTCAGCCTCTTTTAGGGAAGGGTTCCGATTTCTTTAAACTCAGCCAACCAAAAAGGGATGCCCTTTTTTGTTCCCATGGCCACTGGGCATCATCAGTGCAGACCCAGTTGGCTGACCGAGGCAGCGCTCAATGCATGGATCTCAGCAAAGGGAAGCTTGAAGCCCCCCAGTCTAGGGTTCACGAGCGGCTTGAAGGGCTTCGCAAACAAATTGCCTGGGTATACTCAGTTGTTCAAAGCGAATCGACCGGATCTGACCTTTTGGGTTTCCCATTTTGGTCCATATTCAGTCATGGCCCCAAAAGGTTAACCTTTTAGTTCCAGGTCCTTTGGGCAACTGAGTATAACGTTCAGGAGCACTTTCGAAGGTTTGAGAGGAAGAAAAAACGTGCCAGGGTGCAGCCCCAGCCAACGTATGGCGCTTAGACATGTCAGTCAGTCAGCTGGTGCACATGTCAGTCCGTCAGGCCGGTCCGAAGTGAAGGCTCCGATGGGGCAAACGCCTGCGTGGCAAATGCATAGGGTGTGAGGAAGTGCATGCCAGGTGCCAGGGACCCGAGGGAGCGAGAAGCTGTCCAGTCTGTCCAGGCCAAAGTGACAAATTGCTTTGAGAGCAGATGCGAAATGCTTCATCCAACTCGGCTTTCTCTGTTTGTAAGTACTACCTCATGCAAGATCAGATGTGTACGCATACCTCATTGGCAAGATCGGATTTTTCGTTTGCCACAGACCATGGTTGGCGCGCTTGATGCATGTTGGCATTGGAAGCGCCAGAGCCGAAGTGTCTCTGGAGGCTTCCAGAGCCTCCAGCGTGGAAGGGGGTCACTTCAGGAGCTCTTTTCTTTTTTTCTCCGGGCGCTTTCAGGTATGTTTGCTTGGATTGGTGGGGTTTTGAACCCTTGGCTGCAGAGGGTAAATGGGAAAGTACCCTTAATCACCACACCACCGGGCTCCAAACCGCCAATGAGTGTGCTTAAACTCCAACTAGTGTCCTGAAACCCCCAATAAACATATTTATATATATATACATACATTTATATATATATATATATACATATATATACATATATATATATATACATATATATATATACATATATACAATATATATATATATATGTATGTGTATAGGTATATAGTGGGAAGCTTTCGCTGAACTCCTTCCTTTGCCTCGGCCTTTGCGCTCGCCAGGACTCCGAGCCAGGAATCCCACCGCAGCTCCAAGGGCCCCAGCCGGGTCAGCGGCAGCTACGGCGCCCCGACCCACGGCAGCCTGGGGCTGCAGATGGGCCCTGGCGGCCCGCCACGGTCCCGGGACGAGCCGTGGCCTCAAGCTCCGAGTCTCGAAATGATCCGCCGCCACTTCTCGGATGCCGAACTAAATTCAGCAAAGACCCATACGTGGAAAAGGGGGGCTGTGACGAGAATCTGGTCAATTCAACAATTCGATTGGGGTTGTGGAAATATTGGTGCCCCATTTTTGACCCAAATGGCTGCACTCCCTATCATGGAAGCGGACAGGGGGCTTCCCAGGAACGTTTTCCCTCCTGTCAGCTTCCATGAGTGGAGGAAGGGTAGCACGGGCCGTTTAGCACCAAAAGCCGTTGCACAAGCAAAGCACCCGTCGTACCAAGGTCGCGGGCGGCGTTCAGCAGCAGGCACCGTACAGCACGGCGATGGCAACAGTGTGGTTGTTGAGACTAGGGATCTGGATGTGAATTTGGCCCCCCCGAATGACAGCCGGCGAATGGGGGATCGCGTCTCAGCGTTCAGGAACCCGCTGCTGCTCAGGTCTCCGAGTGCTGACTCGGGCCTCCACAAGATGCAGAACAACTTGCAGCAGAGCAAGATATCTCAGCTTTTCAGCATGCGAGTGCGGCGGAACCATCATGTGGGGGTATGTCTAAAAACACATCGTGTCGTGTGGTGCTCAAAAGGTTCTGGGTGTTGAGAAGTATTCAACACATTGAATGTCCGGGCACTGACCCGTGTTGTTATGGTTGTTGTTGCTGCTGCTGCTGCTGCTGCTGCTGCTGCTGCTGCTGCTGCTGAGGTTGTGGTTGTGACGGTTGTGGCTGTTGTGGTTATTGTGGTTGTTGTGGTTGTTGTTGTTGCTGCTGCTGCGGCTGCATGCTGCTGCTGTTGCTGTTGTGGTTGTGGTTGTTGTGGTTGTGATGGTTGTGATGGTTGTGATTAATTGTAATTGATGTAGTTGTATGTTGTTGTGGTTGTTGTGGTTGTTGTGGTTGTTGCGGTTGTTGTGGTTGTTGGTTGTTGTGGTTGTTGTTGTGGGTTTTGATGGTTGGTGGTTGATTGTTGATTGTTTGGTGTTGTTGTTTGTTGGTTGTTTGTGCTTTTGTTTGTTGGTTTGTTTTTGTTTGTTGTGTGTTGTTTGCAAGTTGTTTGTCGGGTGTTTTTGATTGTTTGTTATGTGTTCGTGTAACTGTTTGTGTTGGTTGTTGGTTGTTGCTTGATTGTTGCCGTTGTTGGTGTGGGTCGTGGTCGGTGTCGTCTTCGTCGTCGTTGTTGGGGCTGGTGCTGGTGCTGTGCTGGCGATGGTGCTGTTGCTGTTTCTATTGCTGCTGCTGCTGCTGTTGCTGCTGCTGCGGCGGTTGTTGCTGTTACTGTTGCTGTCGTTGCAGTTGGTGATGTTGCTGATATTGTGTTGCTGCTGTTTCCACTCTTTGGTTTCTTCACAGGCTCGCCAAGCGAACTGAGAGCATGCTGAGTGTGTCTTGAATGCCAAGTATGTCTTAGAAAGTGTGTGGCACCTTTTGAAGCAGTTCAGTCTTCCTGTGTGGTCCAGCATTGTGGCAAAGGTCGGCAGCAGATGCAAGAGGTTGAGCAGACCATCGCGGAGCTGGGCTCAGCAGAGCGGTCATAGCAGCCCAAAGCGCATGCGCAGCAAACGTGAATGCTTGAGGGCCGGAAAGAACTCCCGGATGATTAGCGGGTCTCTTGACTTGCATACTGTGGATGGAAAAAAAATCCTGCACGACTCGGAAACTATGGGAAACCATGTTTGGTGGTTATTTACAGGGGAATCATCATTCCAGGGTTTTTGTAGGTGGTGCTGGATTGCGTCCATCCACAGTAGGAGCAACAGGACATGGCGGCAACTAGCCCACCCTCTTGCTCCTCTCCTGGTCCCTGTAATGCGCCTGCTCTGAGCTCCAACTCTAACTCCTGAACCCCAACACCATTTAACAACAACGGACCCACCCTGCATCCTTATCCACCCTATTGTTGAACCCAGCCCACTCCTTGAACCTGCCAACTGGAGGACACAGCAGAACTTGGCAACAAGGGACCACCATTTACCCAGGCTACACACAACGCCCAAACCACCCCCAAACACTATATTAGAACCCGCCTCCACTCCAGACCCAGCCCAAACCAAGCCCAAGCAAACTCAACCTTCCCTGAACAGTTGCCAACTACCCCCAACCTGGCCTCAAGCAAACGCTACATTTGACCAACGCTGCTTCCAACCAACAAGCCTTTCTAAGCCATTCCTCAACATTTGACAGGTGCGGAAGAGTCCTCAACGCTGGTGGAACAGTTGTTTTCTTGATCCGAGTTGAGAAGATTGGCTTCATCCCACCAGTTTTCTGTATGCACCCAGCCCAATGCAAAATCAGCTCTGCCGACTGTGCGTGAGAATGCTTGCGACGTCTGGGACGCTCTGAGCCAATGAATCATGCGTTGCCCCGTTCCTGCAAGGCCATGAAGGGTGCTTTGGAAAGCTCCAAAGACATGCTGAAATCCTTGCCGGGAGCTCGTATTGCAGGGAGGATGGGCTCAGCCAATCTGCCCGAAGTGCCAGGAAGGGACCGGCCATCGAGCAGCCACCTCTAGGTGCACTCGACCTCCCGGTGCCGTTTGAGATCCAAATGCACTTTGCAGGCGAGCTGCCCGCATTTGACGGCGGCTACGAGAACGTCCTGCAGAGGAGCTATGCTCAAATTGTGGAGGTTAAAAGTAGGGTAACCCCAAAATGAGTTACCCGATCGGTGCATGGAACCAAGGACTATTAAACCTGCGGTCAATATCCAGGTGGTTTACTTTTGACCTACACCCAAATGTGGAAGCCGTGTCGGCAGCTTCGCGGTTTCGCACCGCACAGCCGCTTTGCGCGTGTGTGGCGGGCAAAACGCGCTGCGAGGCTGCAGCAGCATTTGCGGGACCAGCAGGCACAGCAGCATGAGCTCCTCACGCAGCTCACAGCTCGCCCGGACCTTGCAGCGTTGCTCCGCTCGCGCCTTGCGCCCTGTGGCGCGACTTGAAATCGGGCACCCCCAAAAGTGGTATAGGCTATAGGTGTTTCTTTGGACACTTGAGAATCGGGGACCCCCCAAAAGCGACCCCCAAAATCGGGAACCCCAAAAGGGGTACCGTACCCAAGGAGCCACACAACTGGGGTCCGAGGCTGGGAGGCTCGCTTCACGGCTTTGGAGCAGGCGCGACGGGTATGGGTCGACCGAAAGAAGTTGGGCCGTTGCTTCCATTTACCGAGCGGGCAAGCCATGTTGGGTGCCCATTTTGGATCCACAGTCATACTAGAATCTCCAAGATGCCTCATATTCCGTGAGATATGTCAATTGGTCAGGGCAAAAAATGAATTGAACAAGGGTGGCTTTCAACATGCAGCTTGTTTGCTCCTTGTGTGCTTGGCACCATTACTTAAAGATGCGTCGTTGGATCAGAAGACAATCTTGCTGCTCACGGAACGACCCTCCGGGTTTGGGAAGGAACCTGGCACCTCCGTTTTGGGAAACCGCCGCTCAGGGCATGATCCTTCCGGGTTTTGAGAACTTGAACCTGGTGATTCCCTAGAAAACAGCCATGGAAGCTTGTGATTCCCCAGAAGAAAAAACAAAAACACAAAAATACAAAACAAAAAAACGGGGGATGTTTTTTTTTCTTTTCTCGGGATCATTCCATGTCTCAGTGTCCGCCTATCGAAGCGATCGCCGGTTCTTGGTTCCGCCGGCAGGCGCTGAGCAGCAGCTTGGAGGTGGCGACTGTGGCCACCACCTCTATGAACGAACGTCGAAGCCTCGGATTGAAGGAAGAAAAGCTCCTTGATGTATGTGTTTGTGTCTGTGTGGAACGTGTTTGCGTTTGTGTGGAACGTGTGTGTGTGTGTGTGGGTGGGTGTGGTGTGGGTGCAGTGGAACATGTGTGTGTGTGTGTGGGTGGGTGGGTGGGTGGGTGTGTGTGTGTGTGGGTGTGGGTGGGTGTGGAACGTGTTTGGGTCTGTGTGGAATGTGGTTGTGTTTGTGTGGAACGTGTTTGTGTCTGTGTGGAACGTTTCTGCGTTTGTGTGGAACGTGTGTGTGTGTGGAACGTGTGTGTTTGTGGGTGGGTGTGGGTGGGTGCAGTGGAACGTGTGTGTGTGTGTGGGTGGGTGTGGGTGTGTATGTCGCTTGTGTCCAGGGTCCCACTTTCGAACTACCCCAAGATGGACTTAAGCCCAGAGGGTCTCCTTTTCAGGGGAATGAACCACCCCTGGGTTTGGGGTAGTCCAAAAGTAGAACCCTGTTTGTGTCTGGGTGGAACGTGTCTGTGTCTGTGTGTAGGTTAAAGGAATATTGTAATGAGCGAATTCTTGGTCTCAGGGCTCTGTGCCAGGTCTGCGGCGTATCCTCAGCCTTGGAGAGGTCCTGGAGGGGGCCGTCGAGCGAGCGGGGGCCTGAGTCTAGTCTCTGAGTTTCGCCTTCTGCCGCCGGGTTGCACTCCGCCCTGCCCGAGTTTTGGCTCATTTCGAGTCATGCTAGGCAATTTGGGTGCTTTGATATATGGAGTCTTGTCCACTTCATTTCAGTCTGCTTGCAGGTCATGAGCAGCAGCAAGGATGTTGCAGCGTGCGCACCCTATCCAAGAATTCCGGCAAGCCCATAAAACTATGTGGAGCACCTTGAGCTGAGGTTGACTCGCAAAGTGGGTCAGATTGAGGCACGCCCGATTCACCAAAGGTCCTGTGCACTCTGCGGTTTGCAGGACGACGTGGCCTGCCTTGCTCAAGAGCTGGCCGCGCGCTCATGCAAGAGCTGGCTGTGGCTCAAAAGAACGGTACCAAAATGGAAGCCTGTTAAGTGGAAACAGGGACCAAAACCCGCGGTAACCCCTCCTTTTTTTTATTATTTTGAGCCACACCCAGCTGGCTTCACCAGAGCCAATCAGTAGGCAGAGGGGCTCTCGGCGCGGAGGCGAGCGACCGCAGCGAGCGCGGGACAGCCGCCCTTGCAGAGTCCGTGCGTTTGATGGAGGACAAGGCGACTCGGGAGCACTGCAAAGGCTGCACCGTGCGGCAAGATGGAGTGGCATTTTGTGTCATGGTTTGCAAGAAGCCAACATTTAGTGGCCTTAAAAAAAACATGTTCCAGACAAAAGCCAGGAACTCGAGTTGAACCGTGCGCATGCCAACCTGAGATAAACGCACTTTGCCATGAAGCTCGGGCAAGCCGTCGCGACCTCGGACGGTGCCTCCTTGAGGGACATTTGTGCCAGTGTGCTCATCTCGCCTGCTTGGATCAAGCTCCTCGCGAGTGCGAGCCTGGGCAAGTTGCTTGAAAGAATGAGCGCGCAAAGGCCCAATCAACGTGTGAAGCAGGTGCCACAGGTTGGGCATCCAAAGAGACCAGCAGATAGGCAAGTGTAACCGACCCCGATTCATTCCAAGTCATTATGTCATTTGGTTCATGCATCCAGCGCAAATCAGTCGGGACATGGTGCTATGGCTCGGCTGCTGCCGCTGCAATTCCGACAGGTTGGGAGCAAAAGGGTTGTGGGTCAAAACCTAAGGTGAGCCACAATCAAACCTGGGTAGATGAAGGTTAGCAAGGGAAAGACCCAGCCGGAAATAGTTGCGGCCGCCTTTCTAATTCTTTACATGGTTCTGGGTTCACCATTTTTGTACCAGGTTTTGATTGTGACTCAGGTGCCAAAAATGGGGATGGTTACCACTCCACTGTTGCCTTTCACCGAACCACCGGGGTTTTGACCCATAGCCAAAGAAGCTGAGAGTCTGAAAGATCGGTGCGTGGAGTCATTCAGGTGCGATGGCTGAGCACAGGCGGGCTGTTGAACAGAGGGTTCCGCTTTCGACTCGCCCAAAGTAGACTCCAATCCAGCGGTTTCCCGTTGGGAAATAAAAATGAACCACCTGACTACCCAAAGTGAACCCATGCTTTTTTTTTGGGGGGGGGGCACATCGACCACCTGGGTATTTGCGTCTCCCTTCGTCCAAAAGTGGAGCCTTCCGAGCCAAAACGATTCCCCAGCCCGGGGGTTACGTCTACCGCCCCGTCAAAAAGCGGCGCCCTGAAGCTGCAGTCGGTGACCGCTTCACTTTGTCAGGCGATCCAGGCTTGCTGCTGCGCCGTGAGGCTCCCCAGCCACTGCCCTAATGCCCCAGCTTGGGCCTGGATGGATTGTGTGTGTGCGCGCATGTGTGTGTTTTTGGGATTCATGGACCCCGTGGACCCCCCAAAAAGGTGGTGTTCCAGTTTGGGCCTGCGTTTGGGGTGTGTGTCTGTTTTTGGGGATTCGGACCCACTAAAAAGGTGGTGTGTTCCTTCTGGTTTGCCAAGACAACCACAGAACATTATGAAAATGGGTAGCCCCTTCAAACAACAAAAACACGAAAAATATGAACCTGGCTACCACTCTCCATCCAAAAAACAACAGCAAAGACACTCGCATCCGAGGAGAGCTGCGCTGCTGGTGCTGACCTCATAGCTCCATGTGCTTTAAAGAGACCAGAGACGGTGAGCCAGGCGCGTACCTTGGGTGGGCTGCCAGCGGATCAAGTCTCAGCTCTGGAGCAACTGGCAGATGACCCACAGGCGCGTTGTCTGCCCTCGCATGGGAGTTGTTTGGCGAACATCAGCTTTGTAATGTTGACCCCATACTGTACTGTGGATGGACAAGATCCTCTTAGGCGCCGCCAAATTAACCCTGAAATGATGACTCCCCTCTAAATACCAACAAAGAATGGTCTTCAAAGGGTTTCAAAGAGGTGCAGGATTTCGTCCATCCACAGTATTATTCAACCCCAGTTTGTTAGTATGGGGGGTGGCCTTGGGTTTAGTGGGGAATTAGGCCACTTTTGGAGGGGAACACCCCCCAAATTTATGAACTGGGGTTGAAATTTGTATGGGGTCAACAGTGGAGTCGGTGGCAGCGCTCCATGAACCAGTTTGAGTTCTTTGGCAAACATCAGCTTTGCAGTGGAGGGGTTTGCGTCAACGTTCCATGAACCAGTTTGTATGCATCAAGACATAAGTGACCTTTGGAAAAATAGATGGCCGTAGTAAATGTGATAATCCCATCTAAACCAGTGCCATCTATTTTTAACCAAAGTAACCTAAATATGCAGCAAGATCGTTTAAGACCCTGGCAACTTTTAGATGGCGCGCGCATGGGCAGGTCCTGGAGCAAAAGGCCTTTCGAGGGGTGCTGGAGGAGCTGTCCCGGCATTGGCCGCGAGATGTCGGGGAGCAGGCAGATGGTGTCGGCCGGGTGGGGGACGCCCATGCGACTTTTTTTTGGCGTGCCATACTGTGGGTGGTTACGAAATCCGCTCGCACCACAAAATGAATCCATTGTTGGATTTTGTTGGTATTTACCGGGGAATCGACTCATTTCAGGGTTTCTTAGTTGGTGCGAAATGGATTTCGTCCACCCACAGCATTCCAGAGGTGTCCGGCAATGCGGATTTGACGCTGCGGCTCAACGACGCGTTGAAGAAGCTGGGCGCACAAGGCGCCGCGGCTGGATCGCGTGGGTTGAGAGAACTTGGGTTGGGTTGCAGCCACCTAGGGACCTTGAGATGCGAAGCTTGTTGGGTGAGATTCATTCCTCGACGGGACACATGCCAATGTTGACCCCATACTGTGGATGGAGGAAATCCTCTTAGGCACCACCTAAGAAGCCCCGGAATGATGATTCACATGCAAATACCAACAATCAATGTTTTCCCGTGGTTTTCAATGTGGTGCAGGATTTCGTCCATCCACAATATGAATCAACCCCAGTGTATCAATAGTGGGCCTGCTTTTGCCTGGGTGGAATGTGGTTGGAATCCGACCACTTTTGGAGTGCCCCCACCCTCCTATGAATAAGCTGGGGTTGACTCATATGGGGCCAATAGATGCATCCTGCTTGCTTTTTGATTTCAGTTGAGTGGTGTCGACCCGCGCAAGGCGTCGACCCGCGGCTGATCAGACGCTTGGGCAACGGCCTGCTGCAAGCCGGAGCCACAGCTCGTGCAGCTTGCTGCCAGGGCATGCGAAAGTCGAGCGAGTCGCGCACAGGAACTGCACGGAGACCTCACTAGCCTCATGGACAGGCACGGGGCTCTTTGTTTTCACTATGGATGGACGAAATCCGTTTGGCACCACGAAATGAACCCATGTGTTGGTTGTTGCAGGGTTTCTTAGGGTGCAGGATTTCGTCCATCCACTGGAATTATGTCAAGAGGGTGCCAACAGAAGTCTGATTGATCTCGGAATCCAAAACCTTGGAAGCGGGCGTCAGTCAAAGCAAAGAGGTAGCAAGTGCGCTGCAGGTTCTGTGGCACTTCTGCAGATGACTATGCCTTGTGGCTGCTCGACCAGAAGGTGCAGGACGGTGGACCACGCAGTTTGCGAGCCCAGGGAACAGAATCTCCAAGCCCCAAGTGGGTGTGGCTCAAAACTAAGGAGCTAGGGTTACGCAGGTTGTGGTCTTTGGTTTGATTCACCCAGGTGCCATTTGGGTACATTTTATGGAGCCACACCCAAGTTTCAAGTTTCTGCCAGGCACCGAGCTTCGTGCCAGGAGGCGGCTGCTTCGCTGAGCGTGGAGGAGTTGGTCTCGCTGCTTCACAGCCTGGCACACCCGCTCTTCGGCGGCCGCAGCGCGGCTCATATGTCCGCAGAGGTCTTGAGCCGTGTGCGGCGCCTGGGCTCCTTGAGCGGCCCTGCAGCCGCCAAGCTGCTGCAGATCTACAGCGGCACGCCGGTGGTTTCGGAGATCCTGGCGGCCATGGGCAAGCCGCCCATGAGCTTGCCAGAGCTGGCGGTGCTGGCAAACGCTCTGGCAGCCAATGCAAGCGACTCGCACAGGAGCCTAGCGCTAGAACTGATGAAGCAATTGGATGCGCTGCCAGAGCTAGACACCGAGTTGGCCTTGCTGTGCGTATCTGGGGTTTGGGATGTGTTGGCCATCACGGACTCGACGCCTGACCCTCGCCTTGCGGGCATTCTCAAGAAGCTGAGCAGCCAAGTGGCCTCCGCGGACGCCTCCCAGTTTGCGCTGCTGGCAAGTCGCATTGATCCGACGCTTCTGCCAACCTTGACATCTGACCTTGCCGCCGAGCTGCCCGCGCCCACCGTGGTGAAGCTGCTGGCAGCGCTGGCCGCCGCCCCGGCAGCCGGCACGGCCTCGGCCGCGGACTCGGCGGCGCTGGCGCAGGCGCTGAGCGACGCGGCGCTGCGGGTGGCGCCGGCGCTGAGCTTCGCGGACTTCGAGACGGCCGCCTTCGCCTTGGCGCAGCTGGGCCTCGGAGGCTTCCTGGAGGCGGGGGACCTGGAGGCGCGCCTGGGGAACTTCCCGCGGGCCTCCGCGCAGCTGCTGTGGGCCATGGCGGTGCATGGAGGCAGCGACGTGGCCTGGGCGCTGGCGGCCATGCAGCTCCCCAGCCTCACCTCCCTCAGCGACGCGGAAAGGGCGCTGCTGCTGGAGGCCCTGAGCGCCCAGGCCATTTTCTCCAAGCCATGGGAAGGGGCTGCTGCCACTCTCTTGGCCGACCCCTCCCTGCAAGCGGCCTGGTCTGCCCAGACACGCCCCAAGTCCACGAAGTCCGAAGCGCTGCTGAGATTGCTCCCAGAAATGGGAGAGAAGTACCATGGCGGTTCCCAGCCATCCTTTGAGGTTTTTGGATGTTGTGTGGTAGTTTCCGTTAAACCACCAAAAAGTGGTTCGCCTTTGGATCGCAAAATTGGACAGGTACCAACTGGAGGCGCAGATTGGGCCAAGCCCCTGGAAGGCTCCGGTGCTCTTCGAGGACCGCAACATCATCCTGGATCTTTTGCCCTCCGCCCGGCATCCCGCCTCCGGCAAGACCCGGGGCGACGTGCTGCTGAAGCACGACAGCTGGGCGCAGTCGGGCTACAGCGTGCTGACGCTGCTGGACTCCGCCTGGAAAAATGAGGAGGAGGAGATGCGGCAGAGGCTGAAGGCGCAGCTGGGCCAGCTGAATCGCAACGAGCTGCTGCGGGCGGCCAACATCCAGGACCCAGCCCAGTGCCCTTCCTTCGTGTTTTTTTGGGAAGGGTTCCCCTTTAAAGTCAACTTACTAAGTCAACCAACCAGAAAAAAGAGATGCCCTTTTTTCCCCATGGTTCCTGGGCATCAGAGAGGAGGAGCTGCAGAAAGATCTGGAGTCGGTGCCAGTGGGTGCTGACGGGCCGGGGCCTTAAGGCCGGTGTGCGTGAATCGCTTAAGTAATCCTTTTGGAGTAGCCCGAAACAAACAAATATGGCAGTGGTGGTCAAAACCAATGGGATCCCATTTTGGGGTAGGTGCACCACCCATGTTGGTCGGGATTTTAGTGGGGATTGGGATCACGGGGGGTACGGGATTTTGACCCATGGCCACATATGTTATGCACCAGGCTTGTATGAGGCTGACTGGCACATCCCAGGATCAACTTGAAGGCTCTGAAGTGGCTGGCGCAGCTGCCCTTGCCCTTGCAGAAGGTCGCCGTGCAAAAGTACAAGAATACCATCCGGAGCTCCGTGCGCAGTCCGAGTGCCTGGCTCATCGGAATCATCAAGAAGGAGGGGCAAAGGGCCTTGATGGGCATTCTGGGACCCCTCCAAAATGGCATCGGTTTTCCTTTTGGCTTCCCTTTGAACACCCCCCCCCCCTCAAAAAAAAACAAAACGGGAGACCCCGAAAAAAGGACGGACCCATTGCCTGATAGGAGGAGACCGTGGCTGAGGAAGCGGCCAAGGCGGAGGAGGCGAAGGCACAGGGTTTTTTTCGCGCTAAGGACTTCAACCCAAGACACTAGATGGGGGGTGATCAAAAGGTCCGATTTACCGTAGAATTAGCAGTGGTTAAAAGATCATGTTATCCCACTCAATGGGAAAAGTTCCCCATGGTCATTTGGGGGTCAAATAGAATCGCATGCGCATTTCACATCGACGTTAGTCGTGTTGCTCCGGAAGGGGAAAAGCTCCGCGGTTGCTCGGCGGCCCCAGGACACTGGGGTTGCGTTGATGGTAAAAAGCTGCATGCCTAAGTCGCGACTTCTTACCCAACTGCCCCTGAATTCAGTTAGTTGAGGAAACAGTGAGTTGGCGATCCCGGTAGTGTCATGTTCCGAGCTTTGCTCGGCTTTCGCTTGCAGGACGGCTGGAAAAGGTCTGGACGGCGTTTGGAAGATGTAAAGACGGGCGAGCGGTTGAAAGGCGAGGGAGATTGGCTGGTTCGATGGAATGACCCCGAGAAAGACCATCCCCTAGAAAAGCCATCCGTTTCCTAGGGTTTCATTCCCAACGCCCGGAAGGTCATTCCCTACTGAGCACCATCACGATGATGAAGTACCATATTTCTAGACTCTCGTGTAAGTAAGCCATGAACCCCAATGTGTTTGCATGAGTGTGTGTGTGTGTGTGTGAGTGTCTGAGTGTTTGTGCGTCCGTGTGTCTTTGTTTTTGTTTGTTTGTGCAAAATAACCCTCTTTGGCAACCACGTAGTTTTTCTCGGGTGAGTGCTCGGGCCAAGTGTTGGCTGCAACATGATTGTCCTCCGTGCTTTGACCCTCACTGCAAAGTGAATGCTGAAAGCTTTGCAGGCCGTGTGACCAACGTGTACCAAGACCGTGTTTGGCTGGACTCGCGGTTGCAGTACTGAGCGTGTTCTTGTGCTTCGCTCCACATTTGGGTGTGTCTTTTTTTGAGGGTACCTTTTTTGGGGGCTTGAAATGGAAACCAAAAGAAAAACACCCGCCATTTCATGGGTCCCCGAAAAAAAGGCGAGGCACCCCTCTGCCTGAGGATGCGGGCCTGGAAAAGGACGTCACCTTTCTGGCCAAAGACATGGAAGTGAAGCTGGGCCAAGTCTTCAACAATCTGAAGGTCGTCAAGGTCAACCTGAAGAACAAGTGGGTGGAGGCGGGGGCCGAAGGCCGAGGGAGGAAGCCACTTGAGGTCAGAATCAAAACCCGGGTGGATGAAGGTTAGGGAAGAATCCCAACTATTTGTGGGATGGACGAAATCCATCACCACTTGGAAACCATTGTTGAAACCTTCGTTTGTTGGCCTTTATTGGGGAATCATCCGAAACCAGCGGTTTCTTATATAGGTGGTGCCTAAGAAAACGGATTTCGTCCACAGTAGTCCTGGGTAGACCATGTTACCGGTGGGTTTGGATTCTGACTCACTTGCTGCCTCTCAGGTGGCCCCACGCGTGCCAAAGCCCAGACCTGCCGGGCCGGCGAGGCGGCCCCCGACCGGCTGGAAGCACAAAGAGGCGGGCGGCATCGCGCTTGCGGTTTGCGGCTTGCGATGTTTGCGTTGCGAGGCGGCAGGAGACTTTAGAACTAGGTTCCACGATGTTAGATGTCAGTGGTAAAAAGCGGCGAAGAGCATATTATGGTGGCCGGCGTCAATATTGTTGAATATATATATATATATATATCCTATAGTCCCAAACGAACGGGTACTATTGCCCAACACATCTCACCATTGCCAAATTTTGAAGGTGGTCAATGCTTCAGATTGTCCCCAGTCAGCAAAAGCCAAACGCGACGCCGGGGTTCGAACAGGGGCCCCCGCGCAGGGCAAGCCGCTTTCCGAGCTTCAAGAAGGAACTGAGGTCAGCGGCCAGGCGTGGCGAGACGTGATGGAAGCGGAATTGATGGGTGGCGCGTTTTTTCTCGGGCTTCCTACCCAGAGGCTCCAAGTACCTTCTAAGGACGTACCTAGACCCCTTTTGACCCCTCAAAAGCCATCCTCAGAAGGTACTTGGACCCCTGGGTTACAAGCCATCAAACAAAGGGGAATGAAAGACAGAGACCCATCCACGTAGAAACCCATCAAATTTACGGGGCATAGTCCCAAGCCGAGGCTGGGCGCGCATGTTGTCGTGGGGTCAACACCAACGAAATCCCATTTTGGGGCAGGTGCATTTGGTCGGGATTTTAGGGTGGATTGGGATGTTCGCTGGGGGTACTATTTGGGTTTTGACCCACTTCGCAGGTGACGAACATCCTCTTTGACCGGGTTTGGGTGGACATCGGCGCGGAAGCTTTTGAGCATATTGCTTTCCCTGCCAGGCGTACTGATCATAGATGTCCTTTTTCGTTGTTTTGCAAGAAAAATAGATGGCGATTCCTGGTTTACCTGGTACGTCATCTATCAGGGCCATCTATTTCCCCTAAAAGGACACGTATGGTACTGATTTGTCGGGGATGGTGGGCTAAGGAGAAGGATGGAAGCTTCCGGATGTCTTCGGGGCAAGAGCTCAAGGTGGGCGATACTGTGGACATGAAGATCCGGATGGTCGATTTGGACAAGGCCAGGCTGTGCGCCAAGTGCGCCCCTTTTTCATGGAGTCTTACGTGCAAGCAAGGCACACATGACACGAAATCCTCTCCATCTCCGATTATGCCGTAAATTAATTGCTGGTTCCCTTGTTGCATACAGCTGGCTCTTATTCAGCGAGCATAGCTTGTGTGAGCCTGATGCTACTTTCACGCTTTGCGTTCAAGGTTCTGTGATTCAGTTGCAATGTGCAATGACGATTCTTAGGGCAGATTGGTCGGGCTTTTGCGTTGAACCCTGGCCAGGATATTGTGATGCTTGCGCCGAAGGGCGAAAACGGCGGTCTTGCGCAAGTGTGAGCGCGTGTGTTTGCCTCGTGCTTGCAGCGTGCTAGTTGGGCCATTGCCATTCCCAAAAGCGCCGAGGTGTGGATGTGGATCGCAGAGAACCAGCGGAGAGTGCAGGAGCGGGTTGATGATGTTCTTGATGTAGGTGTCTCCCAAGATAGGGGCCCTTATGGGACCGCAAGATGTCGTTCTGTTTTTCTCTTTTGGTTTCCGCCCAGCCGTCCCTGCTTCTCGGACTCACTTCAGACCGCAGGTCCGGCAAGGCCGGGCGGCTCACAAGACCGAGACCGTCGAGACCAGGCGCTCTCCATGCCTCGCATCCCAAAGTGTTGTGACGGAAGCAAGCCTGGGGTAACTTTGAGGGTCCCGTTGGGGTTGAGGGGTCGCAGAAGGTTCGGGGTAACTTTGAGTTTCTTCTGTTGGCCAAACAGAAGAGTGGGTACAGTTGTTTTATTTGGATATGGACCGCAGGTTTTAGTCAGCTTTGTTTTCAGCTCTCAGAACAACATTTTGGGGTCACTAACGACTCCACGTCACCCGCGCGCCGCTGATGCCAGGCTTCCAGCTCCCACAGGCCCGGTGTCGGTGTCCTGCACGTTCCGCGGTGGTTTTGGGGCGAAGACATAGACCCAAGGCCCAGGAGTGGTGGTGGTGGTGGTGGTGGTGGTGGTGGTGGTGGTGGTGGTGGTGGTGGTGGTGGTGGTGGTGGTGGTGGTGGTGGTGGTGGTGGTGGTGGTGGTGGTGGTGGTGGTGGTGGTGAAGGAGAGGAGAGGGCGTTGATTTCGGCCCAAGGGTGGTGTTCTTGTCTCTTAGTGCAAAAAGATGTGCTCTGGGTTTGAGTCAAACAAACATGTTGTTGTCTGGGTTTGGCTCTAATTTGGGGTACCCTGCCGGTCATGGAACTATACAAGAAATTTGGACACCTGGCGTGCGGATTGGAGCAAGAGGCTGGCGCTGATCGCTGGTCGCAGGCGGGATGTGAGTGGGGGGTTCCTGAAACAGAGTCTCCTTTTTGGGAAATCAGAAGGAAGCTAACTTGCTGGTGCTCAGCAGGGAATGAGGAACCTTTAAGGGGGCCACTGATTTCATTCCCTCATTCCCTACTGAGCACCAGCAAGCCAACCATTTGTAGAGTTTCATTTGAAGAAACCAGTGATGGACACCCCCAACACTGTGCCAGGGTAGGCTCTCGGCACATCGGGCCCATCGAAGAGGACGGCTCCTCTCACAAAATAACAGACTTGGAAGTGCGGCGGCCTGCCAGGAGGAAGAAGAGGAGGCGTGCTTTCTGGATTATTCACCTTGGTTTGTCATCTTGGTTCATGCGGCTGTGGGTCAAAACCAATGGGATCCCATGTTGGTTGATAGGTGCACCACCCATTTTAGTCGGGATTTTAGTGGGGATTGGGATGTTCACTGGTGGGCAACCGGGATTTTGACCCATGGCCGTCTTGGTTCATGCAACTTGTATAGTGAAGATGCAAGCCTCACTGACGGCCCAGGCGGACAGGGTGTTGAAAGGCGCGAAGCAGTGGGGTTGTTTCAAGGCTCTGGTATAGCGCCACAGGTTGGGGCGACGAGACCGGCGGCTAGGCGCTCAAGTTCTCAGCGCTGAGTGCGAAAGCGCGCCAAGGGAGCGCTCGGGGACAGCTGTGGCTCCCTTTAGCTCAGTGAATCCAAAACCGCCGCGCTTTCTGCCTGGTTACATGTGATTTACCATCTATTGAGCAGTCAGTGGCACCTTTCTGCCGCTACATTTGATTTGATTTTCCATCTGAGCAGACAGTCACACCCGACCGTGGGCCACTAGACACACGACTGGACTGTACTAAGGCAGTATTTTTTCCCGGCTGCTGGGACAGCTGGAGCCCAAAGCCAGCGTCAGTTTGCGGGATCAAGCTGCTGGACCCGAGCTGCAGGTGAGCCCTCTCCACGACATTCCCGGTTTAACTTCTTCAACTGCCAATGGCCAGAATGAGCGCTGGATGTGAACTTGACGCAGAAAGCAAAAAGGAGGGACGGCCTGTGTTCGGAAGACCGATGCTGGCTGAGACGGGTTTTTTCAATCCGGTGAGAATGTGGCACGAGCCTTGAAAACGGACACACGATGCATGCCAATGACGTGTGTTCCCGGGCAACGAGGGGGGACCTGAAAGGGACGGGCTTACGTTTTGACCCGGAGTGGTCGTGGGGCATTCCCGGATTCAGATCGCGCTTCAAGCTGGGGAAACGAATACTTGCCAAACCCGGGCGTGCTTTGTGAGCAATCATCAGAGGTCGGATCCCATAGTTGACCCGCAGCCATTCTCTCTTGGAAAGGAAATACTCGCGTACAAAGAGTGTCATCCAGCAACACATCGTTCCTGACATAATATATCGACATGTCCATTTAAAGGCCAGTGCCCAGACTGACTTTCAGCTTAGGAATTTCATACCACTTCTCATCAAGAGGTAGTACTTAAATTTGCTCAGGTGATATTTAATATCCCCAACAGCATGCGGTGCTATTTTTAGTGCTCGCACCACCCCGCAGCCCTCGCAGAAACTCGTGGAACCCTGGTGGAACCTTGGTGGAACCCTCGTGGAACCCTCGTGGGAACCTTACCTCAGCTGCCCCGGACCACCCTGCAGCCTATCTGGGGTGAGACCCCAAAGCTTTCAGCTGTTGGAGGAAAACAACTCCTGCGGGGCAACAATGTGCATGGAAACGGGCGACCCCTGCAATTCCATGTATACCTAGAGTCTCCTTAGGACCCGTCACAACCCCTTCATTTTGGGTAATGACCAACCATTTCTAAAGGGTCAGAAGGAGCCTTCAGGTAGTTCCATTCTCCCTTTGAGACTGGGGAAATGGGAAAAATGCGGGACCCTTCCCCCCACCCCCCCGACTCAAGATGTGCCCTTGGCGCGCCGTGACTGGCCATGGGTGGTTTGGAGGCGCAGTGCCTCAGATGAAACAAATCAGCGAGGGCGAAAGCCGAAAGCATTAAGATGAAAGTCCAACAGGAAATGATGATTCAAGAGTTGAATGGAATCGACCTGTTCTAAAATGGAAGCAACAAGTAAGAATGATAATGTGTCAATCAAACAGGTTGATCACGTTAGAGCCTCCGGCTCATTCCGCCGACTTCTCGTGCGCTCGGTGCCCCGAACCCCACACAAACGACACCGCCGGACAACCCCCAGAAAGACCATTGACAACTGACTAAGGAAGCCCGAACCCAACCCACCGCTTGCGTGCAGAACCCCAGAACCCCCACACAAAACGCGCACCTCGCCCGCCACGAAGAGCACAACCGCGAGCAAAAACGCAAACGTCACCACGCCGGCACCCCAAAATCCCTCGAACGGAACCCCACGCAAAACGCACACGGCGCACAAAATGAAGCCCGAAGGTGAGCGCGCAGAACCGCGAGAAAACCCCAAGAGAACCCAGAGAAAAGCTGCAGCCCCCACTCTCGCGCCCGAGAGCACAATCCCTCGGCCCACAAAGAAAAAGCACACGTCACAAGACCAGTGAAAACAGAAAAATTAAGCCCAAACCTAAGCGTGCGGTACCTCTAGAAAACCCAGAGACATCCCCCACCCACACCAGCGCCCAAGGGCTCCACGCAGCACCGGCCTGGGCGACCCTGAAAAAAAAATCGAGCCCGCCGCCCCCAGTTGTGCCAGCGCCAGTAACTGCCGGGACGTGAAAAAGATGGAACGTCGCAAAATCGCCACGCGGTACGTGCCGTGCACACCTCACCGTTGTGGGCGCGACCCCCTGGCCTGGGGGATTAGGGGGAAGCTTCCAACTACGCCGAGCAGAAATCGGCGAGTATTGGTCCAGGCGAGCAGTGACTTGCGAGAGCAGCCCATGCAGCTGTAGCTGGAGTCGCGCAAGTGCTGCAGCCTCAGCAAAGCCGCACCGGTTGCGCCGTAGATCTAGCAGCCAGGCTGCCAAATTAGTGAACATTGCTTAACCTTACCGGTGTTTTTTTCATGCAGGAGAGCAATCCACTTACCTTGGCAGCTGCTGCCAGGGGTGCGGAAACTGCTCGGCAAGCCATTTGTAAGTTGAGGCCTGCTGGTTTCTGAGGCCACAAACAAGTGCGCTGGCTAGAAGTCATGTCTAACGTAACCTTTTGAGCAGGAAAGCATTTGCCAGATAATTGTTGGGCACGGTCCAAGCTTACCGAAAGGACTGGGAGGTCGGACCATTCCTCTTTACATTGCTGTGAGCCAGTTTATTTAAACCAAGGTACAATGGTGTTGGTTACATCCAGGAGAGATGCTATGTAGACTGTATACTCGGTTGAGTTGGTAGTAGTAGTAGTCAAGTGTGATCCGTTAATGAAACTTATGGTGGTATTACTACCTGGTTCTCATATCATGAAATGATCAAACGCCGAGGACCCACCTAAACGGCCTTCATTCAGAAATGCTGCATAGTGATGCGAAGGAACATGAAAGATACTGGTCAACGAAGTTCATGGCTATTTCGTAGAGTGTGTCTCGGGATATGTTGCAAAACGAATTTTCTGGTTGTTGCTAACTACGAGCCAAGTCTGTGGGCTTTCTTGGCGCTCATCGCCGAAGCCAAGTTTGAGAAGCTTCAGATGCCAAGCTTCATCTACGCTATGTCAATGACCATGGAAGTGTTTGTAGGGGAAATATGTATGCTGGGGCAAACTTGGATCAGCTTCGCAAATTACATCTCATGAGTGAAGCAACTGCAAGTGGCAAGGTTGACATGACTTTCTTGATTCCATCAAGCACCAAAACCAGAGCATGAGGGCTCGAAGGAGAGCGACGGCTCGAAAGAGAGCGACGGCTCGAAAGAAAGCTTTGCGCAAAAGATCACCGCTCGCACCATGCCTCTTGGCGGCGTTTATTTGGACATTTTGGACTAGTGAGCTGCCGACATCACTCAGGCATCTTGGTTGCACTTTTGTGCTCGACAGAAGCGAAAGCTCACACTCAACGCGCACATTTGAAGGTCAGATGCGTATTGTCGACAGGGCGTGGAATGCACGTCACCGAGTTGAACTTGAACAAGACATCTTCCGCGATTTCGGACCTGCTGCTGGTGGTGAAAATGCGTCTGGCAGTCTTTTGACTCAAAGAGATAGAGCTCAGAGATTGGCAGAGTACATCATCAAGCATCCCGCAATTCCAGCAGAAGAGTATTTGTTTCAAGGATCTTCCTCAAGAAGTACATTCATGACAGTGGGTCACTCTCAGCTTTCTGACTTTGATGTGGTGTTGTTGTGCAGTCGCCAGTGGCTGCACGACAAAGGCCCAGATTCCTTTAGAGACCTCGCAAAAGTCATGAAAGAGCACGTCGTGTCCAACATTGGCCGCGAGGAATTGCACTATTCAGGCCGTAACCTGCAGATAGCCGAGCATAAATTCACCTTTGTCGCAGGAAGATGCGGTGTGGACCCTGGGGTTCAGCCCCCTTTAAAACAAAGGGGGTTAGGACTCGACCTTTGTTTTGCTTTGCTCGACCTTTGTTTGTATAGGGGCTTGTTGTAAAGCCTGGTTTAGGCAACATAGCCATATGGACATGGCCCTTTGGACTAACACATTAGATAAAACACTGATCGTTGTGAAGTTGAATGATGGAGTCGGTTTTTTCTCGTGAATTTGCTGGGGGCCAAGCATCCCAGCGTGACATAATCATGATGTTTAGAATTTGTATATATGATTGACATTGCCTGCTTCTCAGGCCCGGTGGGATGACTCGTGCCAGCTTAAAAAAAACTACAGGATGTAACGTTTGTACACTTCGTGGTTTTCTATATGGGTGTCGTAGGGGCCCCATGGCTGGAGGCACGCTGGACTTTCTGAGCTAAAGCGTTTCCTTCGCCGGGAGCGCGGCCTGGTGCTCACACGCCATTTCGCTCCGATCGCTGCGATGATTAGATTGCTGACCGTGCTTACTAGCTGCGTTGACCGTGCGTGTAATTCATGATAATTGGACCTATTGAGCTCCTGATTGCTTTTCATGCCCCATGTAGCCGGAAGGCATCAGAAGGCCTTGTGTGCGTGCGCGTGCTGGGTGACCCTTAACAAAATTGGCTGGGCTGCCCGCCCGCGCGTGAATTTGCATTTGCCTATTCTTTATGAACATGATCATATGAGCCGCGTACTCGAGCGCTATGCCATGCGTGAACGTGTGCCCAGCCAGCTTGCAGCTCTGCATTGCATAAGAAGCTGTGCGTGATGAGTGTGTCGCTACACGATCGGGGAATAAGTCGTATTTGCCGCGCGCAATCGGCATGCAGTGCTCCAGGAATATGGTACCGTGAAACTACCGTGAAACTACCGTGAACTCAGCGTGAACCCCCTTTATTCTGCGTGAACCCCCTTTGTTTTGCGTGAACCACGCACACCCCAAAACCGATGTTTTCTTCCGTGAAACCTGAGCTCGTGAGTCAACCCGTCTGCCCTCAGTGGCTCGTCTGCCCAAAAGGTACATGCCATAGAATCCTTTGTCTTGCTGTTCAAGAACCTCTAATATATGCCCCTTGCAGTTTTTCCATGATGTGTTTTTCACCAGCTCGAGCTTGTCTCAAGTGTTTTGACTGAGCTCACCTATTATTTGCAGCAGTGCATCTTACTGAATCTGAATTGAGATCTTGGTAGTCAACAGTGCCTTGCAGGGGAAAACCCAAGAATGACTCATTGCTTTTTGGATGAAGATGCAATGTCCTGGACACAACGCCACTTCGTTCCATTGCCACACCGTTATTTTTTGAAACGCGCTCGCAGTGTTGCCAGATATATTTGTTGATTCGTCATGGGTTGGGTGCACACAAGGTGTCTACAAACATGCTCATCCGACTCGCCGTATAAAGTTTATTCTTCAAACTCGCAAACTCAGCCTCCTTTGTAGGTTGTTGATTGCACCGCGTCGCTGGTGCTTTTGTGCTGGTAGCAGTTGATAGCTTCGCAGGCTATTATCCACCAAGCTAAATATCAATAAAAAAAACACCTAGGTTCAATTAATGGGGAACAGGTTGCAATTGCAGGCTGAATGCGGTTGGCTTGCTGAGTGTAAAAAAACATAATTTGAGCTAATTCCCGATTGATGCGTCCATTTATTGGTGCCAACCTGGGTGACCCTAAAAGTCCCCCTCCCTGCCTCGACGGTAGAAAGAAAGGGGGTTAACAGAAGCCCCTTTGTTTAAAAGGGGTTTTGAATGTCAGGGTGGAGCTAAAAGTCTCAGTTGAACATGGTTGGTGTGAAGACGAAGCTACCGATGTCGTGCTTGCATACCGGGATGACTCACAGCCTGGTACAATCGTAGTGTTTGACAGGTGGCGAAATGCATGGCGCCGGAATAATCCAGTCCGGCTTGCAGCCTGTGTCCGGGAAGTCGAAGAAAAGCAACCTTACTACAGCTTGGTGGTGCGCATGCTGAAGGAATGGAATCAGAATTGTCCTCGCATTCGCAAGGCTCGCACAGGTGCAGTCATGGGCGAAGTGACACTGTTGGACGACGAGCTTCCTGTAGAATTTGGAGGCCCAAGGGACACAATCGTTTTGGATCCGTCTCCTCACAGTGACATGGATGTTTACGATCCAGCTGATGCGTACAAATTGAAGCAACCAATGACAGGCCTGCATATTGAAATGGCTTTGTGCTTGCATCACGACGGGTTCCGAGACACCTTTTGGGCAAGGCATTTGAATTCCCGCAAGAACCTCCAAAATCGTACGGAAGACATGTTGGCGAAGGAGCCGAAGACGCCCTGTGCTATTGATCTACTAGTGGGCGCGGTTGAACACTTAGCAGCAACTCTGACAGTCCCAATTTGGACGCCGGGAGACGAGATGTTTGCAAACCAAGCGATGCTGGCTGATGCAGATCATCTTGTGCAAAGGACACACACACTCCTCCACGAGCTGCTGTTCGAGCTGCGGAAAGTACAGCGCGAACCGGGCACTCCAGACGCCACTGGTTTCTTAAGATCCAGGCTTTTACGACAGCATCGAAGCTGGGATGATTATCATGCGTCGTTTCTGGCAAAACAGGATTGAGGGAAACACATGCTAGTGACTCGTGTTGTCAGCTGCGCGCGGAAGTGGGAAACCGAGCTCGGACTTTTGGCGTGGCACCCATCAGAAGAAGCTCAGGGTGAGATCCCCAACAGCATGCGGTGCTCTTTTTAGTGCCCCTGCAGCCCTCGCAGAACCTCGTGGAACCGTGGTGGAACCCTAGTCGAACCCTGGTGGAACCTTTGGTGGAACTCTGGTGGAACCCTGGTGGAACCTTACCTCAGGGCCGGAGCCTGGGCTGAGACATCCCAAAGCTTTGAGCTGGGGAAGTAAAGAAAACACCCCCCAGGGTGCTTTACAAGCACCCTACGGTACTACGCGCGCTTTTTCAGCTGGGACATTCCTCCCCCCAAAACCCAAGCCCCTCCAAATGCTCCCTTGGTCCCTTGGCAGCATGTGGCTCCCTCGGCATTTTGCAGGGCTGGAAGCTTGGGATCATGAACGATGACATGCCTGTGGGTGTCAAAATCGTTTTGGGATCCCATTTTGAAAAATCGGTAGGTGAAAAAAAAAAGCACCCAAAAATGTTAGAACCGGGATTTTTTAGTGGTTGGATGGGGATGTTGACTGGGGGTATGGGATTTTGACCCATGGCCACAGTTTGCTGAGTGCCTATGTTTTGCGTACTTTGGTGTCACCCTGATATAACGTTATGCCTTGAAGCTTCTCGCGTTCCTCAACCATTGTAACTAGTGGCGTTTGAAGATCCCCAGCGGGTTGAGCAGCATTGTAGCCGACGCAGAGATGCTCGGCGGATCCACCAAACTGCATCGTTTCGGTTGAGGTTTATCTTACCTGAAAGCAAGTACAATCACTACACTCTGGTGTTACCCTGATATAACGCTATGCCTTGAAGCTTCGCACGCTTTTTTTGTAACTAGTGGCAAATGAGAAGATCCCCAACGGGTTGAGCAGCTTGTTCTGCCGACGCAGAGATGCTCGACGGCTATCACCATGATGACTTAGGGGTACTGAACGCGCTGAATGTAAGCACAATTGAGCATGCTATGCCTGCACAAGGCATGCTATGCCTTCCGCAGTGCCTTTATAATATATTGTTGTCCTGCTTAAACCACAGCATTTGGATGTCTGGTGTCGCTGAGGCCGCCGCGTCTCGGAGAGCTGCGAGTAATTACCTGGGTCACGTGCATCGAAATGAGTATCGGGGAAAGAGCGCGGCTGGCTTGAAGATTGGAGAGCCGTCGACCCAAAACCTGTCGCACAACAGAGATTCCTCTGGGGTCATTATTTGGACGTTTTTTTTGGGGTGATCAAAGTCAGAAAATGGGGTTGATTCCCTTTAACCCACCACTCCGGGGGTGACTTTGATCATGGTAAAATAATGAAGCTAGTTCCTCAAAGAAATGTTGATAAATGTTGGTTGATAGAAACATGTTAATCTGCAGAAAAAAAAATGAGGAATGGAGCGTCTTCTTGAACCAATAGGCCTTGGAGGTTTCCAGGCGCAGAGATGGATGCCTGTCCTACAAGATTCTTTGGTCATACAAGGATTCTCCGGGGTTGGATTTGTTGTGTTCGATGTGCCGAGTTGAGATTGAAGCAATGATGGTTCAAGCTTATGGTTGTAGTTGCCAGTAGATCATCGAACATGCAGCATCGATTTTTGCGAACATCAGCTGCATGTGCCCAGCGACACCCTCAGACAGCAGCACATCTGCAAGCGCGCGCACGCAACGACCCCATGCAGTAGATTGCAACCCCCGCGCCGCAATGAAAGCCCCGGTTCGGTGCATCTAGCCCCCGTAAAAAAAAAGGCCCGCCCTGCCCCTGAAACTACCCCGAAACCAACCAAAAACCGGAAACCTAAGGAACCAGATGGCTAGGAGCCACCAAGAAAAGGGGGGATCGCATGGGATCGCCTTGGCTTTGAAGCATCACAGGGTCGCAGGAAGAGCCGCAGCGGTCAGCTTCAGAGCTCACAGACTGAGACCTGGGAGAGTGAGCCGGACGCCGCATGGCATGGCTGCTTCGCCAAGGATGGATGGGCAGTACTGATGGACAAAACCCTGCACCACTTTGAAACGATGGGAACCCATTGGCTTGTTGGTATTTACAGGTGAATCATCAGAAACCAGGGTTTCTTAGGTGGTGCAGGATTTCGTCCATCCACGGAAGGTTTGCCACTTGTTGAATGCTTAGAAGCGGAAGCGTAAAGTGCCGATTTGGTTTTGCCTCTTGAAAGGGCGTGAAGTTCAGGAGGTCAATGAGGTCTTGGGCTCCTAAAAGCTTCCAGTGCAGGTTGCAGCGCTTCTTGCTCCTCAGCATGGTGTTCCCCAAGCTGCGAGCAGAAGACTTGGAAACTACGAGGCCTGCGGACAGCATACCCGCGGGCTGCTTCCTCGATGTAGGGCGCTTTTACAGACCCACCTTGTGGAGGCACATGATTAATAAATCCGCCCCTCAAGGTCAACAAGGTCCAGGAAATCACATTTCTGATTTTGCAGGGGTGGAGAGGGCCAGGACTAATCTTGACGGGTTTGGGGTTGCATTTGTTTTGAGGGGGGTCTAGCCTTGAAGGGGGGTACCCTTCACGAGCTTGTCAAACCTTGGTTTTCTAGACAAATTGTAGTGAGAAATTGCTGCTGTCGGCTAGCCATCTTTTCTGATTTCTGGAAATGCAACCCTTGAGACTATGAGAGGAGTGGATATTGGCAAAAGTATTGGCAACAGCTTTGGTAACAGAACATGCTATATTAGTTTGGACCCCTTGGATGTTGGGCCTCGGGAATGGTAGGCAGCTGCGGATGCTAGGTACACCAATATGAGGGCTGCCAAGACACCGTTTCATTGGCAGCTGATTTGGCTGAGTCTCCAAGGGAACCTCCGAAATGTGTGTTTTCCAACTTTGGTTTTCGTTAAAACCAACCCCAAAAGAATCATCATTCTGGGGGTTGATTCCCCATTGTTTTCAACCATCGCTCTTTTCAAAAACTGGCCGTTTACGCTGGGTTTTTGATGGTTTTCTGAAAAGAAGGATCCCTGGAAAGAATGGAAATGGAAGCTACCCCTGGAATCATGGACCCTCAAGGGGGGCTATGGGGAGGGGGGGCGATGGCTTTTTAGCCCCTTGAGGCCTTATGAAGGGCTCAGCCTCAGCCGCTTATGCTAGGCTTATCCAGGGATAGCCTGCCCCGTCCCCAGCCCTCTTGGGGGTCATTGGGGCAGGTGAGAAAAGACAATTAAAATAGGGGAACCCCAAAATGTGTCGTTTCCAACAGTTGAACTGCGGTTCCCACTTGACGCCCGGAAGTCGACCCTTGTGAGACCGCAGCTCGTGGACCTGCTGCGGGTCTTCAGCGTCAAGGCTGGCTCGCGGCGACCGGTGACCGGGAAACGGTACCGTAGCGCCCGCTGCCAGGGCATCCTCAAAAGGAAGAGGCGCCAGGGGAAACGGCAGAAATTCAAAGGGCATCTGAGATGGAGAGTTAGTTTGTGTGAAGCGGTGAAGCGCTTCTGTTCATTTGATGTTTGCCAACGCTTGCTGAAAGAATAGAAATAAGTGGACACGACCTTTAGCTGTTTGTGGCTCGGCGCACTAGAATCCAATGCCAGGCCCCGAGAGTTCACTTGGCCATGGCTCAAAACCAATGGTACCATTTTGGGATAGGTGCACCACCCATTTTGGTGTGGATTGGGATGTTGACTGGCGGTACGATTTGGGTTTTGACCCATGGCCACTTGGGCAGAGGAAGCGGAGGCTGTCTGAGGCGGGCGACAAGAAATGTGAAAATTATGGGTTGGACCAGGATATGGACCGCAGGTTTTAGTCCACTTGCTTCCATGTATCCATCGGGTTCCAGCCATTTTGGACGTTTGACCACCACAGCCAAATTAGTCCACTGTTCTTCAACTTATCCAAAACCAGCCCCCGAAGGCGTCCCTAAGCGCGTTTGCCCTATTTTTGACCCGTGCCATAGACAGTTTGGGGTTGGTACTGTGGATGGATGAAATCTTGCACGACTACACCATGGGAAAGCATTGTTTGTTGGTATTTACAGGGGATCATCCAAAACCAGGGTCTCTGCACGACGGTCCAAAATGGATTTCGTCCATCCACAGAATGTTTGACAACCGCTGCCAAGTCACAATTTTAGGGCATTGTAGGGTTGGTTACCCTGGCTATGTTCTTATTTACCAGGGTTCCATTCTAGGGCTACCCTATGCGGTTACCCTATGTTTATGCACCAGGGTTCCATATATGGCCATGGGTCAAAATCCTGTACCCCCAATGAAAATCCCAATCCCCACTAAAATCCCGACTAAAATGGGTGGTGAATTCACCTACCATTTTCAAAATGGGATCCCAAAACGGTTTTCACAACCACAGCCATATGTTTTTGCGAGGGTTCCATTTTAGGGCATTTTAGGGCTACCCTACTGTGGATGGACGAAATGCTGCACCACCTAAGAATCCCTGGAATGATTCCCCTGTAAATACCAACAAACAATGGTTTCCCATGGTTTCAAAGTGGTGCAGGATTTCGTTTTTAGGTCATTTTAGGGCTACCCTATGGGTTTGACCACCGCCAAATTTCCGGTGCCTATGGGTTTGACAGCCGCCAATTTTCCGGTGCCTATGGCCCTCAGGCGCAGCAGCAACGGGAGATCATCGAACAGCAGTCCCAGCCCCTCAACTCGATGTGGTTGATCTCGATGTCTCCAGGGCCCGGGGGTTCGATTCGTTCGAACTTCAATGGCTCAGGGGAACCTCACGGTTGGCAGTGTGGTTTGTAGTTATTGTTGTGTGGAAAACAGTTGTTTGCGGCTACCATCATACCAAGGGTTGTAAAGGTAACCCAGGTTCACAATTCGGTGTGTCTTTATCTTAAAGAGGGAAATCTGCGAAAGGTGTTTGAAGCCCACACATTGATGGAGCCCTTTTTATCCCCTTGCGAAACTAGGGGTCGAATGGCGACCGCTTGCCAAGGGTGGCGGTAACTGGGGTTGAACCACATAGCGGGGGTCGGTTCTTCACATTTACACATGAATCAAGGACTTGTTCACAGCGCTTTACCGGATAATGCTTCCGGCCAACGAACCCAAGGCATAAACAAATTTGGCGTTGATCCGGGTAACAGAAGAACATGTTGGGTTCGAAGGGCTCGCTCCAGGCTTAGAGTTGTCGAGGGTCTTTGCACTTTGATTTTCGCAGGTGCCAACACAAAATGGGTTGGCAATGTAGGGTTGATGGGGGCTTAGACGCGGCCGATGAAGGAACCACAATGGTGAGGATCCCGCCCCCTTCACAGGGAGCACTGTATTGAGACAAATTGTGCTACTTTAGTCTCATTGGTTGTTGGCCACAGCTTGGGTGGGATCATGGGTTGATGCTGAGGATGCTGGATTTGCTGGAGAGGGAGATGGTTGCTTTCAAGGCGGGACACACACACACATGACACGCATAGAATCGGTACCCCTGAACATCGGCAACTGTTGTCGGAAGCTTGCTGTCAGCATACCTTTGCTTCGTCGGAGGGCTACAGATCACAGTAAGGGTAAAAGGGCTAAAAGGCGAATTCGCAAACATGCTCAACGGGTGATTGGGCCAATCACTTGGCGGATCAGTCCTAAACCCCCTGGAGGCCAAAAAGCGTTTGTTGAGCTGTGCCCGAACCCACTTCCGTTTGCAAGTTGCAGCTCAGCTGCAGATGCAATCCTTGGCATCTTTTAGATCAGGTTGACGCTTCCAATCACTTTCGGTCCCATCGGCTACCTCCTTCATGGGCGCAGGGAGGGAGGGGAGGGGAGGGAGGGCAGGGCAGGGCAGGGCAGGGAGGGAGGGAGGGAGGGAGGAGGGGGAAGGAGCCCAATTAAGTTTTTATTGAGGGCTTATTTGGGCTCCTCCCCCCCCCCCATGACTCCTTCGCATTCCTCGCCAGGCTCAGCTGGAGCAGCTCAAGGCCCGGCGTGAGGCCCGCGGAGCCGCGCCCACTGCGCGCAGCGCGCGCCGCGCGCTGGCCTGCGGTGTGCGGACGCGGCGTGCGGAAAGCGCCGCGCGCGCGGAAAGCGTCCTGGTTGGGTCAAATGGGTGTGGGTCAAAAATAACTACCCCAAATGGCTTGCCCGATCGGTAAATGGAAAGGACTAAAATCTGCGGTCCCTGGTTTAATTTTGACCCATACCCAAATGAGCCACAATCAAAACCCGGTTAGCCAGGGATACTTCCAACCATAAATAGCTGCGGCGGCCTTCTGAATTCTTCTACATGGTTCCGGGTAGGCCAATTCCGGGTTTTGATTGTGACTCAAATGCAGTTTGATGCTTCAATTGGGAGGGACATTTGGGACTCCCCAATTGTTTTACAAACAAAACGGACAGTTTTACAGACAAAAAGGACACCCATTTTCCTACGTCACGGGGGTACAGCCGTAGGCGTGCCTAATTTCAGGACACTTGCGCGCGGGTCACATTCCACGTTTCTGGCTGCAGCCCCAGGAGGCTTGCTTGAGACCAAACCCACAGAATGCGATTCCCTCCACTCGCAAGTCATCCATTTGCTGAAATGAATATATATTTTAATTTTCCCCTGTTGTTTTTTAAATTAAAGGGAATCTATCACTACTGGACATATTTTTATTTGTTTCCAGGGGTCTCAACCAAATGGAAGACAAAGACGCTTGCCCCTGCAAATTTGACGTCCTTGACCATGATCCAGGTTGACAAGAATTCTACCAGGCCTTTCAAGCCTAGTCTCAAGAAAAGCCAACAGCATCTCACTATCCAGCCCTTCGAGCCCCACTATCCCCACCCCGAAAGATGGGGGTATGGGTCAAAATCATGTTTCAATTGACCGATCAGGTTCCATGTTGAGTAGCCCACAGCCCTCCAAGCCCATCCAAAACCAGCCGGAGCTGAAGGCATTTCCCTTGGCTCCTTTCGCATCCATGGATGCCTCCGCCCATGGCGAGCTCCCGGCGTCGCTGGGGCGGCTGCTCACATTGGAGGGGGCCAGCTGTCACCGCGATGGGCGCCTGCGACGCACGGACTACCACCCCCTGCGTGCCTCGCTTGCCATGGGCTGCATCAAGTGCGCTTCGCCAGGAACCGGCCCAGAAGGAGGCGAGAAGGAGACCAGCTTCAAAGCCACCCACCAAGTCATCCAAATGTTGCCAGTTGGGAAATTGCCGGATTGCAAGCTCGTTTTGAGTCTTGGGACAAACTGAGTATTGGTAAGAGGTCTAGATGTGCAGGAACCCTATTCTGGTAAGGACTGCGCAATTTCGGCCGGGGGAAAACAACCGCACAGCCCGAGTTGTGGCTGGTCTCCCTGGCAACCCATTGTGAGGTCCAAGCGGTGACACTCAAATCCCAATCCCACTTGCACGGAAAATGAGTGACTTGACGTGGCTGCTGGTCAAAACCAATGGTACCATTTTGGGGTAGGTGAATTCACCACCCATTTTGGTCTATGTTAGTGGGGATTGGGATGTTCACTGGGGATTTGGATTTTGACCCATCCATCACTCTGCCGTCCGAGTCGTGGTGCAACGAACTCGCGCTGCGCTGAGGTGAGTTCTTCAGCTCCCGGGAACCTGGGCAGCTGAAGCGCGTGCAGGGCCGCGTCGAGCTGAGGCCAGCGAGCAAAACACTCAGCGAAGTGGGCAAAACACCCAGTCCACTCTGGAGATGCTTTTGGGTTATAACCTACTGTTGCCCCAAGTTACTAGTTGCCTGGTTGTAAATGGGTAACCTGGGATGCGAACCACTTGCTCATCAGGCCGAACACCCAAGAGTGGAGCGGGATCGGGAGCTGTGTGGGTGAAGTAGCTGGTGGTTGCAAGGGAGCCGGACGAAGGGAGCTGAGGGTATCCCAGGTTTCTTGAGAGAAGGAGCAGCTACCCCGATCGGAGTTCTGTCAGGTCATGGTGAAGTGTCCCTTAAGGTAAAGATTCCTCATGTTCGAGGCGCTGGTTTGCAGTTTGAGCCGGTTTCAGCAGGCACGCCGCACCCTGATTGTTGGAAGAAGTGAGACACACTTGTCCTTCTATGCATCCGCAAGCGGCAGGCATTGGCGAAAGAATGGAGATGAAGGACGGGGCGTCCGGGTGGATGAATCATTTGCAGTCATCAAAGTTGACCCAGACTTTTCAACACTTCCAATGTTTGCCACAAGAGCAGATGAAGTGTTTGTGTGTGTGTGTGTTCAACCAGCACGCATGAGGTCTCAGTTGGGAGTCTGGATTTGGCAAGTATTGGTTTACGCGGTGTTATTTGTGCGATAAGCCGGGCTGATGTATTCAAAGGTTCCATGAATCGGCGGCTGCAAAGAACAGGCAGCTCGCCTGTGTGTGCAGCATGTTGAGCCACAGCTGCTTGCAAAATTCCTCAGTTGATCTCACTATCTAGTGTGTCGGGTACTTTAGTTGGGAGGATAATTACGGGGGCCCACTCAAATTTCACACAAGCAAGGGGACAGATCAATCTGTCCATGTCCAGGGTACCCGCAAAAGTTGACCTACCCTAAGACTGGGCTGTTCAAAGGCAATCCTTAATCCTTCCCTTGCGTAGGGGGTCACCTTTGTACTGTTTTCTAGGGAAAACGCTTAGGAATGGCCAACCCTCCATTTTGAACAGCCCTTCGAGGCTGTCCAGGGCAACTCTGAATGTTGAAGGGACCCAATTTTCTTCCTTTCTCCATTTCCAGTCTAACCCCCTAAAAACCAAGGCAACTCTGAATGTTGAGAGGACCCAAATTTCTTCCTTTCTCCATCCGAACAACCCCGGAAAAAAAAGGAAGAAGAAAACAAAATCAAGGGAATCCCAACAAACCCCAGAGTAACCGCCCAAAACCCCCCAAAAACCCAAGCCCTGCAAGCCATCCCACGGGACCGGACCCCTCCGCCGATTTCCCCAGGCTGGACGGTGCAGCGGCGGCGCACGGTCCAGCGCTTCAGCGCGAAGCTGTGGACGCCTTCGCTGGCCCAGGAGCTGGCGAGGCTGCAGCTGGCGCTCTGGGCGCCGGCGCCTCCGGGAAGAAATGGTCCGCGGCGGCGGGCCAGATATATATATATATATACAAATATATGTATGTACCTATTTGTCTATCTGTTTAGCTATCTTTCTATTTATCTATCTATCTATCTATCTATCTATCTATCTATCCATACATATATATATATATATATGTGTGTGCGTGTATGTGCAGATATGTTTATACGCATATATATATATATATTGTTGATTTGACATGAATACTGCAGGCAAATGCGACATCCGCGAGTCTCGCACCACTTAGACTCATAGAAACCATTGTTTTTGTTTCCTCATCATTGTTGCAGGAGAAGCCAAGCTGGGGGGTTGATCTGCAGAGGCGTTTTTGGGTCCGGGAACCTGGGAGGAGCGGTCTCTCTTCAAAAGTTTAGTTATTGATGTCAGGGGAAAACCTAGACGGGTCCCCATGTGGGAAATATATTTGTTTGAGGGGTTTTCCAACCAATGGTCATCCCATGTAAAGGCCGGAGCTTCACAACGAGCCCAATTTGAAAGTGATGGAGGTCCCTTGCGGCTGAAAGCACAACCAACTTTCAATGCTAATTTGACTAGCCAAAGAATCGTACACATTCCTGAAGAAAAGCGTGCACATAGAATCCCCCCTCCCAGTCCTCGGTCAAAGGGTGATTTAGCGGGCAATCAACTTATTGCTTGGAAGGCACCAAGACGGGCCATTTCCAGCAAATCCACTTGGACGGAGAGAGCCCCATCCTGTAGGAATAAGCTCAGGTGGTATCCCCAACAGCATGCGGTGCTCTTTTTAGTGCTCGCACCACCCAGCCCTCGCAGAACCCTCGTGGAACCCTGGTGGAACCCTCGTAAAACCTTACCTCAGGGCCGCCTCGCACCTGGGCTGAGACCCCAAGCTTTCAGCTGTTGGGGAAAAAGAAGGTATAGAGACCTGGACGGGCTGCCCGTTTCTGGAAACGAAATGGACACCTGCAGAGCTTGTGTGGCCAAAGGAAGCGCGCGGCTGGCCAGTTGTGATTGCAACGCGGAAATGTGAACCTCGCGTAGAGGTTCCAGGCAACAAAGTGACTCACGCAGTTTGCTTGCGAGAGGTACATGTTTTGATTGCTATTGGGCTGGATCTTGAGAAGTCTGAACCTTTGTGAATTCAATACTTTTCCATTGAACCCACAAGAAGTTAAACTTTTGCGGAGGGGTCAACAACAACCATGTGTTCACAGCTCTATATAGAGCATGCATTGGGCTTGAAGCTTGGGTTCACAAGATACCAGAGGCAAGGCCGAGCGACAGACCGAAACCCAGGCTGCTGCCCACAAGGTCGCAGTCGCAGCCCGATTCTCAGTTTGGCGCATCCCTCGCGGATTTTAAGAGGGCCGCAAGAAAAGATATCCAGCAAGACATTGATGTGGGCAGACGAATTGTTTTTGTGTTGGTTGGATGTGTGCGTGGGTGTGTGTGTGTGGTGTTGTGTGTTGTGTGCCACCCTGAACTCTCTTTGCTTGTGTTGCTCCCGTTCAAGTATCTAGAGAGGCACCAGCTCAACTTGAACATGCTAAATTCGCATGCCTGATACTTGGCTTGCCTCACTCGACTTTGATTGGCACCCTCCCTCAGGAGCCTAAGTCTGTTTGTTTGTGTGTGTGTGTTTGTGTGTGTGTGTGTGTGCGGATCTGTGTGTGTGTGTGTGTCTCCGTTGTGCTTTGTGCCTCTCCGTGTGTTTGTGTGTTTGTGTTTTTATGTCATGTCTCTCTGCATGGTTTTACCTGTTCACGTGTTTCTTGGAACCGTGCCAAGGCCGTCAGCCCGAAACGCCCGTCAGCGAAGCAGACGGTGCTGCAGCAGTTTGATCCCCTTTTCCGAGTTTGGCTTTGCCCCTGCGACGGGGAGCCGCTGAACGTCTCTCCTTTCGAGCTTCGGCTGAGGTCAAGTTCTGCATGTATACGTGCGTCCGAAAGAGTCTTTATTCGCTCTATCGGCCAGTCAGAAGTCAACCACTCGATCTGCATAGGAGACGAAAGTTTGACGAACATCACGGGACCTGGTATGATGTCATGCGTGCAAGCGATGCATGCGCCCACTCTGCACCATGTCCTGAGGATCTTGGTGCTCTTGCCTGTGCCAGTAAGAGCTTCAGCTTTCTTCGGGAAAACTCCGTGATCCAGCGAGCCGTGGAGGCATTCAAAGGCCGATGTAGCGATATCGACCTGGAGCAAGCGGCAACTGAGAAGGACGGATCTGTTTTTGCGATGGCTGAGGGCTGCTGATTCTGATCATCCTCTCAGTGGGTGGGTGGTTTTGATAGGGTCGCGTCCAATGGTATTGGTGCAATGTCGCTGGGAAGCCTTTGGGAGCAGCGGCATGGCTTCGATCCCGAACCTTCCGGTGTCCCATGTGAAGAGATGTGCAAAACGCTGGGCTTTCCTGTATCCATAGGGATACCAAGTCTAGTGTTCTGCAAGGATGACGTGCCCTTTCAGGGTGCCCAGTGCGTATATGGTGGGCTTTCCTGTTAAGGATGCCAACTAGTAGCCAAAAAAAAACGATACCTGTGGATGTGTTGCAGTCCTTGGGTCAGGACCTCGACGTGCTGCGGTTTCGGCTCTACTCCGCCAGCGCAGGGGAACTGAGCAGAATCCTGCAGAAGATCATTTGGAGCGGGACCCGTGGGGTGTTTTGGGGGGGGGGTGGAACTGGCCATGGCACGAGCAAACAAGCGGCCGTCGATTGTACAAAACGAAAAAAACTGGCAGAATTAGCAAATGGAAGGCCAGTTCTGGTTGGTTTCCTTTCGGCTTTTGAACGTCGAAGAACTAGGTCTCCAAGTGCTTGGCAACCCACAAATCAGGCTTGGCTGCGGTCCACACCACCAGCCTTTGAACGCGCTTGAGGAAAGTCAAGCTGCGGATTCGCGAGCGTCAAGGGAAAGGAAAGCGAGAGTGTTCCACGCGAAGGTAGAAAACCCCACCACCCAAGTCGCTGCACGCACGGGGGGGGGGGGGGGAAGCTGGAATCCGAAACTTCGCCGTTGGTCGCTCTGCCCTCTCGTGTCAATACTCGTTTGGACTTGCCGCCTTGCCAGTTTCATTCATAGTCAATAGGGTTCTTCATTTTCTTGGTGGGGGCGGGCTCTAAATTACTTTCCGCAACTTGGATTTTTGCAAACTCGCCGAGGGTTCCATATTAATGAGGTCAAAGTATTTGATCCTTCTCTGATTGAGCTGCTCCGGATTTTGGAGAGCAGACAAGCTGCACACAAATGGTCCAATAGTTCCAACATAGTTCCAACGTCATTGGATCATGTGGCGCAGGATCAATTTGAACTCATACTCAGCATTCAACTGGCATCTGATTTCAGTGTAGCACACCAGTTGTTGCTGTGCTTTTGTTTCTTGGTCCACCCCCAAACTCCCTAAAGCTCAGAGCCCCGGATTCGTTGCAGGAGCCGGGGAAACAGCTCGGAGCTGGTGCGGTGGTTGCTCTTCCTGGGACCTTCGACCGGTGGACTGGACGCCGAGCTGTTGGCCTCGGTGCTTTCGCTGTGCATCCGGAAGCACGACGTGGCGGGGATGTCTCGGGTTGCCGCTTGAGGGAGCGGGGGCATGGCAAGATGGGAGAAGATAGGTTCAAATTTGCAGCTTTTCCAGAGAAATTCTGTCTTTGTTCAGGCTACTCGTGTATGGTTTTGCTTCACGGGACACCCAAAAAAAGGACCACCACTATTTTGCGAGGCGTCCGTCCGTCCCCCCCCCCAAAAAAAAAACAGGAGAACAGAGATAAAGGCCGAAAGACCAAAAAGTCTCAAGACACCCCTAAATCTGAGTGCCCCCCCAAAAAAAACAGGAGAACAGAGATAAAAGCCGAAAGACCAAAAAGTCTCAAGACACCCCTAAATCTGAGTGCCCCCCCAAAAAAAAAACAGGAGAACAGAGATAAAAGCCAAAAGACAAAAAAGTCTCAAGACACCCCTAAATCTGAGTGCCCCCCCCCAAAAAAAAAATCAGGAGAACAGAGATAAAAGCCGAAAGACAACAAAGTCTCAAGACACCCCTAAATCTGAGTGCCCCCCCCAAAAAAAAACAGGAGAACAGAGATAAAAGCCGAAAGACCAAAGTCTCAAGACACCCCTAAATCTGAGTGCCCCCCCCCCCAAAAAGAAAACAGGATAACAGAGATAAAAGCCGAAAGACAAAAAAGTCTCAAAACACCCCTAAATCTGAGTGCCCCGCCAAAAAAACAACAGGATAACAGAGATAAAAGCCGAAAGACAGAAAAGTCTCAAGACGCCCCTAAATCTGAGTGCCCCCCCAAAAAAAACAGGAGAACAGAGATAAGAGCCGAAAAACAAAAAAGTCTCAAGACACCCCTAAATCTGAGTGCCCCCCCCCCCAAAAAAAAAAAAAAACACGAACCAAAGCAGCCCAGAGCCCCAGCCAGACGTCAAGTGGAGACCCGAGACCCGCAGGCGGGGGATGAGAGCGTGGAGATCTTGCGGCTGCTGTGCAGCTCCGGGCGCTGCGATCTCAACACCCCGCTGTGGCAGCTTCGCCTTTTTCGATGCTAGGTGTGTTTTTTCCACCAGTGAGGCCCCTTTTTTGATGTTATGTGTTTTTCCACCAGGCAAGCCGTTTTTTTGTTTTTGTTTTCTCGAATTAGCTCCCCTTTCCCACCAGACGTGCTTTGTCTGGGGCCAGCGGCTCAAGTCGTTCCCCTTCATCTGCCAGTTGCTTCGATGTTTTGGGTTTTTGGCATCATTGGGGTCCCCTTTTGATTTCCACCTTTGGCGAACAGGTAGAGCTCTTCTTTTCATTGGTCCAACTTCCAAGGCAGGAGAAGGGCGCCGTGGCCATGGCGCTGTGGCTACCCTTCATCCGGAAGGCCCGGAACGCGCGGGATTTCTGGCACCCCTGGGCTGGTCAACTTGGCAAGCCGGAAACGCCTTTCCTTGGATTTGGGGTCCCCTTAGCTTTTTTTCTAGGGATGAAGGGGATTGGCCGGGAAAATGTGGGGGTCAAAGGCAATCTGCAGGATCCTGCGGTTGAGGAGTCCCCTTGCGTTTGTAGGGAGTTAGGAGTGGATGGGACCTCTGTGAAAGAAAAGTCGAGGCCGACTCAGTTGGATAAGCAGTTGATTGGGGTGTCAAAAAGACAGCCTGACTGACTTAGTCGCTGGATCTGCGGTTGATTGGGGAATTTCAGGTTCACCTGTTGGCCTTCCTTGGGTTAAGGAGTCCCCTTTGTGGGGCACATACCGAAGCGGTGCCTTGTCCCGGTTTTTGCGTCTGCGGTGACTTTTCCCGGTTTTTGCTTCCTCGGTCGGTCCACACTTCCACGCTTCCACACTTCCACGCTTCTACATTTCCACACTTCCACACTTCCACGCTTCCACACTTCCACGCTTCCGCATTTCCACACTTCCACACGTCAATGCTTCCCCACTTCCACATCTCCATATTTGCACACCTCCACCATGTCACATATCCACAGTTCCACGCTTCCACACTTCCACAATTCCACACTGGCACACTTGCATACTTCCACACTTCCACATTTCCATACTGCCGCGCTCCACATTTACACGTTTCCACACTTTCACATCGCCACGCTCCCAGACTCCACAAGTGTGGAAGTGTGGCAGTGTGTAAATGTGGAAACGTGGAAGTGTGGAAGGGTCGAAGTGTGGACCTGTGGAAGCGTGGATGTGTGGAATTGTCGATGTGGAATTGTGCAAATGTGGAAGTGTGGAAATGTGGAAATGTGGAAGTGCGCAAGTGTGGCAGTGTGGAAAATGTAAGTGTGTAACTGTGGAAGAGTGTAGAGTGGAAGTGTGGAAGTGTGGCAGTATGGATGTGTGGACTTGTGGAAGTGTGGAAGCGTCGAAGTGTGGAAGTGTGGAAGTGTGTAAATGTGGAAGTGTGGCAATGTGGAAGCGTGGAAGTGTGGAAGTGTATAACAGTGTAAGTGTGGAGTGTTGGAGTGTGAAGTGTTGAAGTGTGGCAGTGTGGAAGTGTGGAATTGTGGAAATGTGGAAATATGAAAATGTGGAAGTGTCGAAGTGTAGAAGCGTGGAAGTGTGGAAGTGTGGAAGTCTGGAGGCGTGGAGTGTTCGACGCTTCGACACTTCCACATTTCCACACTTCCATACTTCCACACTTTAACACTTCCACACTCCAACACTCCACACCTCTAGACTTCCACACTTCCACGCTTCCACATTTACATACTTCCGCTTTGCACCCTTCCACTTCCACAGACATGGCATGCGGAAGTATCACGCCTTTGTCGATAGCCGCGCGGTCATCGACAGGTCTATTTCGGCGACAGGCCACACTCCCACTTGCGCCCTTCCACTTCCGCAGACATGGCTTGTGTCACGCTTTTGTCGAAGTGTGGAAGCGGGCCCGCGCTGTTGTTTTTTCTCTAGGCACGGCGCGGCCGTTCTGTTGTTTTTTTCCCCCTAGGTATGGCGCGGCCGTTTTGCTGCGTGGTGCTGGGGTTTTGGCTCGCTCGGTTTGGCTTTAAAAAGTGGAACTTCCTCGAATTGTTGAAGTGAAACAATGTGCGGTGTGGAAGAATGGAAAGGTCTGAATGTGAAAGCACGGTGTGGAAATGTGGTAACGTGGTAGTGAGGGATTGCGGACATGCAGACATGCTGACGCGTGGAAGCGTGGAGTGTGGATATTCCAAGACCTTGCTTCGACTACCACTCCACCGCTTCTGCGTGCCAAAGCATCAATTCATCAATTTGCAGAGAGCTGCAACCCAACACAAGTACAGCCGCAGCATTATTTGACGCAGAGTCGAGCAACTACACAGAAACAATATGCAAGCAAAAGACAAAGTCCCAATCAAGCTTGGTGAAAAACATAAAGATTCACAGCCAGCAAAGCCACCCGACATTCATTGGCGACACAAAGTGGTAGACAACCACATTGAAGCGCTGCATGTTGGTCTACAACGTGGACAAACTGGTGGTAGCAGCCTGGCAGCAATCTGGAGACTCAAGGGAAGCTGTTGAAGACTTCACGGGGCAACAACCATTCCCCAAACAATCCACGGGGAATCCCAGGATGCCGGGCCGCGCTTTGCCCGATGTGCGCCTTCGGAAGAAGATCTTCCGCTGGGATAGGTAAGGGCCGAGCGACCTGGACCTGGCCCGGCATTTGACACTCAAGCGACACGCAACGCATGTATCAGGCAACAGGCTGGCAGAATCATGTATGCGTAGTTAGCTTTGCCTCGAGTGACATCTTAGCCAAGCTCGTGCAGGTCTGGGATACTTTGGACCGCTGCATCGTCTCCTTGTCTGGAGTGCGCTCGGTGGGGAAAGCCGGGGGGTCAGGTTTTCAGGCTGCGCATGGATGTCGCAGCAACATCGTAGGACGGTGCCCGAGGACATTGTTTGTTTTGCAAAGACATGATGTTTCTATTAAAGTTTTCAGGCCCAGAGCTTCATAAATTGTGCCACGCTGACGTGCAAGCTGAGAAGCTACTTGCATGCGAGCAGCGACCGTTTTTGCTTGGAGTGTTTTGGACTTCCTGGACTCGTGCGGCCGGGCGTGTGCCTTTTCGGTGAGCAGGCCATTTAATTGTCATTTAGTCCGCGGAGCTGATACGTCACATGTGCGGTGAAAGCCCGTTAACTGTCGTCAAGATGTTTTCGTGGGTTTCCATGTGAAATGTGTAGGCCAAAAGTGTTTTTTAAGGAAAGGTCTTCCAGGTAACTAGACAGAAATTCTTTGGAGGAGTCCCACATTCTAAACAACACCGCCATATGCTGTCGGAGTTTCTTTGCAAGTGCTCTTTTTTTTAAGGAACTGATGGGAAAACCATGCATTGAGTTTCAGCCGCCCGGAAAAAAAGACAGTCCGCGTCACCCGTTTCCAGCGGTTGTTCAAACTGCCTGTCGGGTCTCAGGTACCGCCTCTGGCACCTTGCCCCCACTCCGGATTTCAACTTCTCCGAGGCAACGGGTCTGTGTTTCTTTGAGGGTCCTCCTCATGAATTGAGCAGCGTTCAAAATTCCGATGACAGAAGGAATACCTTGCAAAAAACAAGAAGCCCGGCCCCAGCCGTGTGCGCCTTGCCAGGAAAAGGCGTGGGATCCTCGCGCCAAACTTCTGTCGCTTCAGATGGCAGGCAGAGCTGACGAAAACGTCTGAAGCAGTCGCATGTCACGGAAAGCCCGTGTGTCATGTTTGCAGGCGGCGCGTCGATTTTGCAGCATGAAGGACCGTGCCCGAGGGCAATCGCTTTTTTTGAAATGGCAGCCCTGATTCCTTTTTGCTCGGCTGAGTGCTTCATAAATTGGTTGTATGCCAGCAGCGACATTTTCTCTGTTGGAGGTATTTGGACTTCCTGGACTCCTGCTTGCGCACTCCATACCCACGCATCTTCGGCCACACTTCCTGACTCCACACGCTTCCACATCCACACTTTCACACTGCCTTGCCTCCACGCTTGCCGACCCGCTCGTGCTCACACGCCCAGACTGCCACGCCTCCACTTCCACATTGTCACACGCCTTTTCCTCCCAGTTTTTCGGACTCCTACCAGACTGCCAGCCTCCCACGCCTCCACTTCCAGACTTCCAGAGTTTTTTGCTTCCACACTTCCACACATGCGCGCGCGCATCCTGCACCGCATGTTTTCTTCCACACCTTCACGCTGCCACACGATCATGCTTCCGCATTTTCTCGCTGCCGCGCTGCCATGCTTCCGCTGCGCCGCACTTCCGCATTGCTACTATATTGCTAGCTGGCGTTCCACTAAGATGGTATGCACTCCTCCGCAACTTTGTCCTACCAGGAGTCGGAAGAAAAAAAACTGGAGCATGCAGAAGAGGCTGGGTAGCTCCGGCATTTAGACCAATGTTGTCCCGGTGAGTTGGCGCTGTGAGCTCCAGGATGTGGACGATTACTTCCTGGAGGCCTGGTCGCCTAACACCATCTCGCAAAGCATTCGTTGTTTAACGTTGAGCGCGCAGAGGATGAGATGGCCTGGATAGATTTGCAGGCAGAGGCAAGGCCGGCCATTGCCCCCGAGCCATATATGTTTTCCGGGGAAGGTGTCCACGCGTGCCTGGTGTCATGTCTTCCTCGCTTCGTTGGCTTCCACAAGCCCAGCTCCACGCTGTCCTCCACGCCTCCTGCCTCTGGTTTTCCACCTCCGCACTTCCCCCGCTCCGCGCTGGCCCAACAGCGCACTTTCCACTTGTACCCTTCCACTTCCGCAGATGGAGATTGAACACGCGCCTGGCTTCAAGATGCGAACCAACAACGCGACGCCTGCGCTCCTTGCGGGGGCGCGCATCTCCCGGGCGCAGGCTCGTGTAGTCTTCCAAGTGCTCATGCACAGCCTGCAGAGCGTAAGTGAACAAGAGTGACAGAGAGTTCAGCAAACGCACCAAGGGCTGACGCGAGGAACTGACGAGGAAACAGACATCTACCCTTCCCAATCTGTCCGCACGGTGCCTTGTTCAAAGCCTGATTCCAGCCGACACTCGCGCGGACCGCAGAAAGTTACAGAGCTGCTCTCTCTGTGCCACTTGTCTCTGTGCAGCTTGGCTCTGTGCAGCTCGGCTCTGTGCAACTTGACTCTTACGCGTGCAACTTCGCTCTGTGCAACCTGGCTTTCTGTCGTTTAGTCCAAGGGCCCCGTACGGGAGAACTCTTCGCAATGCTTCCTGGAAGCGCGACAGTGTGCAGGTGTGGAATTTAGACATGTGAAAGTGAGGCAGTGTCCACGCCGTGAGAGTCTCCATGTGAGCATCCTCGCTGTTTCCTGCCGTGCGCTTGCGGGCGCTCAGGAAGCTTGGCGAGAGTGGCAGGAAGAGAAGGCAGGGCAGTGGAAGCACGGCGTTGGCCACATACTAGATTC